TTTTTTTTTTTTTCCTTTTCCCCCTTTTTCTCTCTTCTTCTCGCACCTTTCTTCTTCGTTCCATTTGCATCCCAAAGGAGTCTGCTGACAGGATCCACGCGCAGCGTATGTCAAAGCTTGAGAAACGTGACCACGATGGGCTAGAAACGGAGTATGGGAGCCGGTGCTGAGTCCTGACTCGGCGAAATGTATAAACAAACCATCATGACATATCACGGTACTTTCGGGCCAAGGGCGTTCGGGGGAAAGGTGCTTTTCCTACCTGGCATGGTAGCGGTTTCTCTGGCGGTGCAACCCCGCGTTGTAGGCCATACTCTTGTCTTGCATTAACCTGAGCACGATTACTTGAATCCACGCAAATTGGGCCTCGTCGGTATTTTCGAAGACGGAGTCGTCCTCTCAACAATAGCCTGGCGCGAGAAGGCTCGCCGGCAGGCACACATATAGTACTTGCAAACGAACCAAAGATAGCGACAAGATCTTGTCGGCGATACATCTCGGCCTTTGAAAGCTCGAGACTTCGTCTGCATGCTTTCCCGATGTCTGGCAGTTTAGTCACAGGTACAATGTCGCAAAAAAGAGGATGGAAGAAGAAAACGCTTCATTGATTCTAATAAGCCCGGTCCTAGTATTTCATCTCCCTAGGGTACCTGGGCAATAAAATTCCGCATCTACCATCTCATCTCATATCTGGCTCATTGGCTCCTTTGCTACTCATCTAACCCGTGGTGCTAATAACCACGTTTCAAACCCAACAGACACTCCCTGCCAGGATGGACGATCGCCGTTGATTTATTTTTTATCGTCAACAAAAAGGGGAGGAATGAGAATGCCCCCGGTCATTTAATCTGATCGGGTGTGCATGGAAAGGCAGCAGAGCCGGTTCGGGTGAACGGATAAATGATAGGTCAGGTTGAGGAAGTGGTCAGGCGTGTGCAGCGATGGGGCGCGCACTCGCGTGACGACGCCGGCTTTTTCGTATGATCGCTTTAAGCGAAGATCCAGAGCTTCTCAGTGGTGAAGTACTATGAAGGGGGGGAATTGATTAGCGGGGGGGGCATTTTCTTTCCATGACACGAGTGGAAAGCTTTATAGAGGGAGGGGGCAAAACTCACGTTGGTGGGGGCGTTGAAACGGGTGTTGATGTCGAGGCCGGAGATCTTGGCCAGATCCTCATCGGAGAGATCGAAGCTGGTGCAGTCGAGGTTCTGGACGAGGATCTCCTGGCGGCTGGTCTTGGGGATGACGGCCAGACCACGCTGGGTAGCCCAGCGGAGGAGGACCTGGGAGGGGGCTTTGCCGTGCTTGTTGGCAATCTCGGTGATGACATCGTGCTTGAGGAGAGGGGTAAGGGCCTTGGCGTGGGGGAAGTCGAACTCGTCGAAAGAGGTGGGGCCGAAGGAGGAGTAGGCGGTGACGGTGATGCCCTCGTTCTTAGCGAGGCGGATGAGGTTGGGCTGGACGAGGTAGGGGTGGTGCTCGACCTGGAGGGTAGCGGGGACGATCTTGGCGTGGCGGAGGAGGTCATAGATCAGCTGGCCCTGGAAGTTGGAAATGCCAATGGAGCGGGCAAGGCCCTTCTCGACGAGGCCCTCCATGGCCGTCCAGGTCTCCTGGATGGTGGCGTCGGAGCGGCGGATCTCGGAGACGCCGTCGTAGAACCAGCCGGGCGGGTAGCGGACGGAGGGGTCGACGTGCTCGAGGGCGACGGGGAAGTGGATGAAGTAGAGGTCGAAGTAGTCGATGCCAAGGTCGGCGAGCTGCTTGCGAGCCATCTTCTCGACGTGCTCGGCCTTGTGATCGGTGTTCCAAAGCTTGGAGACGAGGAAGAGCTCCTCACGCTTGACGAGGCCATCCTGGATGGCGCGGGCGACGCCCTTGCCGACCTCGACCTCGTTGCCGTAGTCTGAAGGATTCCATAGCAAGTCAGTATACAAGATGTAACTAAAAATAAATAAATGAAAAAAAAAAACCCAGGCAGGTCTGGTGCTATCCCCGATTCGTGAAAGTGTGGTGGTGAAAATTGCTGTTCGGATGTAATCAAATGTAGAAAACGATGAACAGTGAAGTGAAGTGACAAGACTTGGCAAGTTGAGCCCCGCAGAAAGACGCAGAAAGAGGGGCATTTCCAGCTTTGTCCATCACCAAAATATACAAGGGAGGGGGTTGTTGCCAAGACTGGGCCCACTGTGACGAGCATGTATGGCGGGGTCAGGATGGGCAGGGGGAGAGGGCCAGCCACAAAATGAGGGGCAGTCGTAATTGATAGGCGGGGCAGCAGCTGCACTTCGTCATGCGCGAGAGAACTTCATCCGTCGAGATGAATCGAGGTAGAAAAAAGAGACGTCTCGTTGCAACACCTCGGAGTTGGAAAGCTTCAGGTGATGTGCAAAATCCGCTTTGTCGCATGTTGAGTATCCCCGAGTAAAGTCGTCGAGCCGACTGAGGTAGAAGGTGGTGGCGTGTTGTTCTGTTGATCTGCGGTTTCGGGCGTTTTTTCTTCTTCTTTTCTTGTTGTGTTTTTTCGGTTTTTTTTTCCGCTGCCCCGTCCTTTGCGCCAACTCTCTCCTCTCTATTTACCCGCCCTTGCGTGCTTCTGACCCTCTTGACTCCTTGGCAAACTTCTGCGCGTGATATCAAGACGGTGGACACGGGGGAGCAGGAATGTGTAAATCAAAAGCGATTGGGGTGAAGATCGGGAGATCGGGATCGCGAGCCGAGAACCAGGAAGAGGGGTAATACAACGTACCAGCAGCGCCGTCGAACAGACGGTAACCGGTCTTGATGGCGTTGTAAACGGTATCGGCGGCGATGGCGTTGTCGACTTTCCACAGGCCGAAACCGACCTGGGGCATGTCGTAGCCGCTGTTCAGCTTGATGGTGGGGATGTTGACCATCTTGACGGATTTGTGAGTGGTGAGTTTGGTTTGTTAAGGGGGTTTGTAGATGTGTCGTAGGATGGAAGAGCACCGGTTTAGGACGAGGGATAATTGAGAAGGCAAGGGGAGAGAGAAAAGGGGAGAAAAAGCAAAAGGCAAGAGAAGGATGGAAGAAAAGTGGCAACGATGAAGGGGTCTTAAATAACTTTGCCGTTCTTTTCCTCCGAGCCGTCCATTCGCAAGCTTGCGCCACCCACACACCCACAGCCATCGTCACCTTTGGTCGTCCCGGCGGTAAATATTCTCGTTCAAGGAAGATCGAGGTAACGAAACTAGAAATCACCCGCAGGCCGCCATAGGTGGTCGTCTGTACTGACGCCGGCGACGCGGCGATGGGAAAAGCTTGGATGAGATCACGGAGGCATCCACCGTAGCAAGGTCATTAGCCTATCCGCGCAGCACTGATTGGCATGGGTAAAGTGCTAAGTCGGGGCTGATGTGGGCCGGTCCACAGGGTCCTTTCACTGTCAAGAAGGGAAAGAAGGGGACGGATGGTGGAGGAACACTATGAAGTTATGAATTGGGGGACCCCGGCCACGATTCGCGCGTTTAACCGGGCTCAGGCTCAAAGCTTGAGCGACTTTACCAGCGGATTCATCCCCCTCAGATACTTCCCCTCAGCTATATCCATAGCTTTCTTTTTTTTTTCTTTTTTTTTCTTTTTTTCTTCTTTTTTTTTCTTTTTTTTCTTCTTTTTTTTCTCCTCCCTCCTTTCTCCCCATCTGTTTTCTTCCGATCTTTCTCTTAGGTGGGGGCGAATTGGCCGCGATCTCTGTGTAGTGCCATTCCCTTTGACACGTGCCCAGGCCTCGAAGCAATACTTAGCTGCGCGTGCTGAGGTAAGGCGCGTTTCTCGGTGAGACGACAGGTGAAGGCCTTGGCAACGTCGAGACGAAGAGCAGGCTGTCGCCCATGGTTACTGCCCTGGTCTACCTAGATCTCCCTTGACTACAATGCGCCAGCGCCAGTCTCTCTCCATGAGAAAAGGACAGGTGTCGTGCGGCCTTGACCTCCGGACAAAGCCGGGCGGAGGGCGGTTTTGGGGATCCATGAGTGGACGACATTCATAAGAGGCTGGCATCGTGACCTCGAAACTAGGTAATTAGAGGACGAGCATGAAAATGAAGCACCACTCTTCGGATTCGCCAAGGCGTAAAGGAAACCAGCCACTCTGTCAGCCGAGCCAATCTTAACGGGGCAATTCGTTTGTTTGGATCGACATCTTGAAACGAGGCGGAACGGCTGTTTCTCAGACACCTCAGTGCCGATCAGCAGCTTGGTTGCATGTTAGGATTGGTTCCGAGAGGACCGAATTTGACATGATCACTGGGACTCAAACATCAGCCGATTCTCCCCTTTGGGCATCTCCAGCCTATAAATATTGGCGGCTCCACTGACATTTGAAAGAGCGAAGTAGCGCCGGCGCGGCGGCATTGCCGGGAGAAACTGGTTTGCCAGGACGACTCGACGGCTAAGACGTGAGACTTGCTGTCGAGGGTAAACCCAAAACGGTGTCTGTTTCCGGGTTCCGAGAATGCGATGGCTTTGTGTACTTTGCGCGTCTCTCAGTCACTCTCTCTCTCTCTCTCTCTCTCTCTCTCTCTCTCTCTCTCTCTCTCCCCCACACACGCACACGCACACACAACACTTCCACACGTGTAAGCGGGCGTCGTGGTGATTCTTCTGCATTATTCCGGCGGAAGCAAACCGGAAATTTCAACCAACGGCCCCGTCCGAGTCGAGTCTGAGTAATATTGACCTGTGTGCAAGTGTAGCTGGGGGGTGACCAAGCTGTGTTTCCCACAGTGACACAGGCGCTAGGGCTGTTTCGGCTTTTAGGCTAATCTGTGGCTGGAGCGGTTAATCCTGGGTCCCCGCATTTCCCCCTTGAAAGGGAAAGCCCCTGTATCCGTACGTTACGCCTAAAGTCATGCGTCTCGCTATCCGTCATGTGACTTTCTATCGCCAACGCATCGCAACTATTACCGGCCCGGTGCCACGCCAGGTTTCAACCCTCCCTCCGGCACTTCAACTCCCCGAGCCAACCTCACGACAATCAGTTTCCCCTTTGGCGCCTCACTTTTCGCGAGGTCTCGTAATAGCCTAGGAACGACAACATCATCTTTCTCGTGCCTCAGATGTCCAAACCATGACCACGGTAATTAACCACCGGTCGGGTTCCTCCCTGAGCCCTCAACCAGACTCTCCCTCCCGACCAGCGATTTAGCAGACTTGACGTTTTCTTTTCCTCTCGGACCTACACGATGACCAAGAGCATTTTGGTCAAATCTCCCAATGCTCCTCTCCCAAGTGATGCACTATCAGGTCGATGTCTCATCGTCTTCACTGATTCCCTTCTTTCCCGATGTTCTCCTCGACAGCATTTGTTGACAGTACCTGGGCGTAGGATAGACGGTGGCTCAAGTCAAAACCCGTTCTTCTGTCAATGAAGCCGCGGGTTGTAGTATCATTCTACATGTTACGGGGATTCTCCCTTTGTTCCTCCTGGTTTTCAGCAAAGGCTGTGTCTTGCGAGCATTTTGGCTTGGAATGGAAGCTTCTTTGTTGCGCCTCAAAGGACGTTAAGGCGCAGAGGCCGTTGTGGTCTATTTTTGTCTATTTTTTGGCTCTCCTCCGGAATAGGAAACAAGATGTCCTTGTCCTCGTGAAAAGCATTGGGGAGTTCTTTGGAACTCCCAGGTCAACCTCCATCCAGCTCCGCCCCCCGATATGCTCAATGGGTTTATGTCTCGACCCTATTATCTCGTCTTGCTAGATTTAGCGTCTCGGACACTTTGAGTCGGGACCTTTGAAGATTGGATTTGTGCTTTTGTTCTGTTTTCATCGAGTCTTTCACTTGATTTTCGGTATAACATGGGGACTCTGCGCAAAGATCCAAACCACCTACCACAGTCTCGCCTCGCCTCTTCCTCTAACACAAATATACGTTTCAGTCTCTCATCACCACAGCGAAACCAACAAACCCAATAACATTGCCAACAAGAGAATTGCTCCCATAACCAAGCATCATAGGCCTCCGCCCCAGCAGCCAACATGACCGAAGCAGCAGCGGAGGAGAACCCCTATTCCGTTGACGACAGGCGTCATTTCAGAAATTCATCCTGCCAGCAGGCTGCACGTTATAGGGGAGGATCATACAGGCAGATCGATCGCCATGGCAGGTTTAGTAGAAAACCAACGGATTACAGCTACGCCCACGGCGCTGGCCCCCGACTACCAACGGATCAGCTTTACTTGGGGAAAATGGAGGAACGCACCCTCCTTGAACCGCTAATACAGGGAGGTGAGGGCAGGAACCTGGGTTACGGCATCACGCTGACGAAGGTTCTCGCGGTGGGCGGATTTGGCATCGCCGCTTTGGTTGAGTATCAACCTCGGCGGAAAGGAGCAGAGAAGATCAAGTGTGTCATGAAGCTCGACTTGTACGGTGTTAACGAGCTTCAGAACGAGGAATATTATCTCAAGGTAGGTCACGAGAAACCTGGGCTTCTCAGCTGCACTCCCCGACTCCCCCCCTCACACCAACCAACTACTACCCATGTGGGCGTCCAGGTATTGACTTTTCCATCCAGCTCTTCCAAGGTGCCAGACACGTCGTTCAGATTCTCGACGCTACGGACGAGATCAAGGCTCGCCGCGAACAGGACTTGCGGGCCCGCGGTCTATGGGTGGAGCCCGCTGAACGACCCAGCGTACTGATCCAGCTCGTGCAACGCGATTGTCGTACGGAGGACCTGCACGACACTGATCATGAATTCGACATCCAGAAGCAACGCCATCGCAATTTCGTCTTGCTGGAACAGTGCGAACACGGCAATCTCATGAACTGGCTTTACAAGTCTGCGACGAAGATAAATCCCTTGACGCATAAACTGGGATACACGTGGCCCGACAGGATCCTATGGGAGTTGATGGAGTGCTGTGAGTTCTCCCCGCCCCCGAGGGCTGGGATATGTTGACTGTATGTTCATTGGAGACTAACGCAAGTACCGCAGTGGTTCGAGGGTTGATTGCTGTGGCGTACCCTGTAAAGAACTATCCACCTCACGGCTTTGACCCGAAAGCCCCAGTCCACGAATCGATCCCACCTCGCTCTGGGGGTGCCTCTGGGCCCGGTGCGGTACCGGATCCCCTCGAGCTGTGTCACTTGGATCTCAATCCCTACAATTGTACGTCACCCTCATCCATGCCCAACTCTCTCTCCCAGACGTGTCTTGGTGACGGACAGCCGCCGAGACTTAGGTTTTGGGTCACAGCTAACATACTCATAGTGCTTGTCGGCGCTGCGGGCCACGGCGGCGGCCACGGCCACGGGACTAGACCTATAGTAAAGGTAAGGTGTTCCAAAACAAGGGGTGAAGAGAATGATTATCTAACAGCCTCAGATGGCCGATTTTGGGGGCATGTGGGACTTCACACCAGCCAAGGTCGAGGAGAACCCAGATCAGTTTCCGTAAGCACGTCCCTCCACTTTGCGGCCTGCGCCCGTAACCAAACTGAGTGCTAACCTGTGGAACTCATGTACAGGGAAGAGATTTTCTGGTTAGCCAGGAATGAGGGCAAGTTTTGCTCCAGATTTCCTGTAAGAAAACCCCCCCCAAGTCCCAGCGATGTCCAACATATATCTCGGGCCCAGGGCACGAAAATCTGACAGATTATTAACACGGTTCAGGAACAATTTACCGATGAATGGGACGAGTTTACGTCGTTCATGGGGGTCTTCGGACCCCGAGAAGTGAACCGATTCATTGGAAGAGGCGCCCCGAAGCCGGAAGTCGCAGGCAATTTCGGGATGCACTCCAACATCTATCAAATAGGGGTCACGGTATGCAAAAACTCCCTCGCAGTTTCTGTCCTCCACCGTCTGAGACTTCTCTTACATCTACGGCACCCAGCTTGTGGGGCACTCTCACCTGGATTTGCTGACCTTCTTTTTCCCTCGTAGATGTGGATGGCGATTACGCTTCACGTATTCGAACCACCAGTCAAAGAGGGGACCTATAAGGATAGAAACGGCAACGACGTCCTCACATACGGAGCCGCCCTCTTGGACAAACGGTTCTCGCACATCGACCTTAAGCTCCGGCAGTTGGTGCAACGTTGCATGGCACACCATCCCCGTGACCGACCGAGGCTGGAAGAGCTCCGCGATGAGATCCGGGCCCGCACTAGAGAATGGTTCCGCATGACGGACGAAGAAGCGAAAGAATGGTACAGGGTCTTCTTCACAACGCCGGATTATCCAGAATACCGCGACCCTTCCAAGAAGACGGAGAAGGATGGGGGCCCCACTGCAGGAGGCGGTGCCGGCAAGAAGAAGAAGCGTGGGACACCCGGGGGAGGCGATGGAGAGGCCAATCCCGGTCAGAAGAAGAAGCGTCGAAACACAAAGACGTGAGATGCGTCTTTCTGTCCGCATGTCGCTGCAAGTGGGAACGGCGCAGGGCTCACAAGAGGAAGGAAGCCGAAGACAGAACCCTAGCGCTGTTTGGTGGGTTGAGCTTGACGTATTATCGGTTACTGGTTGGGATGCTGCATATTTGTGTGTCTTTCAAAATAGATCCTATGTTTTCCTCGTTGACGACGGTTCCCTATACCTATTTCCCCTGGGATTCTGGCTTGCCACGGTCAAAAACAGTCGTGAATCGCAAGAGTTCGTGATGCATCGGGCAGCGAGTGCAGTGGGGGGTTCTGTGGGGGTGCAGCTTGGAGAGTTCTGATCTTCGTGCCTTATGTAATGTACCTTAAGGGACCTTAAGGTACCTATGTGAATGTAGCGAGATATGACGTCAATAATCAGGGGTTATCTTTCCAAACTGGGAGTTACCTTACGAATACAAGCAGGTATTGTTCGTACAAACGCACACGACATCCCAAGATGAGGAAAGCGCAACCATTTCATCTCGCATATGTCAGTCAGTGTTCTCCTTGTCCAAGACGGTTTCACCCTGTCTTCCTTGAAATGTTACGGAGTAACTACAGGTAAGGTAGGTTGCATACCTGTTCAACACAACAACAAAGCGCCGTCTGCAGAGTAAGTCATTTCTCCTCTCGAGTAGACGCAAGAATACCGCTATTGGACTTGCCTTTGTGCACGTCGGACAACACCACCAACCTACCTAAGGTAATCTGCGAGACGATCTCGCAATAGCTGGACCAGGGCGCAAGAAAACAGGCCGGAAACGAATTCGGGGATGGACGTGACAAAGGCACTGCCCGTGTCTTTTGAAACGGAGTCGTCACAGAAATCCGGAGATCAACAGTCTTGGACATCAGAATCGCCGTCTCCCAAGCCTCCACCCACAGCGGAGGAGCAGAATCGCTTGTCTCGTGTCCACCCCCCTCGGACACTGAGGGAGCGCTTTCTCCATACCTTACCTTACTACACCGGCCCTCATGCTGTCAGCTACCTCGAGATGGAATGTCCCGTCCGTGGGCCCAGAACCGTGTCGAAGCTGCAGCGGAACAACGCTCCTCTCCTTCGACTCGATACCGTCCTCTTCTCCGTCTACTACCCGTGCGACCCACACATCGACAAGCAAGACGGCGAAGAGCAGAGTAAGAAGGAGAGACGTGGGAAGAAGGGGGGGATGGGGCAGAGGCACAAAGGGAAAAAGAGCCCGCAGCAGGCAAGGGCGAATTGGCTGCCGCGGCCCAGAATACAGACCTGCAGGGGATACTCCAACTTCCTGAACATCCCGCATGCCCCTGTCACCGCTTACATTGCCTGCACGTCCATGTTCACCAAGCTCCCAGCGTTTCGGAACGCGCAGCTGACGGGGCGATGGCCGCCCTGCCGTGCAAAAGACGACGACCCGAGAGACCAGACGCGGCAAACGGCCGACGGCACGGGGCGGCGGCCGAGATTCCCCGTCATCGTGTTCAGCCACGGGCTCGGCGGGTCGCGGACGGCGTACAGCACCATTTGCGGCGAGCTAGCGAGCTACGGTTTCGTGGTGGTGGCCATGGAGCACCGCGACGGCAGCGGGGCGCGGACCTACGTCAACCTGCCGGAAAACCGCCAGCTCTCGGACGTGCAAGTCGATCCCGAGGCGAACCTGAACGTGTCGGACGCGCGGGGGAAGAGGATGAAGAAGCCGCAGCGCGAGGGCAGGGCGGCGCCGCAGCAGTACTACGTCGACTACCTCTTCCCCAAGGGCAACGTGCAGGACACCTCCCCGCACAGCGCGCACGGGGTGGACACGAAGCTGAGGACGGCCCAGATCGAGATGCGGCTGGCCGAGATCGAGGAGGCCGTCTACGTGCTGGGGCGGATCAACGAGGGGGCCGGCCGGGAGGTGGCGGCCGCGAACCTGCGGCGCAAGGGCAACGTGGGGTCGAGCTCGAAGGGGCTCGAAGGCATCGACTGGGCGGCGTGGGAGGGTCGTCTTTACCTGGACGAGGGCGTGACGGTCATGGGCCACTCCTTCGGCGGGGCCACGACGGTGCAATGCCTGCGGACGGAGAGGCGGTTCGAGTGGGTGGGACAGGGCATCGCGCTGGACGCGTGGGGCCCGGCGACGCCGTCGGCCGGGGCGGCGGAAGGGACGGGCGTCATCGATAAGCCGCTCCTCTCGATCGGGTCCGAGGCGTTCATGCACTGGGAGGAAAACTTCGACCGCGTGGTAGGCGTCTGCCGGGAGGCGGCAACGAGCGGCCGAGGGCGATCGTGGATGATGACGATCCGTGGCTCGACGCACCTGTCGCAGACGGACTTCGGGGTCCTGTACCCGACTTGGATGGATCTCCTGTGCAAGACGCTGGTAAACCCCCTGCGGGCGCTGTACCTGACTGTGGCGCCGTCGATGGAGTTTCTCAGGCTCGTGTTGTCGGCGGAGCAGGTGGAGGGGGCGCGGGGCGTGGACTTTTGGCCCGACGAAGGGATCCTGCGGACGGCGGTGGAGCCCGAGGCCGAGGTGACAAAGGAGCACCGGCCGGAGGAGAAGTGGATCGCGTCGCGACTGCGGGTGGACAACGAGCTGAGGCTGCGGGCGAGGAGATGGCTAAGGTGGACAAGGAAAAAAGAGGAAAAGGGAAAGGGAAAGAGGGGCTTATTAGTGGACTGGGATGACGGCAACGAGATATGGATGCATTTCAGACCCGAACGGGGGGTCATGGATCGAGAGGGAGATGACGAAGCAAAGCTAAACGCGAAAAACGATGTGGAAGACGAATCATCATCGAGAGCGAGTTCGGCCCGGGAGGGTACAGCGGTCAAGCCCGAAGAAGACATGACGAGCTGGACCACGAGGACAATCGACGCGGTGGTGGGGGGCGGCTAAGAACACCGGGCTGTATGTCTCATTGAATGGGCATGGATAGAGCAAGCGAGAGTACCTTGCTATCCGTATCTCGTACTAATAGAAGGTATTCGTAGGTGGGAATAGAGCGCAACGGTAAGAAGTGTTGTCGGAGTAGTGGGACTCGTGGCGAGCTGGGCGTCCCGCTGTCCACACGCACCGCTTACATTGGGCCTACAGGTTAGTTATGCGTTCTCTGCTCGGCGAATTCATAATAATCAACTGCCTTGGAAATTTCCAAAGAGTCGGACGCATGGTATAGTCTCCATGAACCATGAGGAATTGGAAGTTTGGAAAGCAGAGGGCAAAGAGATGCCGAGACGACATTTTTCAACGGCCGGCACAGCACCGAAATTAGTGAGCTTAGGTAATGACCAGCTAGCTACATGGTACATTGCACTGTGCTCATCTGCTCTTGTGGGACAAGGATTTACAGTTCAATCAACCGTGTACGAAATAGAATCAGACTGTATACACGCATTACCTAATATCAGACCAAGGGGTTCCAACACAACGTATCACGATAATCCGACCATGCGGCTAACAATGGGTCCGTCGCAAATCCTGGAATGAGGTGCGGTGGGTACCTCTCAAGTACTTCTCTAGTGTACACAGCTTCGTACACGTGTACCAAGCACTCCGTGATTCACGATACCTTACTTACTAGAAAGTGATGTAGTGTATATGGGCCCAAGTTAGATACGGATGGTCAGATATTTCCTTAACTGGAGGCTACCTTAGGGATAATAGCCAGGTCTTATGATGCCCAGCCTTTAAGCAGCAACCTGTTCTGTTCCGAAATCGTTCAAATGTTTTGGTATGTACCTATGTGCCTTTGGTACCTGAAATACACGTGTAGTTTGGCTGAGGTCGCGACCTGCTGAAAAACATAACGCTAAACCCTGTGAAGAAAAGATGGGTGCATCCTAGATGATCAACGGGCCAACAGCCAAAGACAACGCTCAACGCCTCGTATCCTGAGCACAAGCTGAAAACCCAAGCTGGAGACACACCACCCAGGCTACCATGATGTTGATGCACGGATATCCGTCCTCCGTATTCCCAAACGTACCTTCTCATTCGTCTTGCCCGATTTGTTGCCCCAGAAAGGCGTGTTTCGATGACCAGTCACTCTTTCACAAGGATAATAGGCACAACAAGGGCCCTATTTCGTAGAACAAAAAGCGCCAACCAGCACCAAGATAACTCGAGGGTCAGGTTGTTACATAGGTTCAGGGGAGCATGATAATCCGTAAGCGCATGGCCTGGTGCTGGAGTTGCAGATGTGTAATTACTCATCGGCCGCCAGACTCGGACATCGAGAAGAAACTTGGATCGGAATAGGAGAAAGCTCGTCATTCAACATCCTGTTTGCTGTTTGCTGTCCGTCACAAGCGGCTTTTCTTTCATCCCGAGATCCCTGATCCCCAGCTGGCCCTCCGTGGGTCGACACCCAGCGGCCCCTCCATCTTCTTCGTTTGGTTCTTCGTTCTTTTCCTTCTCTCATTGCTCTTATTTATTCCTGTGAATTTATTTTAAAGGAAAACGAGAGGGGGGAGACATCGTTTTATCATTCATTACCTCGGTCTCTTTGAAGTCATATCGGCCCGTCCTGTTGAGAATCGAAAGAAATCTGAGCCGAAACCAGACTTTTCAACTCCGAATTATTTCATGATAACTCTTAAGGTACAACGTAGATAAGGCGAAAGCCATCCATATTATAACAAATTTATGGCACCCTGACAATTCATTCTTTTGCCCATAAGAAGTCCCGCATATAATTTGAGTTACCTACGGCATGTACATCACTCTACGTACTCCTCTCACACATTATCTACTAAGTGGTTCCTGCAGCTGCGAATAGTGGCCTATCTACAGTAGGGTAGGTGCATCCCGGGTCAGGTCCATTCACCCAACCATCAGCACCTCCAGGGTCGTGCCTACCTCTGGACATATAACTGTGGTTGTAGATAAACTGATATTAAACTCGGAGGCTAAGCTAAGGGTAGGTATGGGTCTGAGTAGGGCGAAAAGTTAAGCTAAGGGTAGGTATAGGGGGTGGTTAGTGCTAGATCATATAATATACGCGGATGCCTTAAGTAAGCGTTAGGCCTTAATAGAGGGGTAGATAATTAAGGGGTAAGATAGCGAGAAGATGAATAAATTAAGATAGTGGTGACGTGAAATAGCTAGGAAACGATTCGGAAACGATTCGGAAATGTTTTAAGAGACGGATATTATAAATTTCGATTCGGAAATAGATCCTGATAGTAAGATTTAGCTAAGGAGCTACTAGAGCCAGAATATTAAGAAAATAATTTTTATAATCTAAGATTTCTTAAGAATAAGAATCTAAGACTATATTTATATAGACTATATTCGAATCGTCGACCTACTAGATATATAATTAGAAGGAATAAAGTATAATAGGTATATATCTATTAATTCATACTTTTTAGTTTCTTTTACTAATATAGATTAGATTCTATTAAAAGTCTAAAATAACCTAATCCTAATCTCTGCTTTTACCTATACTAATAGTAGACTTACCCTAGGCTCTTAAGCTATATAAGTTAATAAAATTCTATATATAGCTAGGATACCCGAGATACCTAAAAGCTGCGTTACGGGTATAGTAATTATTATTCTAGCGGACGTTTTAAGTAACGAGGAGAAAAAGAGTCTATAGAAAATAGTAGGTTATTCCTTTCTTCGTTATCTATATTATAATTATTAACTTAACCTAATATAGATCTAGTACAAGATAGCTTAAAAGTAACCTGCATCGCGTTCTATAAGCGCTACGCTTAGAGACGCTCTAGTTTTCCGTTATACGTATACTTATTAAGGTAGTAAAGCGTGTTAATATCTATCTATAATAGACTTCTATCACGATCGTGTTAGTCTATAACTCCTTAACGAAATTAGTTAATAACGCGTAGACGTAAAAGACCTTACGCTATAGAAAAAGGCTATTAGGTAAGTAATTAAGAGATATATAGGATACCCTTAAGATAAATCATTAATACGGTTTAAGATAGGTATAGGCAATATAGGTAAGATTTAGTAAAAAGATTACTTATATGAACGCGTAAGACATATATATACTAATAGTAGATTCTAGCGGCTACCACGTAAGTATTACTATTTAATACGTTATATTATTAAAACTATTCCTAATAAACTAAAGTATCTTACGGACTTTTAATAATATTATATACGATACTAGTCTTAGACCCCCGCCGACGCGACGCGTTCCTATCTCGTTACTATTATTCTATCGATCTTCTACCCTTACCTAGATCTTATTAAATAGAGTCTTAATCCCGTAATACACGGCGCGCTAATAAATCCCGATAAGATATACTATTTATTCGCGACAAATCGCAGGAAGCGCCGGATATATAGTACGTATATCCAGAAATAGCCTAAAAACGATTCGGAAACGATTCGGGATCTATTTACTAATTTTTCTAAATAGATAAAGTTTATATCAGAGGCCCTAGGTAAATTCAAATACGAAAATACGACGTCGAGTTTAGATTTTTTATTCTATACGATTTCGGCATAACGCTATAGATTATTATAACCTCCTATAGAATATACACTTATCCTCCGCCACCTCCTTTAAAAGCCCCCCCTTCTATTATTAATAGGATTATAAGAGTCCTTATAAAGATTAAAAATCCGATTATTAAATTAAACGTGTTCCTTAAGTCGAGTAAACTTAAAGAGTTCATCGCCGAATATAGAGAAAAAACCATTATTGATATCTATACTAGTCTTACGAGTAGCGATTACCTTAAGTATATTATTTGTAAGTAGTAGATTATCCTATTTCCTTAGAGCGGTTATAGTCTTACTTTATTACTTAAGCAGATAAAAGAGGTAAACTAATGAGTATACATAAGTATACTTTAATTATATTTTATAAGCGTATTCTAATAATATTCCCTTAGTATATTTAGTATTTATACTAATCCGAGAGGAATTATATAGTAATCTGTTTTTTTTATAAGTAGGTAAAATAGTAGACCTTTCCCGATATAATATCGTTTTTCGTCGACGCAAATTATAAATATATTAACGGACTTAAGTAAAAGGAAATTATTCAGGCCTAGTATAGCTATACCTCAGAAAGAGGTATACTCCAGAATCGTTTCCGAATCGTTTCTGAATCGTGCCAGCTAAATTTTACTGAATGATTCTGAATGATTCTGAATGTTTCTGAATGTTTCTGAATATCTAGAAACGTTTCCGAATCGTTTCTAAATAATCCCTAATATCGTCTAGTTCTTCTACTTATAAGGTGCTATACTAACTCCGAGATAATAAAAATATATCTTTATATATTTTACCAGGTCTTTAAGATTCTAGAGGATAAGTATAATATTCATATTAAGTGGAAATACCTCCACGGAACAGGTCTTCTTAGAGTAACTTTAGATTAGACTTTACCTATAATCCAGGGATTTAGTAAATACCTCTAGTAAAAATACCGGCTACACAGATTATAGAAAACTCAGGTATTATACTATATACGACTCTATATAATTTTTTTCCGGCGCGGTATTAAGAGTATTTTAGGCGGTAACCTAGTAAAGGGGTAAGGCTCTGCCTACTATATTCTTATAACTCTGCTAGAATACTAGAGTAGTAAGGATTATAATAAGCTTTATAACGCGATTAGCTATAAGTATTATCTAGAAACGATTCGGAAACGTTTCGGAAAGCTAACCTATCCTTTAGGGATAATACCTTAGTTCCATGACTAGGCGGCTTATAAGCGATTACCGTATATCGCTACTAGATTCTATTAAGCTACCTTAAATATCCTAGCTTAGGACTAGGCACTAATTCCGAGCTATTCTAATACGGTGGAGGTTATACACTAAGCCTTATATGTATAGACTAGACGAAGTGTCTATATCCTTAAGGTTATTAAAGGGTAAGTATTAAGCGCGATATCCTGATTCTACTTACTAATATTTATAGATATCGTGTCTATAACTAGAATCTAGTCTTAAGAGATTTTATAACGCGTTCCCTCTAAGTCCTTAGCTCGTGGCGAAATACTAGGATAAGCGGCCGGCTTAAGAGTATAATAGGTCGGACTAATAAGCGATATAATTTTTTATTACGCGTCTAAAGTTTTACTAACCTTTAACTATTCTAGAGCGAAAATATCTGTAGGTTAACACGGAAGGGGATAAAGCTTCTCGCGAGCGCTTACAGAGTCGTGTAATAATATCTAGTCGATCTATTTCGAGATCACCTCTTAATCCTCCGGAGGATTTTAGAGGTTTAAACCGTGATAGTATAGAGTCAGATTCGCGAAGCTCTTGAATAAGAAGCATAAAGAGCGTGTCCTTAAGTGGAGTTCCTCTAAGACACGCACGAAGTCAGCGCGTAAACGCTCCACGTAATCTTCACTAATACGCTATATTAGGGCATGTTTAAGCTTTATAAGAGTCGTTATCTTTTAATAAAAGGAATCTAGCTCTTAAGGAACGCCGACGCGAAATAGAACAAAAAGATCGTTAATTAGAGGCTAAGATTAAATAGTAAAAGCACGAAGATAAGCGGCGGTATAAGCTAGAACTAGTGCGGCTTAATCTTAAGAGAGAATTATTACTACGATTAAATTGATCGAGTTAGATAGGCGTCGGGATCGTTATTCTTTATTATTATAATTATTTAGCAAAAAAAAAAAATTAAGTGAAAAAACAAGAAAAAAACATAAAAAAACACTACTAAAAACGCCTTTATATATACCATGTTATTATTACTAACGCCGTAAAAATAGTAGCCCGGCGCTATAGAAACGTTTCTAAAATATTTCCAAAATAACTATTCACTCCTCGTTATTAGGAGTAGAAGGACGCGCCCGATCAATGCGATAATATTAGGGAGGGGGGCGGGCAGGGGTCGAAAATTCTAGTAGAAGAGTTATTAGTTTAAAGGCTCTAATTCTAGAGTAAGATACCGACTTACTAGATACTATTTCCCTATCCGCTATATTCTTATAGCGATATTTAGCCTATACTGTATAAAGATAGTTATAGTAAGGAGGGGGGCAGCCTAGGAAATATATACTATTAGTGAAATATACTATAGTAAACAGGAAAGGCAATATACTACGATTAACAGAGTTCTACTCTATACACGCCTAATAACGCTCTCTATTTTCCTATCTAAAGATATCTAGTTTTATAGGAAGGATATTAGGCTAAGAAATCAGATATATTAGTAATAGACTCGGAATGGTTTCTGAATCGTTTCTGGATAGTATCCTATATTTCTATTAGTATCTTTAGGCATAACCCGAAGATATATATCTTTAGCCACCGCTTTAGCTTTATAAGGAGTGTTAAGGGTTTTGTTAATCCCTATAGCCAGTTTCTGTATAGCCTTATAGTACTACGCGGTAAGGGCGTTATCCCTCGCGTTAAGGGAACCGGAAGCACTAGGGGCGGCCTAGGTATAATAGGTGGTGTGGATATGTTTTTTAAGGGCGCCGAGTAAAGAAAATTTCGATCGCTATATAGATATAATTAGTTAAAGGCTTTAAGTATTCTTATAAATAGAAATAAACTTATATTAAAGCATAAGTCGCTATTTTCTTCTATATACCTGTAAAAAACTTCTCCTATAGCTATAATAATCACCTTACCAGTCTTTAAAGAGTATTAGTAAGCTATAACGTATTAGATTAGTGTATATACTTACTCTATTAGTCTTAAACTCTGGCAAGGTGCTATAATGCTATCAGAATATACAGTGCTTATACGTTGCCACAGGACTGGCACTAGACTTATACATAGATAGGGGGATCGTAGTCAGGTCAGACTATCAGAGATACGACACGTCGAGGTCAAGTAAGCTAGTCAGCTTAGATTTAGAATGTTATAGGTATACTGTGAGGAGTAATAGGCGACTGCTAAACGATATAAGATCACTTAGTGACTGGTAGGAACTAAAGAGGGGGTATCGTAATAAGATTATTCATTGAGTCCTTCTAAGACTCTAGGAACTGTAGAAGGCACTCCCCTCTTTATACCTACCTAAGGTCTTCTAACCAAGTGGGTGGCGAGAGGCCTCCTTAAGACTAAGTTTAGGCGTAAGCTGGTTCCTAAGCTGACCAGCTTACTAGATCTAAGCTGACTTCTAAGCTGACCAGCTTACTTAACCTCGACGCGTCGTATCTCTGACGGTCTAACCTGACTACGATCCCCCTATCTATATATAAGTCTAGTGCTAGTCCTGTAGTAACGTATAAGCACTGTATATTCTGATAATATACCCCTCTCTAAAAATACTCCTATCCTTAGGAGCGTAAGTGCGGATAATCAAAGAGGGATTAGTTATCTAGTAAAGGGAACCTGTATTATTACGAAACTCTTTAGGATAACCGTCTTTATTTAGACCGGGTTCTTTCTTCCCACTTAGAGTAGTCGAGGAAGATAATAAGCGTTCACCCTTAAACCGTAAACATAGCCACGTCTAACTAAAACGTTATTTAGGCATAAAGGTCCTAAGGGCAGTATAATTAGTTTAAAGCACGAAGTAAAAAAGAATCTATAAATAACTATCGTATAAATAAATAACGTGCCTAAAATATCCTTAAAGCAAGTATATAAAGAGATTGCTTATAGTGTTACCGTTAACCAGCACGGTTCTTATTATAGTAAGAATAAAAGGATACAGGAGGTCTAATAGCAGGTGTAAGGTGTTATCGTGGTAGATATAAGGAAGGCATACGCGGTTCCCTAGGGTTAGATAACCTCTTACTATAGTAATAATAATAATATTAACCATTTTCTCGTATAATCTTTCTCTAATCCTTTTCTTTCCTACTTTAAGCATATATTCATAGTTCTTATACTACAGGTAAGTGGTTCTGTATATTTCCCGTTAACGATTAATAAGTAATAAGGGGTAGCCTTTATTTATAATACTAAATAATTTCTAATAACGCGCCGATAATTCTTATTATTATATCTAATAATCTGACTAAAGATTAGCTAGCGCTTATTATAGAGTATATAGAGAATTTACGCTAGGAGAATATAGCGCTACGGCTAGTGTTAGGCTAGTAAGATACTATTACTAATAATAATAATAACACTCCTACTAGAGTGGTTAACTAAGGTAATAGCCCCGTTATTAAGCTATTATTAGATAGCGAGTACGCTCCTAATAAGTATAAAGAGAATAATAATAATAGTGTTATTATAATTAATAACGATTCCTTCGAGGGGTTCTCTAAGGGAGAGGGTAATAAGGTGGTTATAGTGAACCACGGGGAGGAAGAGGAGGACGAGGACGATACTAACCCGGATACGGTTAATAATATCGATAAGGACGAGGATATAGCCGATACCTATAAAGACGATAACGAGCCGTAGGAGGATACTGCGTACACGGTTAAGGAGGATGTGGAGGGTACCCACCCTCGCGCTCCTTATAACCGTTATATATAGCACTTCCTCCGGCTTAAGCTAGACGGTAGTCGTGGCTATATTATCTTTAGCGCCTACAGGGAGGCGTATACTATTAATTCGTATAAATACGAGTATTACTAAGGTAATAGTTCTCGGGGTTACGTAAAGGTGAGTGATTATAACCCCTTCCCGATAAGCCACTCCTTGGATCACTAACAGACTTCTAGATAACTCTTAAGGCTAAGCTGCTAGGTAAGCGTATATAGCGTCGTCTGATTAAAGCTAATAACCGCGGCTATTATACTGATACGTAGCTTATAAGTAAACCCTGCCCCCTAAGAGAGTATGCCTTACTAACTTAGTGATAGGCCGAACTGAAGGAGCTATAGATTTTGCTGGGTAAGGCTAAGAGCAGGTATTAGGCCTAAAATCGTCGGGGCTTTAATAAGGCTCCTATAGTTCGCCGCGCCGCTAAAGAGGCGGTTCGAGATACTCGGTCTTATCAGGAAATTATAGAGAGTGCACTACTACGTTTCGTAGCTATAGGTGAACGTTTATACGAGCACCTGCTTAGTGAGCAGCCGTAGTGAAACGGGGGACTAGGGGGCGGTTAATATATAGTCACCGAGACTTTATATCGGGGGGGGGGGAACTCCGGCCTTAGAATTTTTCGCTTTTAGGTTTTTTTTCTATCTAGTATAGTAGTAAGTCCCTACGGGGTAATAATTAATTTTCCAGGCCCTAATTTAGGAGGTCTGCGGGTTCGGTATATAAATTCCTAAAGTTCTGATGCGTGAGATGTGTCTTAAGCCTGGTGTGTTAGGATTACACTCTTAAGGCGCTCTGGGTATCTATCTAGGGGGTATCTCGGGACCTCCTAGCGTAATACTCGCGAAGGAGCGATTCCGAGATATTACGCGTGGGTTCCTAAGTATTTTCCTCGTGGCCGTAGCCTTCCTACTTAATCAGGTATTATCGGCGGTTTCTATTATAATGGTGGGCCAGGATATCCTTAACTTCGTACTTATCGGACTCCTGAGGTTTTACCTGGACTTCCTTAGGGACCTGGACGCCGTCTGTACGAGGACTCCAGGGTTCTAAAAGGGAAATAGGAAAGATATTATGAATTTTTATGGTTGCCGGAAGTTTTAACTTATAGGCGAGTCCGTGATTCCCCATAACTTCCTTGATTTCGTAGGGTCCTAGGTACTTATCCGAGAGCTTCTTACTAGGCAAACCAGCTTACGCCTGAACTTAGTCTTAAGGAGGCCTCTCGCCACCTACTTGGTTAGAAGACCTTAGGTAGGTATAAAGACGGGAGTGCCTTCTATAGTTCCTAGAGTCTTAGAAGGACTTAACGAATAATCTTATCACGATACCCCCTCTTTAGTTCCTACCAGTCACTAAGTGATCTTATATCGTTTAGCAGTCGCCTATTACTCCTTATAGTATACCTATAATAAACGCTTACTACTATACTCCCCTTAAATATACTACTAGAAGGCACTAGTTAGTCGGTAGTTAGAGGGCATATTATTAAAAAAACTCTATGGCGGTCTATAAAGTATAACAGGATAGTTAGTTTCTGGATAGGAATCGTTTCCTAATCGTTTCTTAATCGTTTCCGATTACCCGCTATTAAAAATAAGAAGATATACCTAATAATATTATAAAATATAAGGAATTTGATATGGTTAATGAAAAAAGTGTATAGGAATTGATATTATAATACTGCCAAAACACTTATTATGAATAAACAGAGTGGTAATAGTAGGAAAAAGGCACGAATAGGTAAAAGAGGGGAAGAGCACGATAACGTATTTAAACGCGACTCGTGAAATCAGCGGAAACGTTTCCCCGTTACCCGAGCTAATCAGAATTCGCCCCACACCTACCCTCAGCTTAACTTTTCGTCAGCCACGCCCCACACCTACCCTCAGCCCAGCCACCGAGTTCAACATCAGTTTACATATAACCTCTATATAACTGGGTCACCTACCTTGCCTCCTTGCTCCTCGCGAAGTAAGGTACCTTAGACACTAAGGTATATGTTATGTAGGTACCTTATTATTAACTACATTATTTGCATCCATAATTTCCAAGTTTCTTTTCCTTTCTTTTCTAAAAAAATAAATAAAAAAATCAATTATACAATCCTCACTCCTCCTCCGCTTCCTCCTCTCGACGCAGTTGAAGTTGTCCTCTTCTCCTTGAATTCGTCGCTTCAGCTCCTCCTTCGAATATTTCCACTCGCTACTATATTCTTATTCTCCCCTTGTTTCTTTCCTATATCCCTCCTCTCTCGCTGTCTTAATCACGTCCTTCCCGCACCGCTCGTTTTGTCTTGCCTTTCTCTCTCTACGATCACCCTCGACCGAGCCCCTCATTCGGGCCCTCAGTATTTCGTTCGCTCTGTTTCTCCGAATCGCTCAAGCAGCAACTCCTTATCCTCTATACCATATCGCACTCCTGGCCGTATCGTCGACGAACTCACGCTTCGGCATTTGTCTGTTCTCTCTGCTCGTCTCTGCTCGTAAACTCCGGTGTATCAATCGATCGCAAACAATCGCGCCCCGAAAAAAAAAAAACCTACAACTTTGTGTCGCGCGGCCACTACCGGCTATCCAACCAAAGGGCAGGTCATCTTTCACTTACATGCTACATTGATGTCAACGGCATAATATCAGCCCAACTCATATTTTCTGCATAGCGCCCGGCTACCCGCAGCCACCCACCTCCCTACCCCTGGCCGACTTCCCACCACTGGATCGCTGCCGCCAGAATCGAGTTCCTTTTACCTCTCGGCCTTCCCGCTTGGACGGGCCTAGTACGACCGGCTTGTGCGAGACGGCTGATGAGTGACCATACCCGGCATCGAGCTTCGTTTCCAGACACCCAAGTCTCTCTGCGCTGATGCGGTGGCCCTAAGGAGGTCGACCCGCGAGTTGCCTGTTTCTTTGCTCATCAATCTCTATTGTCGGTTTACCCGTATTGGGCTGCACTCTCATTAACTACTACGATCATTCACTGCATCCGGACAGCTCATCGCTGCAGCGAACAATCACCACCCCGTGGTAGAATCATCGCTGCTCTTGGCCATGACGACCATCACTCGCCAAGATGGACCCACGAGTCCTCCCAAGCTTCAACAGATACTAGATTTGGAGCACAAGTTCAAGGTAACGAACACATCGCTTTCACCTGATTCCGCAGGAATAAGGCTATCAGCTAATCATCCCACCCGCTCCCAGATGGAACGTCTTCAGGGCTCTCCTGAGCCTTCGTGTCTGTCGTTACCGACTCTTCGGCACGACACTTCGTCTCGCCACGGATCCCTCACTGTCACGTCCGCCGATCGAAGCAGCTCAAACGTCTCGAAACTCACTATTCTTATCCCGCCATCGACGACAACGATTCCACCCATCGAAAAGTCACGAGACTCCTCGCAATCAGAGCTTCGGCCTCAGACCCCAGCACAACATTCTCAGAAGATAGATAACGTCGTAGACAACAAGGGCGATGAAGAAAAATCGGATTCCGCTTCCTCAATCTGCCACTCCCCTAGCTGGGAAGGCTACGGCCAGAGGAAAAAGGAGAAGAAAGCCGAGACAAAGCAACGTCGGAAGGACAAGGACCAGACAGAGAAGAATCCCAAACACAATACCAAGAAGTCTGTTTCCACCGCCAAATTGACCAAGCCGCCTCCTTCTGCAAGTCGAAGTGCCGACAACTCCAAGGCCGACCGAGACCTCGAGAGCGGACGTTCGGGTCGAACAAGCGCACAAGTTGACCAATATCCACCTTCGGCTTCACGCCCGCATCACAAGAGACGTCGCTCGAGTTCTGTCGCATCTCAAATAAGAGCTGTGTTTTCGGGGCTGAAGACAAAAGAGAAGGAGAAGGAGAAGGAGAGAGAGAAAGAGGTTGGCTTTATCGGAGGTCTCAAACTCGAGAAGGAGAGAGAGGCCGCCAGGAAGGCGGCCGAAGACGCGGCTCAAGGGGACAGGCCACACCTCGAATCTCGTGAGAACAGTCCATCATCGCCGCCGCACACATCTCAGCCGAACACCCCAGGCACCCAAACGCCGCGGCAAAGCAGGGTCGCGGCGCCTATTTCTACAATCTCTCTGGCCAAGGCGGAAACCCCAAGCTCCCCCATTTCTCCCGCGGCACAAGAAAGTGCCGCAGCGACAACGGAGTACCAAGACAGCTACGTCGAGAAATACTCTGCATTGGTGGATGAAAGCCAACGCGGCCGCCAGGGCGGAAGCTACGTTCAGAACCAACGCCAACAAAGCCGAGATCGGGCCATCGTCGCTTTCCGCGACGAGACCCTTGTATCTGCCCGATCACACTACCCGCCGCTGGCAAGACGTCCGCAACATGTGCGTTCTTATTCCTTCAACTCCGAGACGAATAGTCAGGGCGCGACCGGTGTGACGCCCAGTCCCCGAGCGGATGCTTCTGCCGAGAGTTCGCCCAGATCGAACTATGCTCAAAGTAGCGCCTCGCAGAGCTTCGCAGCCCAGCCTGCAAGATCCCCTGCTACTGGATCGGCCACCACAAAAAGCTTTCGGAATTCGATGCAAGCGGCTCTCCACAAGTTCAAGCCAACGCCTGATAAGCTGCCCTCGCCCCATGACAACTCCGACCTTGACAGAGCATCAAGCAGTGCTATTCCGACCCCTAATTCGACGGCATGTTCAGATCTGGACAGAGGCGCGTTGGGCCCTGGACACCCGCAAATTGCAGGAGGGAAAAACGACGTTATCCAAATGGTGAAGGCCCACGATGTAGCTAGACCCTCCTCATCGTCCTCGTCATGCTGTGACGATTCGTTCCGGAGTTCTTCAATAGTGACCACCCCCGATTCTTTCCGTCCACAGTCTGATGAGAACCTTCCCCCCGTCCTGAATGAACTTCGGAAAGGACGCCTAGGAGGGCACCCTCGGGCCGAGTGGGATAGAAAGGGGTTCCCGGGATCTCAACGAAGCTCCTGGGGCGCCTCCGGCCCCATGAGTCCCCGAAGCATATTGGCACCGACTACGTTAAAGAATGAAAAGAATATCTTCCGCGAGGGTGGTCACGAAAAGGCCGAGAAAGCTGTCCAGCGGGACCGGAAGGCAATTGTGGTCAAGAGGGGCAGGGAAGGCAGGGATTCAGGCTCCGAGTCTTTCAGGACCTGCTTACTTCCCGTGGAAGTTACGGGATCCAAAGCGGCTCTTGTGCCGGCGCCGCTCGAGATCACACCTGTCTCGAGCCTCAAGGAAAGCAGCAGGGCAGCAAGCGATTCCCAGACCACGCTCTCTACGGAGCCAGAACCTGAAAGAAATGACCGGAGCACGACTCTGCAGCGGATTCTGAGTCAGCCTAAACGCCGATCAACTAACAGTGTGGACGTCGGTATTGCGTCTTCTCAAGAGAAGAACGGAGGTCGGCAACCTGTTCCGCCTCCGCGCTCTCAAGCACGGGGGACGCCCGGGACGTACACATCGTCGGTATCCCTTGCCGACGCAATTCCCTCAATATCGGTTCCCGGGAGGGGCGATGCGCCGCGCTCGCCGCGCTCACCACGCTCGCCTGACCCTTCAGCATCCCTATCTTCGGAAGCAGCGGGGAGATCTGTCCCGGCGTCTATACCAGTCCCTCTTCGGACTTCTCGCATGACCAGCAGCCGCAAGGAAGGGGGTACGGACCCGTTGGCCAAGATATTGGTTGAGTGCTGCCACTGCAAGTTCTTTCACGACATGCCTAGCCGGGTGTACGAATGCATGGTACGTCCCCACGCCGAAGTAGCCGATCCAGCGTTGGGCGTAAGCGGCGCCATCACGACCATGGTCAACTGTCCGTGGTGCAAGCACGGCATGACGACGCAGTGCTGTGCCGGTTACGCGGCGGTTGTCTATTTGAAAGAAAGGCTTCATTGACCGGGGTCCCGAGCGATGAGGAGTGGCGACACCATCCTAGCGACAACGTCAAACCGGAGACTCGAGGTTGAGGTTGACGCTGACACTGCAATGCGATGCACATTTTACTGAGTATATGACTGGATTACGACGAGTCTTTATGTATTGTATACGAACCATGTAATGAATCTAATGAAGTCTAGTAGTAATGAAGTGACGGTTCTATAGTGTTTCCCTTTTACGACGGATGGAGGTTGGAGCAAGGAAGATAAAAAGGGGGTTATGTTATGGCCATTGCTACTCTGTTGTTAGTTAATCTACAGAGTCTTTCATTGTAAATAAAGCCGAGTGTCGAGCGAATGTATCCGCTTCTTCTGTAGGTATGTAGTCTTCTGCAAGTCTGATTGTGTTCGGGAATCTCGACAAAGAAGAGTAATCGTTGCCTCTATTTCCTACCTAGAGCCCCTGAATCGAAGTCGGCGATTTGTCTAGGTTCTCTCTGCTCTCGCGGCGTAGTCATTGCAGGCTTCCGGCTTGTTGCTCGCATAGAGAAAGAGGAGCAGGAGGTGTCGGTTGCGCAGAGCAGGATCGGCAATGTCAACATTTGGTGCTATCGGTGTATCGGCACTTGCTGTCGCCGACGTCGCTGCCTGGAAAGTGTACAAGTGGATACAACATACCGACCAAGGTACCTTACCTGTGCCAGGACATGGGCAGTCAATGTGTACCTAGGTAATTACGTTGTACTGGTATACCTTATTCCGTGTGTACCCATCCGTCAAACAAACAAGGAAGGACCAACCCCGCGGGTACTTGTGCTTGCGTACTCTTTCTTTAGATCCTTGTCATTCCTTCTCAGAGTCAACATCATCAACATCGTCAACATCAACTACAACCATCGACCCAGGCCTCCATCTCTTCTTCGTAGCCATTCGCCGTTCTCTCATCTCTCATCCCCGATCATCCTAGCAGAAAGCTCCTATATCCCCGAGTCCGATTCTACTACCGCTGATCTTCTTTACTTACCTTACTTTACTGCATCAACCATAACCAAAGTCGATCGGTTGTCCAAGTTCATGCTTGCGTTTGCGTGCTTTTACTTGGTCGCATCATTGAGTCGTATGCATTCCGACTCACCCTCTATTATCGTGGACCCCTAGGCAACTATTGACAGGCTAGCTACCTATCCATATAACACATCTTCGCCTTTTATTTCTACCTCATTGTCTTCCCAATTTTCCTCCTCGCAGTTGGAACTTGTGACGTATAATTCTCGGGCCCGGCAAGTCGGATCCCGGCCATAGGCACTGGCAACTCTTCTCGACCCGTTTCCTCTTCAACTTACCCAGCTTATAACTAGCCCGTCATGCCCGATTCACAGAAGCCGAAGCCCGTGTGGAGCGGGAGCTCACCGAGAATCTCAGGTCCATCGCCAAATTCGACTGCGGCTTCCCCCTCCCCCGGAACCTCTGATCCTGCTCCCGACTATCCTTCTACTTCCTCCTACACCGCGGGCCATCAACACCATTCTGATAGACAAGACACCCGTCGTAGCACCGAAAGCCAACTCGCTGCCTCTGCTCTCATCTCCAATGGGTTTAACCTACCTGACCTCCAGGCCGAGGACCAGGCACCGCCGGCCTATGGCGATGTCTATGACCGGATGCACTTTTCCCAGGCAGGCTTTCAAGCCGGTGCCAGTATCGCAGGTATGTCATGTCATCAGCTTTGATCCAAACTACCACACAGATCTGTTTGACCAACATCGGCTGTAGATGATGGTCGCGTCAACATCAATCTCAATCAGAGGACGTCTCGACTCTCAGAGCTCATGGCCCCGGCACTACAACATCAGATCGCCGGAGACAAACGACGTCGCCCGGAAACTCCCCCGCCTCTCTATATACCCCCGGGCCTCGGGGCTGAACCTGGACAGGCGCCTCCTCCCTCCATGAACATTGTCATTCAAATTGTCGGCTCCCGTGGAGACGTCCAGCCCTTTATTGCTCTTGGAAAAGTCCTCCTGACCTACGGGCATCGTGTCCGCGTCGCTACTCATCCCACCTTCCAGCAGTTTGTCGAGGACAACGGTCTCGAGTTTTTCAGTATTGGCGGTGATCCTGCCCAGCTCATGGCCTTCATGGTCCGGCACCCGGGTCTCATGCCCGGCTTTGACGCGGTTAAGAGTGGTGAGGTCAGCGAGCGTCGGAAGGGTATCCGCGACATGCTTCTGGGCTGCTGGAGGTCCTGCATCGAGGCTGGAAACGGCCATGGTGCCCCTTACACACCCCACCCCAGAGATGAACCCCTAGAGGGCGCCGGCATCACCGTCCCCGGCGACCCCACCCAGAGGCCTTTCGTTGCCGACGCCATCATTGCCAACCCCCCAAGCTTCGCCCACGTCCACATCGCAGAAAAGCTAGGCGTCCCCCTACACATGATGTTTACCATGCCTTGGTCCCCGACGAAGGCGTTCCCTCATCCCCTAGCGAACATCCAGTCAACCAATACCGACGCTATCATGACCAACTACCTATCGTATGCTCTTGTCGAGATGATGACATGGCAGGGTCTGGGCGACGTCATCAACCGGTTCAGGGCCGACGTCTTGGATCTCGACCCCATCTCCCTCATCTGGGCTCCCGGCCTGCTCACTCGATTACGCATCCCCTATACCTATTGCTGGTCTCCGGCCCTCATTCCCAAGCCGAACGACTGGGACAGCCGCATCGATATCGCCGGCTTTTACTTCCTCGATTTGGCCTCTTCCTTTCGCCCTGACCCCGATTTGGCCGCTTTCCTACAAGCCGGCCCGCCCCCGGTTTATATCGGCTTCGGCTCCATCGTCGTGGACGACCCTGATGCCCTAACCAGGATGATCTTCGAGGCAGTGCGATTAACGGGCGTCAGAGTATTGGTATCCAAGGGATGGGGAGGCCTCGGCGCAGAATCCCTAGGATTACCCGAAGGTGTCTTCATGCTGGGTAACGTGCCCCACGACTGGCTATTTAAACATGTCTCGGCTGTGTGCCATCATGGCGGCGCTGGCACGAGTGCGGCTGGTATCCGGGCCGGGAAGCCTACCATTGTTGTTCCTTTCTTCGGGGACCAACCTTTCTGGGGCGCCATGGTTCACAAGGCTGGTGCTGGCCCAGAACCCATCCCGTACAAAGAGTTCACGGCCGAGAAGCTGGCCGAAGCCATTCGACACTGCATGAAACCCGAGACTCAGAACCGAGCGCAAGAGCTGGGCGCCAGAATTCGGGAGGAACGGGGCAGCGAAGAAGGCGCCAAGAGTTTCCACCAGCACCTGGGCGTTGACGGACTCCGGTGCGTTCTCGCTCCGAGCCGTACGGCCGTATGGCGCGTCAGACGGACCAAGGTGAGGCTCAGCGCGTTCGCGGCGGCCGTTCTGGCCGAGAAAGGACTTATCAAGTACTCCGATCTTAAGCTGTAAGTTGAAAGCTGACTGGAGTGGCTCACTGTGCCCCTCCCTTTTCTGTCGACGAGGAAACAGCTGCTGACTGCGTGTTTTCACCCTCGCAAGATATCGAGCCAAAGAATACAACACCGAAGAACAGCCCTGGGATCCTATTTCGGCGGCTACGGTCTCTCTTGTCGCCGATATCAGCGCCATCGGCATGGCTATTGCTGATGTGCCCCGCCAACTCTTCAAGCCTCGAGCAAAGTCCAACGTCGAATCGGAGACAACGTCCAGGCCATCTTCGCCCCCTAGTGATGGATCCTCCAAGTCAGCTCTCGGCGCCCACGATGATGCCTTGTTGGGCACGCCCGTCCGCCCAGCATCTGGTGGCAATTCCTTACGGGCCGATTCTGCGACATCCAAAACATCGGGATCCATCCGATCTAAACTAGCTTCCTCGGCACCGGGCACTGCAATGCCCGATTCAGCCTCTGCTACCGATCCCACAATCAACGACACCATTGAGAAAGCGATGGCTGCCGGTGACAGCGTCAGTCGCATCGTCACCACCGGCGTCAAGTCTCCCATGAACTTTTGTCTCGGTTTGGCAAGGGGCTTCAGAAACGCGCCAAGGTTGTACAACGATGATACAGTACGCCCAGAAGAGAAGGTCACGGACTTGTCAACCGGTTTAAAGGCTGCGGGTAGAGGGTTTGCGCTCGGGCTCTACGACGGCGTGACGGGGATGGTGACCCAGCCCCTGAAAGGCGCCGAGAAGGAAGGTGGCGCCGGCCTCGTGAAGGGCATCGGGAAAGGAATCGGCGGTCTCTTGCTCAAGCCAGCTTCAGGTACGTTGGCCCCGGTCCGAACCGATGGATGCAGAGATAAACCCCTAGGGGGGAATATATTTGACCTTGGAAGTTGACCTCTTCTTTAGCTTTTTGGGCAATTCCCGCATACAGTATGAAAGGGGTGCACGCATCTCTACGGAATATGTTTGGCAACAGCGTGCAAAATTACATCATTGCCTCGCGTATCATCCAGGGAGGTGCTGAGCTCAAACATTCCACTGCTGAAGAGCAGCTGGGCGTTCTTCTGGCGTGGCAGAGGCTTGAGGTCGATCTGAAGAAGTGGCGGGCCTTGAAAAACAAGGAAGAAAAGGAACAAAAGGAACAGGGACCTCGTCAACGAGGGGAGCGCGAGGCTCAAGGAGAGGTCGTCGACAACATTCCTTGGCCAGAAGACCAGTTGGGCCCGCCAAACACGGGATGGAAGTACACGAAACAACTATCATTTGATCAGAGGAAGGCTCTCCATGCTCGCAAGGAATTGCAAAACAGATCTCCTGTCACCCGTCAGACCCTTGCCCCTTCCCTTTCTTCCTCGAGCGCCCAGAGCCGCGAGGACATTTCCCAGGTCGGTGGCAACGCACCGCCTATTCTCGCCAAGGACGAAGAGTACGAGAGAGCCATCCGGGAGTCGGTAGCGCAGACGTCTCGCGGCAATCCGGAGGAAGATGCCAAAGTCGAAGAGGCTATGCGTGCAAGCATCAAACGTCTGCGTGACGAGGGGGGACGAGGGCTACCCGAACGGGCCCCAGTCTCCAAAATCGACGAATTGGAGGACCTTTCCATAACCGACGAAGAGTATCAGGAGCTGATTGAGAAAGCAATACAAGAGAGTCTCGCCCTCCAAACTTCAGGGGTCACTAATTACGGTGGTAGCAAGGGTGACTTTGAAGATGAGAAGATCAGGCGGATCGCGCAAGAGTCTACCACATCTCCGCCGCCGGCCTATGACAGCGGCCACGACGAGGAGTTGAAGCGGGTCATTGAGGCATCGGGGCGCAAACAGGAGGAGGGCCCCCGAAGAAATGAAGACGAGGATTTCATTCGAGCCATCGAAGAGTCCAAAATGGCATACCAGGGCCAGCTGAGCAAGGAAGCAGCCGCCAGGACGGAGGAGGATATCGTGATGGAGTACATCAAGAGACAAAGCCTAGCGGAGGAGGAGTTTCGGAGGGCGGTCGCGAAGGGGAAGATGAGAGCGGGCGAAGAGGAGGACGAAGAGTTGAAGAGAGCGATCGAGGAGAGCTTGATGACGGGTACGCATGAAGATGGCGCTGGAGGGGCAAGCTCTTCTAAGTAGAGAGGAAATCATTACCCTACGTACGTACCTGCTACCATAATTTCACACGTTCCCTAAGGTAGTCATAGAGCTACCGAAGCGCAACTCTTTGGCCCTAGGTTCTTCCCATTTACAGCCCGCAGAATAAGACTGGCGTTGGACTAAGTGGACAACCGGGAAGACGATATAAATGAGCAGACAATGGCCTTGGAATAACCCTTTTTGACTGCCTCACGACTTGACAAATGAGACTGGTATAATACATTTATATTGCCCTCCAATCCTTTACCCCTCAAGGAAAGATAATGCGCCATCCATTACTGCAAGGGAGCGAGAGAGAAAGTAGCAGAGCGTATGTGTCTGCGCCTGCGTTTGTGTGCGTGTGTGCGTGGTCAATGTTGTCTTACTCCCTCTCCGTTGCCCGCTCGTCGTTAATAATAAAGTCTCCCCCCGCAAACTTTGCTTGTTCCTGTTTTGGCCCCGACAGCCCGGCGACAAGAGGATGCATCGCGACAAAAGAGATAGCATCGCGCTTCGCATCCTCCGTCTTGCCTGAGCCTCGTTGCCTCTTCCTTTCCGCCTCCCATTTTGCCTCGACTACTCCTCGCATACACCATAGCTCGGTCATTTAGCTGGAGAACTTCCGGGTGATCTTGGCAATAACTATTCCCACCATGTCAGCCAGGCCCCTTCCTTCCGTTCTACTCTCAGCCGGGAAATGTGTGAACTTACTGTGCAACGCAACGACGCTGAAGATGAAGACGAGGGACAAAACGAGCACGACCACAGGGTCGACCTTCAGGCCGGGCGACTCATCGGTGTAAAGCTCTACACGACACATTGTCGTCAGTATCTCGTCTCTCCATTCCAATTTCCCTTTCCCCCGGTTTCATCGACCCTCGTCGGAAGAGATGAACATGTGGGTTGGCGGGGGGAAAAAAAACATACTCAGCATGGTGCTGCTGCTGCCGCCAGCACCGGCAGCCCTGGTGCTGCTTGGCCTGGCATTGGCAATCTTCTCCTTCTGGTCGGCGGCGGCGCGGCGGCGGATCACGGTACGGGGACCGCCCGGCGGGGTGGGCGACGAGGGGCGGGCGACGTTGGAGCCCGAGCTGACGGGGGCGCCGGCGGGAGAGGTGGCACGGGGGGAAGACTATACGCGATACCAATTGATCTTGTCAGCCAACAGACAAGACAGCCCCTTTTGATGTCTCCGGTGTTTATTTTTCTTGCTCTCTCTTTTTTTCTTTTTTTCTTTTTCGTTCAATGTCCCCCCTATATTTCCCGGCTGTATCGGTCGCAAGAAGCTCGACGGCCCAGGCAAGGACCAACGACCCCCCACAATCATCTCGCCTGGGACACACACATGTTCAAACGACAACTTTGGAGCTTTTTTGGTTATGGGCGTACCATTGTGAACTGAAAGGACGAGAGTTATAAACAAATCGAATGTCGTCTGAGGTCGCGGCAGGAGGGCTTAAACGGATTCAATTCGGGCGGAACGAGCAAACTGATGAAAGCTGGGTTGTGGTGCGGTGTGGTTGCGTGCGGGTTTGGTTTATGGAGAGTCGGCAGCGAGATCCCTCAAGGCGCGTGCGAAAGAGGCCACGATTTTGGAAAGGGGACAGTGGAGACCCAAAAGCTCCACTGTGTGCCAAGACATGTGGATGGTCCAATACGGATCCACTTGGATTTAGCTCGGTCGCCAATGACCACTGCAACCAAACCCCGAACCGCGAAAACGTTGTTCCGTAACAGCAAAGACGTATTGATTCCCCGTATTCTGTACTTACGGAGTAGCTCCTTGATAGAGTGGAAGATGGTCAAGAATTTGGTCTTCAAAGTTCTCTTTGTCTTAAAAAATAAAAATAAAAATACAATCTATTTCCTTTCAAAGAGAGAAAGATAGAAAGGAAAGTAAGAAAGAAATAATCAATGAATAAGAGAGCAAGCCCAAAGTAAAAGATTTAGAAGAACATATCAAGGTGAACACCAAGCGAGACATACAATGCTACTCGAGTATCGGGCATGAATTCAAGGTGAAGCAATATTTCGTCGCTGTTGATCGACCATCCATTGGAATCTCGAGCATCCCACGCGGCACAAGGCCGTATAGAGATAGTACAGCGCTTTACGTGTGCGTACAACTAGATCGCTTATTTCAACTTCCCCCGAGCGTTGCCCCTCCGGCCTCCCATGTCTTCCAGTGTTGTGCCCATGGTGGCCGCATCAGCATAGGCAATTCCCGGGCAGGACACTCGCCAAAAGGTCGGCCTATTTTCCCCTTAAGATTGTGCCCTCTCGCGCGCGCGTGTGTAGGGGGGACACAGAGTAACCCAAAAGAAAAGGGAGCGGAAAATAATAAAAGAATAACAAGGAAGTGTAACGGGTGAACAAAGGAAAAAGGAAAAAAAAAAAGGGAAAAAAGGACCCCCAGTCCTGATATCCCCCAAAAGTGTCGCTTTATACAGAACAAGAACACAATGGGCGCTGTTGCTCTACAATGCCTTCGCTCTCTCCCCTCCGCCCACCGTCCTTCTTCCGTGACAAGCAGACGGCCAACCGCAGTGTCGTCCACCCCCCCCAAGAGACCCAAAACTCCTGCGCGTTGAAAAGCCGGCAGATGATGACCTGAATTGTACCACATGCCACATCGGAGTAACCTGTGACGCAGTCTCTTGTCTCCTGTCCTTCCATCCATTTTTTTATCTTCTTTTGTTTTGCAGTTTGTTGCATTCGTTTCGTTCTCCAACCTTGGAACCGAGCCCGTGTGGAGATGAGCTGCTATGCTAGCGTGTGTTTCGTTGGGAAGCAGTCGGCCTCCGCAATGAGACATAACCCAGCAGCAGCCTCGCGGCTTCATTTCGTTGCGTCGGTGCTTGAGCGTAGTCGATCGATGATGCAGCCGCAGGGTACTCGTATATATGAGATTAGACAGTAATACATCTACACCGGAAAGAAAAGAGAAAATCGCAACCCGAAACGCCTGCCGCTATGACTCGGGACCGGAGCCCTGTAGGTTGAAGGCTGGATAGGCCATGAACGAAAGTGGAAAAAGACGACCGGGGGGTATCTTCAAAGAGTGACATCGAGGACGAGGCTGACATCCTGCACGTTGGAGCTGGCCAGATCTTCGAGGACGGGAATCAGGTCAAGCAGCTCGTTGTCGTGGGCGTCAGAGAACCAACTGCTTATGGGGACGGCGTGTTGCGGATGGAATATGTACGACGTGGGCGAGTTGTCAATGATGATGGTGTCCTTCAAGTCTCTTCCCACCTGCGAAAGATCCTTGACGTAGTTTCCTTGGTGATTGTAGCAGCTCTCACGGAAGAGCCGGTGGTGTATGACCTTGTGGATATCCAGTTGATCCAATAGGGGATCGCCGTACTGAGATTGGTGTCTTGTTAGCGCGCCGATATCGAGGGAGGTCAACGTAGGGGACAGTGGGTGTAAGGGTCCTCTTACCTTAGAGACGGATGCTGTAAAGACCACCACTTCGTAGAGCTCGCCCACCCTCTTCATGAATTGATCAACACCAGGCCGTTTGATCACGTAGACGTTGTGATAGTTGCCCTCGATTTCGACGGGTATAATGAAATCGGCATGGTGCAAGATCTACGCGCTCTGTTAGTGCCATTTCCAGCTTGACGACTCGAGAAGGGAACAGGAAAGATCGTCTTCGAACCTTGAAAGAGCTGTGAACGAGGGTTTCGTCCAGATCCAAAACCAAACACTTCTTGCCCTTCAACTCCGGAGCAATAGGAGGGAGCAAGGACTTCTGCCTCTCAGGCTCAGGCGTTGATGAATCTGCAACTTCGGTGTCGGGCGCAGCAGCCGCAGCAGCAGCAGCAGCACCATCTGTGGTAGGGATAGGTCCCGGTGGAGGGGGAGGGAGTCGCGTATACTCCGAGCCTGCCTGGGTCGGTTTCTTGGGCTCAGGCTCCTCCGTTGTTGCCACGTCGGGCATCACCTCGTCGCCATCCTGGTCCTTCGGACCCACATCATGGCCCGCGGGCAGAACATCCGCCTTGTTGCCGTGTGAGCCTTCTACGGTGATGGCGGGCGCATCGGCACCGGCTCCCGCTGCAGCCTGCTTCGCATCGGTATCCTCGGGGCCAGCTGCAGCTGCAGCTGCAGCTGCGCCTTGTGCATCGTCAACAGCGGTCGTGTTCGACGCGCGCTTGGCATTGTCATTGGAAGCTGTCATGGGATGTTCCGGTTGAGGTTGCTTCTCCAGAACGCGACCTTTTACCGCTGACGGCTGTTCCTGCGGAGTGGGTTGCCTGGATTTCGGGTTTGCAGCTCTGGCGGGCAGCTTGTCAAGCTTGTGGACGCTTTGATCGCCCCCTTCCATAGCGGTAGCAGTGTTGGGAACGCCGCAGCACCCCAGAAGAGAGAGCAAGCCAGTCTTCTTCTTCTTGGGAGGGCTTGTCGGCGAGCTTGGCTGCGAGTGAGTCGTGATGTTTGTAGGATCGGTGTCGGCGGCAGCGGATCGGCGGCTAGAAATGCTGCCGTTTCGGTGGCGACCCAGAATACTGGTCTTGGATTCCTTGGAGCGCCCGCTAATGCTATTTCGCGGATCGCTGGCTGTTTGACCACTCAATCCGGTCGACGTCGGTGAGGTCTGGTTTCTTTGCGATGAGGATCTGGAAGGAACGTGGAGCAGACCGCGGCCTGCCTTCGCGTTTCCTCCATCCTCAGGCGCGAGAAGATCATTGCCCTTGGTCATCTCTCGGGTAGGTCGGGCGTTATTATCGCTGCGGACTTGGTTTTCGGAAGTAATCTCGTCGGAAGCGACAGCCTGCTGTGGTTTGTCAGTCATGACGACGTCCCTTGGGCTAATGATGCTGGGTCAGCAAAACATGAGCACGGTAGGAATCTTCGACGAGCGCGCAGATGGTGAATTGAAGAAAGCTGACAGGTGGCCCGAGAGTTGCAAATCAGAATAAAGCAGAGCTCGGCTTGGCAACTCGGAACCAGGGGTGGGAAAGTTGAACACAGTCAGGGGCAAGACATAGTTCATTCAAAGGAACCAGCCGCAATCATCGGCCGCGACAACAGTGAAAGGGCTAAATAGATATGCATGGCCTGAAGAGAAAAGTTGACACTTACCCCTTCCGCAGGACCCTCGGCGACGACGACTAAGTGAGTCGCGTCCTTGACCCCCAGAATATTGGCCTCTGCAAGATCCGGCCTATTCCGACCAAAATCGCGATGCTGAAAGACGGATGCCGAAGAATGCTCCAGGCGCTGTGCAAGGCGAAAAAAATGACGGCACAGCTAAGTCAACCGGATATATGAAGGGGGATCGTCAAATGTCTATCGCGTCAGGGCCGCCAATGATGCGTGGTGACGGGACGAGGGGGGACGGTCGCCGTGTGGTATGGTGACCGGTCGCGGACCGGTGAAATAACCGGGGGGGCTGGATTATGAATATGAGATAAATTGGGAGTAAAAGAAGCGGAGGTACGAGAAAATGGCCGAAGTAGACGCGCCGAATAACGAGTGAAACTTGTCCTATCGAATTATCGCTGTCGAAAGTATAGCAGGACGTGGAGGAAGTTGAGCAAAGGGTAAGGGAAAGGAGGCGAGATGAATGGGGACGTGAGAAGTGGGCGGATGGGGAGATGTGGAGGCGCAACCGAGATGATTGCTGCGAAAGATGAAAGGATGGGGGGGGGGTTGTGGTGGGCAACTTTCTGGGCCGCCTAGGTAATTAGGGCAGTTAGAGCTTGTAAGTACTTACTCCATAGTACGTTGTATTCGTAGAAGAGCCCGGGGGCGATCGACCTACGGAGTACGGACCTCCTAAAAAGAGGTCGCTGGTCCCTCTCGAAGCTTGGGGTACATAAGATACGTACTACTCCGTATTGTTAGCTGTAAGGTAGGGTGTACAATGGTAGCTAGAGGTACGTTTAGCTAGAACCAAACGCAGTGCCCTCTGAATGGTCGCCTTTGCTCTCACAAAATGGGGAGAAACAGGGAGGGAGGTGCGGATATGGGGGGGAGGCACCGAGACGGGCGGGTACGGGTGGATCCATTTCCCGGTCAAATTAGCCAGTCATAATAGCTAGTGCTGCACTAACTTTCACAGTGTGTAGACCCGCCTTTTACATGGTTCGGGTATGTTTAGTCTAAAGGAGTTACGACTCGTATTATAATGTTCACACTGTCCTCCCAAGAACACACCTATCAGACCCCACCATATCTCTGTGGTCCTCGGCCATCCTTTCCTAAAGCTGCAGCCAAGCTCGAAGCTCATTAACGATAGAAACATTAAGCCCCTTTTGATCTTGGTCCAGGGGGCCAGACTTTGTCGTTGCAGAAAAGACGGAAAAGAGCCTGGGGACAAGCGTTTGTACGAATAACATGCACAAAGCACTCTGAGAATTCGACGCACCTTGCTTGTATGTACGAATACTAATTATGTACGTACTTGGCACGATGACCTGCATCATTAAAAATAACCTCTTTCTGTTTCTGTTTCTTTTTCTTTTTCTCTTCTTTCCTCGCTTCGGACCATGGTGATGTCGAAAGTCAGGTACGGGTGCTCTTCATGCTCGAATCTCGAATCACTCAGTGGGAAAACGCGTTACTATTCGCAGTTGACTAGGGAGAGCCCGGGGGGGGGTTAACCAGTGTTCCTCCAGTCAGTTCCCTTTGCCTTATGGTGATAACGATGCAAGCATTAAGCATCAAGACCTCAGTACGATAAATCACTGCCCAGTAGTAATACTCCATCGATACTTGATTTCAGGGTCAATCACATAGTGGAGTTTAGAGGCACTCGGGTTGTTCAGAGGTGTTCGTCGTACGTAGACCGTACGAGACAGTGATTGGACATGTTACCGCCCAGCTACGGCGCCGATGAGTCGGAGACCACTCTGGTTGGATGCCCACGCAAGGGTTGCATTGGCGAGGCCGCGGGCCAGTCAGGTACCCGGCTTAACCAAACCGCATGTGGGATCGCGGGATCGCGCTATCGCGCTCCATCCTGTCGCTCTCTGGCATTGGAAAACAGAAGGGCGGGTCAGGAGAGGGTGAGAGCAGGCGTTGAGTGCTAGAACAGAAGAGCCGCATGAGGCTTCGAAGGCACACGGTCTACGGATGAAAAGTACAGGGTAATTATTAGGTAGTTGAACTCCGGTTGGAACATGAGTGAGATTACACCGGTGAGTGAGGCCTTGCGTCTTGGTTCTGACCACACCTGTGGATCGTACGTTCTTCCGTACGGTATGATCCGTACCAACACCAACACCAACGCGGACCCGTACTCCAGCAGGAGTGTCCTCTGCAAGTTTATTAGGAAAGTCTGAAAGTGCCCAAGTCCTCGGTCCTCCTGATGGTGCGTACGAATATGTAGCCGTATTGTAGTTCCGTATTACGCTCTGGAACCTCGGGACACAGGAGCCGACATTTCCGTACTGGAGCCATGTCAGTCAAGACAAGAGTGGTTGCACAACAATGTTCTCCCGAAGCCATGATCAGTATGAATGCGGTGGGTTATACAGATGAGGTAGGCATGAAGACAAGACAGGACTTCTTGTTGACTTATGCGTCAACTTTAGGAGACATGCGGAATGGCTGTAGGAGGCACTAGGCTAGGCTGTACTGTACGGTGAAGTGGCAAAATCTGCGGCAAAAGGAAAGAACTCTACTTCCAGGCCTTTGAGCATGAACATGTATCGTACAGATATTGGGCCGGGGACAATGTGCGAAAAGATAAAAAAAAAAAAAAGAAAGGACTGTAATGGGAAATTTGAACCCAACCCGATTCGAACGGATAACCTTCAGGAGTTCCCTATACTGGAATCTGACGCGCTACCGTTGCGCCATGGGTCCTTGTTGTTAGACACCCATGAAACCGGTCTCAAGTAGAATCGCGCGCAAGATGGAGGGGTCCCACAATCCTTGACACGTGATGGTTTGTCCCACTTGTGTCGTCACTTCCATGTGTCGCGATATGGAGCTTCTCAGTCTAACTGGAGCATGTGAAATCCAATCACTCCGAGGCTAAGATCCGAGGCATCAGAAGTGGACACTCTTCCTCCATACAACACCTAACTCTTGAACATGGGACAGTTCACCCTATCATTCCATCAATAAGCTCTATTCAGTACGATGAACGAATCTTATGAACCGATTGCATCCACCTAAGAACTTGGACGAACCCATCTATCCCTTGATAGTCAACAGAGCCTCATAAGCTCTCGGGTCTCATGGGCCCGACACCATAGCATCCATAAAACAAGCTGCGGCGTACTCGCGCTGGGGGGCGACGACGACGAACCCAAACGGCCAGGAATTCGTCCCTCTGAAAAATGGCGGCCCAGTCGACGCTACGCCATTCCGCGGCGGAGGAGGCCATTGCCGCCTTCATCGACAAGTACTCCAACTTGGTTCGGACAAAGCTGCGCAACACGTCCCGTACCACTCGTCTGCTGGCGACCCTTTCTCTCGCCATTTCCATCATCGCCGGAGCGGCTGGGGGGAGACGTTGGTGGAAGAAGAGGAGGGAGGAGAGGGAACAGGGTCGTAAACTCGTCCGCACCAACTCCTCGCTCTTCAACAAGGACGGCTCGCGCACCATCTACGTTCCCTACAAAGATGGAACCTCCAAGGTCGTCATTCAAAACACCAAGCCGATGACGTTTGATGCCCACCGCCGACTCTTCCTGAACCCGCCGCGGGTTTCTGGCCTCGGCGACGGGACGGTGCCTTCTGCTCAGACCAAGCCTGGTCTGAACTTGGCCTTCCTTCACCAGTTCCTGAGCCTCATGAGCATCATGATTCCGAGGTGGTCGAGTAAAGAGGCCGGTCTTCTCCTCAGCCACGGCATGTTCCTCTTGCTTCGGACGTACCTGTCGCTAGTGGTCGCCCGTCTCGACGGCGAGATTGTGCGGGACCTGGTGGCAGGCCAGGGGAAGAATTTCATCTGGGGGCTCATCAAGGTAATTAATCAAAGCTAAATGCCAAATCACCACCCTCGCAAAAAACTCAAAACTCCGCAAGAGAATGGTGGTTGTATACTGATAACTGATAACCTCGCAGTGGTGCGGTCTCGGCGGATTCGCCTCGTACACAAACGCCATGATCAAATTCCTCGAGTCCAAAGTCTCCATCGCCTTCCGGACTCGTCTTACCCGCTATATCCACGACCTGTACTTGAACGACAATCTGAATTACTACAAGCTGAGCAACCTAGACGGTGGTGTGGGGCAAGGAGCCGACCAATTCATCACCCAGGACCTGACGCTCTTCTGCGCCGCCGCCGCGAATCTGTACTCGTCCCTGGGCAAGCCGTTCGTCGATCTCTGCGTGTTCAACTACCAGCTCTACCGCTCGCTAGGTCCGCTCGCCTTCATGGGCCTGACGAGCAATTACTTCCTGACAGCCAGCATCCTTCGCCGGCTCTCCCCTCCGTTTGGGAAACTCAAGGCCGTCGAGGGCCGTAAGGAGGGAGACTTCCGGAGCCTACACGCCCGTCTGATTGCCAATGCCGAGGAGGTGGCGTTCTACGGCGGTGCCGATATGGAGAAGCAATTCCTCAACAAGGAGTTCAAGTCGCTTAAAAGCTGGATGGAAGGCATCTACATGCTGAAGATTCGGTACAACATGCTGGAGGACTTTGTCCTCAAGTACAGCTGGAGCGCCTACGGCTACCTGCTCTCGTCGCTACCCGTCTTCCTCCCCGCCTGGGGCGGGCAGGGCGGGCAGCAAGAAATGGCGCAGAGGTCCGGAAAGGGAGGACGCGAGAGGGGTCGGATGAAGTCGTTCATCACCAACAAGCGGCTCATGCTGTCGCTTGCGGACGCCGGCGGCAGGATGATGTACTCGATCAAGGACCTTTCCGAGCTCGCAGGGTACACCAGCCGGGTATATACCCTTATTTCGACCCTCCACCGAGTCCATGCCAACGCCTACCACCTCCGCGGGCAGCAGAGCGAACTGTATTCTCTGTCCGACGTGCAGGGAACGATCCAGAAGGGCTTCGACGGTGTCAGGTTCGAGAACGTCCCTGTCGTGGCGCCGTCTCTGTGGCCTCAGGGAGGAGAAGAACTCCTCGAGTCGCTGTCCATGGTGATCCGGAGGGGAGAGCATCTCTTGGTACGTTTTTGACCCGCTGTCTTGCACCACACATTGGTTTTTTTTTTCTTTTTTTCTTTTTTTTTTTTTTTTTTTGGCTCTGTTGAGAGGGGGGAAAGGTTGGACTAACTTGAAAACCCAAGATCTCTGGAAGCAACGGCGTTGGCAAGAGCGCGATAGCGCGGATCCTGGCCGGGCTGTGGCCGGTGTACCGTGGCCTCGTCAGCCGACCCAAAGATATCGGGCAGGACGGGATCATGTTCCTGCCCCAGCGACCGTATCTCAGCATCGGAACGCTCCGGGACCAGGTCATCTACCCGGACGGGCACGGCGACATGCGGGAGAAGCGCAAGACGGAGGACGACCTGAAGCGGATCCTGGAGGAGGCGCGGCTGGGATACCTGCCGGACCGCGAGGGTGGCTGGGATACCCGCAAGGAGTGGAAGGACGTGCTCAGCGGCGGCGAGAAGCAGAGGATGGGGTTCGCGAGGGTGCTGTACCACGAGCCGCACTATGCCATCATCGACGAGGGCACCAGCGCCGTGTCGAGCGACGTCGAGGGTCACCTGTACGAGACGTGCAAGGAGAAGGGCATTAGTGAGTGACCCCTTTCCTTCCGTTCCCTTCCGTTCCCTTCCCCCACATCCTCCAAATTTTTTTTTCTTCCAACCCACTCCCTAGCAAAGCAATTCCCCAACAAAAATAGCGGACGATTTATCTAACTCTGGAACAGCCTTGATCACCATCTCGACCCGGGCATCCCTCAAGCGGTACCACACGTTCAACCTCATCCTGGGCGGGGGCGAGAACGGAGATGAGTGGGAGTTTGAGAGGATCGGCACAGAGCGGGAGAAGCTGCAGGTGGAAAAGGAGCTGCAGGATCTCCGTGAGAGGCTGGCACAGGTCGAGACGTGGAAGGCCAGGAAGGACGAGATCGAGAGGGAGCTGGCGCAGGTTTGGGTCGACGGCGGTGATTCGTTGAATCCGCCTCCCTATGTCGAGAGCAAGGAGGACAAGGGGGAAGAGGTTGAGGAGAAAGGCAAGGACGTGGTGACGATGGGAGAAGAAACCCAGCAGGTCCAGGCAGAGGAGGTTGATACGAAGGAGGAATAAGGGATTTCCTTTTCCATTTCGAAGCCATTCACATATATATATATGTCTTGACGAGATAGCGGCTATTCCCCCATAACATGGACATTTTTGTTAGATCGCTTGGTTTTGCTTGCAACACAATACAACCTCGTCAATATCAACGAACAGCTGGGGGGAGGCCAAGTAGTTGACTGAGTATTTACTCCGAAGATAGGCCAATGCCCCCTTTTTCTTTCCAACAGGACCGGCCTTCTCTCAACACAGCCAAGTGTTTCATTCAGCTCACCCAAAGTCGGGAAAAATGCATGGCCAACAGTACTGGACAACTCAAAGATGTATTATGTGCCCATTGCGCAATCGTAACAAATGGAATGAACGATATCCCTCCCGCGGAGAGGTGGTGTTACAATAAAATATGCGTTCCCAGCAATGGCCTCAATCAATCCCATCAGGTGCCCTTCCCTCCTTTCAAACCAGCAGCCAGAAAAACAATACCCAGAGGGATCCCCAGACGAGCCTTGCGCTCCTCGTGCCCCAGCAAGTAGAATAAGTTGTAGAGATTTTATCAGCCCCGAACAAACGCCTGCTGTGATGTTTCCTTGTGGAATGACCCAGCCCCATAAACGCCACCGAAGCCGGACAATAGGCCTCCCCAAAAGATATCCCGACACTGCGAAAAGAAAATGTTGTGTGGCGACGCGTATCCTAAGGTGGGCAGCCGAGATCCTCTCTGCCGACCTGCGTCCGTTTCCCCCAATTTTTCCTCCCGTTTTGTCTCTATGTATGTATTTGTGTCCGATTTTCTTCGAAAAGGACAAAAAAAAAATCTTCGTCGATTCAAGGGCTGTGTGTCGACGTTCCGGGTTCCTCATTATCCACTACGTCTCGTCTAGTATTCCAGCCTCTAGCAGCAGTCGCGACGATCTTGCGGACCCATCCAAACGTCTAATGTGAATGTGTCGGCGAGTCCGGACCATGGCTGGGCTGGCTAGGGGGGCTCGACCCGGCAATGGTAGTGCCGGTCGAACAGCAGCCCTTCCCGACGCACTCGTCCACGCATTCGAGGAGACAGAGGGAATTATTGCGGGCAGCGTCCCACGCGGCGGGGTCGTCCCCCGGAGCGGGAGCCTCGTCGACGACGCAAGCGTGTTGTTCGTCATCGAGGCGGAACTCGGGCTGGATGGTGGCGCTGTGGATGCCGTAGGCGTGGAGGCACTGGCGCGCCCGCTTGGCGAGCTCCATGTACTTCTCCCCTCCCTCGGCGGTGATGGGGAAGCTGACCTGGACGTGCATCGAGGCGACGACCCTGGTGTCGGAGAGTTGCCAGACGTGGACGTGGTGGCAGCTCATGACGCCGGGGAGATTCTGAATGTCCTCGCGGATCTCGTTCAGGTCGATGTGGTCCGGGGTGGCTTGGAGGAGGATCTTGGACGTGGCCACCGTCAGGGGGACGGCCGACTTCAGGATGATGAGGGTGATGAAGAGCGAGACGGCCGGGTCGGCATACATCTTGCCCGGCCAGTCAGTCAGCCAGATGATAAGGGCGGTGGCGATGACGCCGACATTGCCAAGCGCGTCGCCGAGGACGTGGAGAATCAGGCCGTTCAGGCCCATGTCGCCATGGCTGTGCCCAAGGCTCTTCTTGCCTTCCCGTGGCTTCCTGTGGTTATGCTCGCCGTGCACACTCGAATCTCTCCTGGGACGTCCCATAGCAGGTAGATGATACCTGGCATCCTCGCCGTCGGGCTTGAGGAGCGGGGTATCCTCGGCCGGCTCGCTGTCCCGCATGTTCTGGGAACCCGACACGTCGACGTCCTCGTCAGCTTCTTCGGCATCGGCCGTCCTCGACCGGCTGGCATCAATGATATCCTGTCGGAAGCTCGAGGGGTAGAAATTCATATCGTCGATGCTCGGAAGACGCGACTGTCGCAAGCTGGCGGCCCTGCGACGGGAACGGTCCCGTGCCCGCGAAGAAGCCGAGCCGCGGCTGTTGGGTGTATCTTCCGTGCTAAAGCGGATGCGCCGGGGTGGTGTCGACGGCTCCAGAGTGGCAGGGCCTCCGACCGTGGTTACAGGCGAGCCTCCATCCTCATATCCGGCGGCGTGCCGATGGACCGAGGTAGCACGACCCTCCTCAGCAGCGTGGTCGTGAGAATGCGGGTGGTCGTGTTCTTCTTGTCCATGCTCTTCATGGTCGTGGCCGTGGTCGTGATCATCGTGTCCGTGATCATGGCCATGTCCACCAAGGATTATGAAACCAACCAGATTGGAAGCAAGACCGACAGAACCGACAATGAGGATAAGCTTCGGGTTATCAATGTCGGGCGGATCGAAAAATCTCGTGATGGCCTCTAGAATGATGGAGATGCAAAGCGCAATGAGGAACACGGCATTGAAGAATGCACCGAGGATCTCGGCTCGTAGCCACTGTATGTATTTGTTGTCTGTCAGAGAAGGCCCGGGGATATATTCCTGAGGGTCACGGCGTGGGAATCTGCACATACCCCGTAGGAGAACTTGTCGGTCGTGGCTTTGCTCGCCACGGCAACGGCCCAGAGCCCGACGCAGAGCGAAATGATATCGTTGAGCTGGCCAGCCGAGATTATATTAGCAGCTTCTCAATTTTTTTGTCCGGCAGGGCATCATCGCGCGAGCCATGATTTTGGACACCACTCACCATGTGAAAGGCATCAGCAAGAAGGGCAAGCGATTTGACGAGCATGCCAACAATCAGCTCGAGGAGAAAGAAGACAATGTCTAGGACCAGCATAACGCTGATCCGGGTCGACTTGGACCAAGCCATAGTGGAAAGGGTCGTGGAAAGGGTCGTCGAATCGATGAGCGCGGGCCGAGGACTGGGGGGAAGGGAGCTCGAGGAGCTCGAAGCGAAGACGGGCGAACCAGTGGTTCGTTCTATTAGGTGTAATATGTATAGGGCTGAATGTCGTAGTCGACCGTATTATAGCAGCTTGGCGTCGATGTTTCTGGGTGTGGTGATCCTGGGCTTCGCGTTATGTTATGTCTCGTCGGACGTGCCAGCCAAGGTGAAAGAAGTTGTCATGGGCAAATTATTATTTTGTAGCCACTGGTCTGCGGTGACTATGGGGGCGGGGCCCCGAGTTGGAGAAGGCGAGGCGTCGGAATGACGCCTGTGAGTGGGGAAGTCATGCAAGTATTGTGCAAAGTACAAGTTAGATGTACGGAGAAGGTAGCACATGTTGTAGCACATGTTTGCCTTTGTCATCCGCCAACTACATGGTATTTGATTGGTTCATGGCAGCGTTCGATTATGTCAGAGACACTAATTAGAAGGACTAGCCAATAAGGGCGCCATGAAATAGGGGGAGGATAGGTAGAAAGGAGGTTTATCGATTTTTTTCTGTACCCCATACTTTGGAAGTACGAACAGGTAGCCCAATCCAGTTCCGCGGATGGGTCGGATCCGACTCGGGGAATTTCATTGCCGATCCGAAATGAGGCCCCTTTTTTTCAATTTTTTCAATTTTTTCTTTTTTCCACGAACCGTCGACTTGTCCATTTGTGTTTGTACTGACTCTTAAAACATCCTTGCAGGTCGACTTTATTTTTCTCCGTTTCTACGTTCAAAGAACTGCCGCAGCCGCTGTAAATTGGCAATACCGGAACATGCAAGCCATCCGCCAAAAACGTCTTGATCCGAAGGAAGGTGGCTGCAGCCGCCTGGATGGTTTGACGGATGCTTGACGGACGCTTGACGGATGGCTTGCTGGATGGCTTGCAAGAACCATGGATACCGTTGGACGGCATTAGGTCATTGTATTGGCAGTCAATTGGCCGTCGTCGAGACGAGTCGGGCGGGGTCTGAGGGGGTTTGGGGTCACACTACATCGTTATACGGACGCAATGGACGGTTGATGTCTAACCAGGTAGAGAGATGCACGTGCGAAATGACATGGCGAATATGAGCAGACAAATTGTCCCTCTTTCAGCCTTCTGCTTGTCTAAATAATTACTCCAGTCAAAATGGTGCTTCCGTCAAGGCGGCCAATTACAACTGGCTATTGGCTGTTTTCACTATCCGTATGTCCATGGTGGCGTACATACATTCGTAGACAATATCGACCTGGAAAGGAAATAGCATGTAGTGCAAGCGTGGTCCGCATGAATCAAAGGCCTCAGAAGGATCATCGCGTGGCCTATGTTGGTGATACAGCACGAGCAGTGTATCGATCGATAGGTCAAGAGCTGGCCAGCAGACCGTTCCTGGCCCGGACAAGAGTTGCTGTTTCGGGTGCTGCACGTCCAACGGGTATGGACGCTGGCGCATACGCCACAGCGTACGAAGTAACACGGGGGCCTGACTCTGTAAATAAAGCCAGCTGCAGCGGCAAACAACAAGTAGAATCTAGCCCCCTAGCCTGCATGATGGCCCAGTTTGTATCTTTGCGCTACAACTGGCAGCTCCTAGTCCCCCGCCTATGCCAGTGGCGCGATAATTGTTATGGCGTACTGCCGTTGGAGCTGTTTCCTACGACGACATCTATGCCGACTAGGAAGCCAAAGAAGACCAGCGCAATCTAAGCGGATCCGCGTCAGTTTCCGAGCAACGGCGTGTGCTTTCGTCCCTTTGGACGAGGGGCGGGTCAATGGGGGGCCAACGGCAAAACCCACAAGCAGAGACGCGATGGCCAATACGACAATCTCAAACCCACCGGTGAGGGCCTTCCCACCGATCATGGCGTGTTGATGTCGCCATGCGCGACATGTCCCGAGAAGAACGGTGCAGATTGAAAACCCGTAGCAGACGCTGGCCAGAGGTCTTCCGACTGTCCCGTAGCCAAAGCCAGAAGGCGGCTGCTGCAGGACGAAGAGCTGGGCCACAATAGTCCCGGTCATGGCTGACATAAGAGCCGTCCTGAGGTAGGCGAGATATGTCCGTTCCAGTGCTACTCGCGACGGAGGAGACGCCCGTCAGCTGCACTGAGGGGAAAAAGAAAAAAGAAGAAAAAAAAGAAGAAGAAAAAGGCCGAGACTGCTGTTGTTGACATGCAAGCGGAAACGCACGCATCACTTCCGAACCAACTAAGACTGAAACGACACTGGCCATGGCTCAGCAGGGGCAGAAAGACACGACCCGAGGAGGACGAGCCAGTAATACAATATCCCAAGATGATTGTGATCGCCAGATGCACAGCGCGTAGGCATCACAGAATGTATCGCTGGGAATCGTAACTCGGTCGGAGTGTATTTGGAAGGAAGCTAGCCCACGCGCCCTGACGGTGATATGACGGACTGGCCTGGACAGCGGAGAACCACCGCATGGCGGCACAGCCCGAGATCCGTCTGGAGAAGCATCGAAGGAGAATAAAGATGGGAGACGGGGGTCTAGGAGGCGACTGGCCTAAAAATAGGGAGAAGCGCATGAGAATATACGACAAGTGGACAGAAGCTCTCGTGCGTGCATAAGAATATATGAAGGTGAACCGGGGAGAGGGGCCGGAGTTAAGTAGGTAGGCGCTTGCGGCCTTTGCCGCCCATCCCGCATCCTCCCATGTGTCCGGAATACGACATTGATGAGAGAGACCTGTGGTGCTTGATATGTCTGGATTCCCAGACCGCCGCGGAGACGGCATATCTCGACGAGAAGAACAAAAAAAAAAAAAAAAAAAGAGAGAGAGAGAGAGAGAGAGATTTGACGGCGCCGGAACAACCATAGAAAAGCAACAGAATGAGAGGTCTTGCATGCATCACGTACCCAAGTGATCACGACTTTTGTCCATGTTGACGACGCAATTTACATGGTCCGTCCAGAAGCGCCGTAGGGACCAACCCGAGCGGGTCGACCGGGAGCTGGAAGCGACATCCGACGGCCTAGATTGCCGATCCGTCTCTGGGCCTCGATGGACCGACGCACGTGGCTCGAGCTGACCGAAATATCAGAATCATGTCAAACGATAGGGGAGGGGAGATAAAAGAAGAGACTGACCTCGGCGAGTTCATATTCCTGGTGACCCTGCATTCCGGGCCCGTCAAGGTGACTCTGACGTATGTAGATGTAGGTAGTATCTCACGTCGGGAAAAAGAAGCAGTTCTCCGTGGATCAGCTAAGTATCGGGGACGGCCAGTTCGTGGGATACGGTCCATCAGGGCCGATGGGGCATAGAATGATACGACGGAGGAGAGACATCGATAGTAAAATGAAAGCAATACAAGTACGAAGAAACGAATAGGGAGAACAGTTCTTCGTCCGGGGTGGGTGGAGAAGTTTGGGGCTCAAATTGAAAGATCGGAGAATTAAATGCGAGATTGCGTCGTGCCTCTGGATGTCCGCATGCGAAGGAAGATTTGTGGCGAATGATGTCGCCTCCCGGGGGTGTACAAGGTAAAGGTAATATGCCGACGCGATGGACGAGCTAAGGAATCCGGTGTACGTGTAGGAAGCAATATGCATTGGCTGGTCGTGCTCGGATGTTTCTTTTGCCAGGGTGTGCAGGTACCTTAGTTAGGATGAAAAGTATTAAAGCAGATAATGTGATTATTTACACTTGGATGCCTAATAAATGTGAACAAGTCATGTTGAAGACGTTCGCGGAGCGGCACGGGGCGTCCGACGGGCCCTTGATAGGAACCCTTTTCGAAGATAATTCCAACTCCAACTCCATGTTATCCTCGCTTCCTTTCTCTTGGTGTACTCCGTACAAGTGTAACGCCCCGGAAGATCGACCGCGACTTGGAAACGAGGAACGAGTAGGTCCGTGGCTCTGTGGATGACGAGCAACCACGATAACCACATAGTCATTTCGTAAAGGTAAGGTACTTTGTGAAGACATAACAGGTGGAGCAATATCAAGAGCTAAACGCTCATGTCAGAACCCAAAAGGAAAACAAACCGGCTGATATGGACAAAACAGAAAGTAATTGCCGAGTACACCTATGTACACTCCGTAGTGCTGACTGATATAGGGCATAATAAAGTGTCGGTGAAGAAGGGGACGTTTCGGCATGCATTAATAAAAGGACGGCGTGGCCTGCTCCGTCCCCCCCCCCGTAGTGTCCTGCCTGCGAGTCATGGTGAGTGGGCGGACAACTCGCTTTCTGGTACGCGGATACCACAGTATTCACACGGCAACTGAAATTTCCCTATAGCCTTAATGCTAACGTTCGAACGATTATACAGTGTGAATATATCACATATTCGTACATTTAGGGATTCCGGTTAAGCCTTCCTATCTTTGGAGATCGTCCCACCCCTGAGATGTGATGTAATCAAGGAACTTTACGAAAATGGCACAGCCGCGTTAAATCGGCTGCCCCCGTTGGCAGAGCAGCGTCAGTTACAACGTATACCCTGCCGCAAGTCACGTATCTGGCCAATACTGTCCTAGGTAGATAATTCGCGTTTCAAGGTCGACGAGACCGGTGAGAATCTCAAACGTGACCGAGTTTTTGCCCACCGAAGTAAGGCAGGTACGGATACTTAGGGACCTATATTAAGTACCTGAGGTATATGGGGCTCATACCCCATACCTTCCCTGCCTTAAAATCCGGTCCTGCTTCCATGCATGCGTCTCAGTGTTTCTGCAAACTTCTTTCGTAAACCCCCGCGCCTCATATTACCTACCTTAGGTATCTTTCCTTGGCCCTTGTTCGACGAATTCAGGTCGGAGATTCTCCCAAGCCACATCGCCAGAAGCCCCGAGCCTCTCGAAGAGCTCATCCGCACTAATAATTATCATGCCGCCCAACGCCCGCTGCCTAGCTGGCCAGCCATGCCATCCCAATCAAGCGGATACGCTATTCCCGAAGGAGTTCAGTTCGAGGGGCTCAAGGGTGTCCCAGCCCCATTTGGTTCCATGAATCCATCTTATGCTGTTGCTATAAGGTATGTACTTCGTAATCCATTGGTACGGAGTGCGAAATGCCGAACAGCAATCACTATCTAGGTAATTATCACGAAGTACATTGCAGGCCTGTCCTGCCTCATCGCCTTCTAAGTTTCAACGGTCGTCGTCTCCCACACAAGCCTTCCACATCCTTCACCTGGACCAAGATCAAGATCAATAACGGGAAACGGATAGGGGATGGTAGTGTATCACCGCAGGCGATCTTCGGCCACCGGCGTCCTCGTTGTTACACCGGATCCTGTCCCGTTGCCCGAGAAGAAACTCCGAATACGGGGCAGGTATTGAACGACCGGCCGATTTGCCGCGTCGAACCTCGCCTCACCTCGCGTTGGCGTACTCCGCCTTATAGTAATTACTAAGGTACGTTCGAAGTGGTGCGAAGTACAACGCGTTCCGTACTCCGTACGAATACATGTGCCGACCTTCCAGAAGGGTGGAATGCACGCGCCACCCCCAGGCTAAGAGCCGGGGCTTGGGGACGAACCAATCTGACTTCATAGGACAACTTCGAAGAACGGATTACCGGCCCGGCGGACCGTTATCCGGGGTCAGGCCAAAAACTCAACCAGCCAACAAAGGGCAGGCAGTGCAAGTGTGCAAGTGCGGAATTCGGCCTTGGGCAGATGATGCTAGGTCCAGGTCCGTCGCCGACCGTACATCTCAGGTTCCCTCGGTCGTCAATCGCAGACAATTGCCCTATGAGGGCATCAGTTCCAAAGATGACGGGCAGAGAGTCCAGACCAACTTCAGAGACCCTTCCGGGACAGGAGAGGCACAAAAATCAATACGGGGTTGGCACGTCTGACCCCGAAAAGATGAAGTTTCCTGCTGCTGCTGAGAGATGACCGGCTCCAGCTATCGTAGGGCCGTCGGGATCGCTGACCTGAGGGTTTTCTTTGTGATGCCTCGGTCGTCGGGCTGTCGGGAGGGAAAGCAATAAGAATTAATACGAAAAGTACGGATACAGACAGCGAACCACTCGGAGTCGGCCGCATGGGTTCTCGAGGAAACCATGAAACCATGATAAAGAATGTTGGCAAAAGTCGCCAGTCTGTCAAATTTCACATCGGACTCGGGGACGGGGACACTTCTTATTGAGTTGGCGCCAGTCACCCACAGGCACGCTTTTCTTTCCATCTTTTTCTTTTCTTTTCCTTTTTTCTTTTCCCTTTCCGACCCAGCTTAGTTTCAATGCCACGATACCTACTTCGATGGGGCCGGGGCGCCCGGGATCTTGTCACACGCAGCTCACAGACACTTGCTCAACGCTGATAGCTCGGAATCAAGCCCTCGACCCGTCTGACTGGCCAGGGCTGAGAAGCTGCAGCAGGCCCACATGGTTGGTTGAAAAAACCCCGGGCGACAGACAGTAGGCTTGCGGGGTCGAGAAATGAAGATGGGGGGAAGATCCTGGATGTTGCCTCCTCTACGTTGTCATCTAAAAAGGGCAAAAAGGGCATCGTCGTTTCATGGCTTGCCATTGTTTCTCTCGACCCCGACTTCCCTGCTCTGGGCAATATGATGCTCTCCACCTGCAGGAACCATTACGACGGCAAAAGTCCAAACAAAAGCGATCAGCATTCAGCATACACCAATTCAATTCATCACTAATTGCCGTTTTGTCTTCTGGGCAGAAAGACCTGCGGCGCACTACATACCTAGACAAGATCAGCATGGTACAACAGTTCGCTTACATATTACCTTCGACGAGAAGCAAAAGACGTCGAAGATGTTGGGGATTCTTTACAAACACTCCCCTGGCGTGTGTAATGCATAACCGTCTGGATTACAAAGTACAAAGTAAGTGTAGATTCGCTCACTAAGACCTAAGGCCGCCTCGAGTCGCAAACTTGTTGACGGTACAACGGTACATACGAACGATTCATTTCCTCCCCCACTCCCCTATTAACTTACAACGCACTACTTTTTATAACAAGTGTCAGCACGCACCCGATTAATGCAACCGTCTTTTGGCGAGCTCCCTCCCCTGAATAATACGGTGTACCTACCCTCCGCGCACTCGGTCCGTCCCTACCGAAATCCGAAATGGCCCAGAAGGGTGACGACGCTGGACGGCCGTTCAGTGCCGCAACGCTCAAGTCAAGTGACCCCCGTCTTGAGCTCTTTATTCCCCACCTAATGCTTCGAAAGTGTCTTCGGCGGCTTCCCGGCTTCTAATCTGCTATGGAACGAAAAAGTCAGAAAGAAGATGGTGGATCCTGCGGGCGGCCAAACGTCTTGGTCCGACCGGAGATCATTCCCTCCATGCATCCATCCATTTGCCCTCCGTTTTCTACTTGGCCCCCCCCAACCCCCCCCCCAACCCTACCTACACTACACTACCTTAACTTCATACGAAGTAATTACTGCATACAACGTACTACCCCTGTGGGATAATACCCCGGAACCGAACCTGATAAAATGGAGACGGCTCCGTTCAGAGAACGTGGCCCATCCGTTTTGTTTTCTGTCTCCCTGCCCAGTCGGCCCCGTTGACCCAGTTCTTCTGCCCCCCCCCCCCCTTCCTCTTCCCGTCTCCCAGTTCAGGTCAGGACGTTACCTCTTCTGTATATTTCATCTGCCCCCATTTGTCAAGCGTCACCGTCTGCAGCCTTGGCTTCGCGCTCCGTCGCCGTCCCTGAACTCGTCAGCTGTCATATAAGAATACTTGTTCCCGTCACCGTCTTAGTCCTCCAGACCCTAGCGTTCCTTTTATCCTACCTTTCCCAGATCAAACCATAGGGGTCGTGTCTTGGCATGCCGGCGCGAGAAGACGGACGATAACACTTACATAGCTGAGTGCTGAACCACGAGACGAACGACAACGAAGACGACGAAGACGACGACGACGTCCGTTCTCTCCGTTTGTCTTCCAGAGGCCAATTAGTCCAATTCCCTCCTCCCCCCATAGACAGCAACCGCCCTAGAGATAACTCGGGATCCTTGAACCCCCCGTTCCCCATCGAGACGCAAAAGTCACGGAGACTCAGTATGAGCCATTCGGATTCTCCGCCTCAAGTTGCTGATTTTGATCGCAACCCATCGCCTGCAGAAGAGAGCGACATGTCTCATTCAACTCCCAACACGGAGTTCTCTCCGCCATGCAGCCCTCAGCAGAAATACCAGCAAGTCATGAAGGATACGAGGCTTACGGCAAGGAAAAAGCTCGCCCAGCTCACGCTGGAAGAGAAAGTACTGACAATGCCCCCCCTCTGGCCAAAGCCTTCTTGCTGGTTTCGGACTAACCCTTCATCCAGGTCTCGTTGCTCACTGCTGCGGACTTTTGGAGGACGCGAGCCATCCCATCTAAGAACGTTCCTTCCATAAAGACTTCGGATGGTCCCAATGGTGCTCGCGGTGGCATCTTCGTCGGCGGTACCAAGGTGAGCACTGTCTCTCGTTCGCCACTCATGCAAAAACAAAAAGAAAAAAGAAAAGAAAAAAAAAGAAAGGGCTTCCGGCTTATACCTATATCGATGTAGGCGGCGCTATTCCCTTGCGGCGTCTCTTTGGCGGCAACCTGGAACAAGAAGTTGCTGTATGAAGTCGGCCAGCACCTTGCCCAAGAAACGAAAGCGAGATCAGCCAATCTACTTCTGGCACCGACCGTCTGCATGCACCGTCACCCTCTCGGAGGAAGGAATTTCGAGTCCTTCTCCGAGGACCCTCTCCTGACCGGAAAGCTGGCTGCCCAGTATATTCGGGGTCTTCAGGAGAACGGCGTAGCTGCCGCCATCAAGCGTACATGGCCCCCCGGACCACCCCCCCCTTGTTGCTGCTGCCGGGAGCCCTGTGTACTGACGACTCGGGAGGTAGACTTTGCCGGCAATGAGCAGGAGACGAACCGGCTCACCATCGACTCGCTTATCCAGGAACGGCCGCTACGAGAGATCTACCTCCGCCCCTTTGAGATTGCTGTTCGGGAGGCCAATCCCTGGGCTCTCATGACGTCGTACAATCTCATCAACGGCGTCCATGCCGACATGAACCAGCTCACGCTTAGGACGATTCTCCGAGGAGAATGGCGCTACGATGGGTACGTTTCTGGCTACTGTGACCAAGAGGTAAGTAAAGTAAAGGCCCAAGAGTCATCATTGACGCAAATCAACAGCACGGTTATTTCGGATTGGGGCGGCATCAATTCCACCATCGAGTCCATCGTCACTGGGTGCGACATCGAATTCCCCTACTCACCCAAGTGGCGGTTCGAGAAAGTCGTCGAGGCCCTGAAAGAGGGGAAGATCACCGAGGAAAGCATCGACCAAGCCGCCGAGAACGTCCTGACACTGGTGGAGCGTCTCAAGGGTGACGACATGTCCCCGGAACAGCCCGAGCGGGAGGACAACCGGGAGGAGACGAGGGCCCTCATCCGGGAGGCCGGCGTGGAAGGCCTGACCCTTCTGAAGAACGAGGGGGCCGTCCTCCCCCTGGACCGCAAGACCAAGGTCGCCGTGATCGGACCCAACGCGAACCGAGCGATCGCCGGCGGCGGCGGCAGTGCCAGTCTCAACCCGTACTACAACACGATTCCCCTCGACAGCATCCGGGCCGCGTCCGACGCCGAGGTGAGCTTCGCGCAAGGGTGCCACATCCACAAGTGGCTCCCCGTCGCGTCCCGCTACTGCACCGAGAAGTCGGGCAAGCCGGGCGTCAGCATCGACTGGTACAAGGGGGACAAGTTCCAGGGCGAACCGGTGGTCGTGCAGAGGAGGACGAACACGGACCTCTTCCTCTGGGACTCGGCGCCTCTGAGCGAGGTCGGGCTCGAGTGGTCGGCGACCGCGACCACGTACCTCACGCCCACGAGCAGCGGCAAGCACACCATCAGCTTCATGAGCGTCGGGCCGGGCAAGCTCTACGTGAACGGCAAGCTGGCGCTGGACCTCTGGGACTGGACCGAGGAGGGCGAGGCCATGTTCGACGGCTCGATCGACCAGCTCATCGACGTCGAGATGGAGGCCGGCAAGCCGGTCGAGCTCCGAGTCGAGATGACCAACGAGCTCCGGCCCGTCGCCAAGCAGAAGCAGTTCGGCATCACGCACAAGTACGGCGGCTGCCGCATCGGCTTCAAGGAGGAGGACCAGGTCGACTTTTTGGAGGAGGCCGTCGAGACGGCCAGGGCCGCCGACGTGGCTGTCGTCATTGTCGGACTGGACGCCGAGTGGGAATCCGAGGGGTACGATAGGCAGACGATGGACCTGCCGTCCGACGGCAGCCAGGACAGGCTGATCGAAGCTGTCGTGAGGGCCAACCCGCGCACCGTGGTGATCAACCAGTCGGGTACGCCCGTCACCATGCCCTGGGCAGACCGTGTCCCTGCGATCATTCAGGGCTGGTACCAGGGCCAGGAGGCGGGAAATGCGTTGGCCGATGTTCTGTTTGGCTTGAAGAACCCGAGCGGAAAGCTTCCCGTATGTTTTCCTCGAGAGAGAGAAAGAGAGAGAGATGAACCTCCCTCTCCTCTCCCCTAGAAGATAACAGCACTTGACTAACATGATGTTCCAGTCGACATTCCCGAAGCGCATCGAGGACACGCCGGCCTACAACAACTGGGGCGGCGAGAACCTAAAGGTCAACTACGGCGAGGGCGTGTACATCGGCTACCGCTACTTCGAGCGCGTCCACATCGAACCGCTCTTCCCCTTCGGGCACGGCCTCTCGTACACGAGCTTCGAGTACGGCCGGCCGTCGATCGACAAGAAGCAGCTGACCGCCGAGGGCACGATCGAGCTCATCTTCGCCGTCAGCAACATCGGGCCGGTGGCGGGTTCGGAGACGGCGCAGATCTACGTCCGGGACGACAAGTCCAGGCTGGCCCGGCCGGAAAAGGAGCTCGTGGCGTTCGAGAAGGTCTACCTCGAGCCTGGCGAGACGGTCCACCTGCGCGTCAGCCTCGACAAGTATGCGGTTGGGTACTACGACACGGCGCTATCCAGCTGGATTGCCGAGGAAGGAACCTTTAGGGTCATGATCGGTGCTTCTTCTGCCGATATCAAGTGAGTCTTGTCCAACAGCCACTCTGCTATACCGGTCCTTTCCGGCTAACAAAGAGATAGACACAGCATCCCCTTTGAGGTTAAGGAGTCCTTTACATGGGTCTTCTAAACCAGCCATCTTCTCCTGTCTATTTTACCTCTCTCTCTCTCTCTCTCTCTCTCTCTTCCTCGTATATACCACGCTCTATTCTTTTCTCTTTTTTTCTTTTCTTCTTTCTTCTTTCCGAACATATGCCTTGGTATGCTTGGCTACCTTTCACCAGATATATTTGGGGCCCATCGAAGCGATATAGATTTCTACAATGATGGCCCAGGGATGACTCTCAACAGTGTTACAAATCAACACACGAATTCGGTCTGTCGTGGTCCGCATCACATGCATACATCCTAGTGAAACCGCCGTTATCATGCTCATCCATCCTCATATCTTATTGTTCATTATTTTCGCTTAGCTCCTTCTCCTGTCATATTCGGCCCACGTCCCCCGACCGCCAGTGGAGGGAAAGCGAGAACGCCACTGTCGAGAACATGGCCACGGCCCACGTCACTACCTGCAAACGCCCGAGGGGAGACCCGACCTGTCTACATATGCAACGCATTCACATTACAGGCGCACACCCCACTCCCCCCTCCCACCTCGGTTAGGGAGGAGGGAAGGAGACGAAAACTCCTACAGTATATCACGGAAGACGAGACAGGACAGGATCCCGCCTGACGTGTGCTAGCACCGTATGTAGGCTACGGACTTTGGCATCGGCATCGGCATCTCTCTCGCCACAGGGCAAGGGGCCCCCGACAAGGTTGGGACGACACATGCAGGCAGACACTGCAGTTTCCAAGCCGTGATCCTGGGTGCGGGGGGCGAAGGGACTCCACCAACTTGTTTTCCCCTCCCCCCTGCAATGCGGCCTGTACGCATGTGTTTTGTTTCGTTCCTTCTCCTCTGCCCTGAGGATTTCCAATGGTCATGACCCTTGGCCTCGTAGCTTGTAAATCCGAGGTCCAGGATGGATGTATATGTGTACGTTGTATAACAAAGATCCCCGGATGACAGACAATAAGACTGGAGAGTAGTGTCCGTCCGTCTGCTTGGTTAGCAAGGACCGTCACAAAGAGAAGAAACGCCCAGAATGGCGAGAGTCGTGACCCAAGGATCAGAAGCCAGTAATGTGGAGGGGCGAAGCGTGAACGTGAGGAAGGTATCCGTAAAATGGTGGGGGAACCGCGGCGCGTGGCGGGTAATATCAAATGCGGCATGCGAGTTCGGCTCGGCTGCTGGCGGGGGAGGGGGGGCGGAGGTTGAAAGAACGAATCTCGGGAGATGAAGCTCCATATTGCCCTGCCTGGATAGTCGTCTGGAGGATGACCCTCCTTTTTCTTTTTAAACTCTCCCGTGGCGCCCCTTGCTCGACAAGCCTTCCCCGGTTGCGGATCCAACGCCCTTATTTTCTTCTTTTTTTTTTTTTTTATCCTTTTCTCTCTCTCCCTCCGCCCTCCGCCCACAGCCAGCAGCCAGCAGGCCCCCACCCCCTCGCGTCTTCTCCCGCTTCTCGTCCCCTTTCTTTTACCGTTTTCGTGACATTGTAGGTCTGCTTGATCGTTTGTTGGCGGGCACTAGGGGCAAAAGGGAATGCGCCACTCCCTCGCGTGACCGATCTCACCCTCGGCTTGTTCGTCCAAGCCGGCTGTTTTTTTTCTTTAGCGTGGGGAATATCCGTTCGTCCACGGGTATTCTTCTCGTTCCCTCGTCCAGATACCCGGAGGGAAGAAGGTGCGGGTACTGCCACTGACGCAAGTTAGCAGTAGTGGTACTGTATGTTTGTTGCTGTTGTTGTTGTTGTTGTTGTTCTTGTTGTTTGGACTTCCCGGGGATCCTTGGAGAAGAAAGTTCAAAGTCGATGCTTCAAGACGAAACGCCGGCGGGCTTGGTTTCTCATGCAAGTTAGGGATCTTTGGCGTCGGAACAGATGTCCGTAGATTTTGGGTGCCTTATGGAAGACGAAGTGTAAAACAACGGTCTTATGCGGTAATAAGGGTATTGATTGATAGAAGAGAGCTCCTTAGATACCTGCCGTGGGAGATACTGTGAGCAGTTATTAGTTTGCGATGCTTGGATGCGGACGAGCTATGGTGAAAGTTCTGCGACATTGGGTAATTACTTGGTAAACGGTTACGCCACGTAACTTATACGGAGTAAGGTACCTTTCGGAAACGGTTCTACGAAGTATCGCGTAATCAGGAATGTATCAGGGCTTGGGTGGCTTACGTAATTTCTTACTCCATCCATGTCCCCCACAATACAACGTACCGTGTACGGACACTTGATCCAGCCTGCTCCTTGCTTGACAGCCGAGCCGACTGTCGTGGACTCCCCGGAAGTCTCCTTCCCTATTTTGAGCGCCCCGTATGGCCTTGGTTGGTATCAGATCATTGGTCAGTGGTCCTAGACATAGTCCTGAGGGATGGATGTCTCGGCCTGACCTAAGAATGAATCAATGGCCTCGAACTGATTCCCCTATCCATTCAACGCAGATACCGGCTCTGTCTTGACAGTCATGTCCTGTCCTGGTTTCATAGGTTTGAGAACGCCGACCCAAACCTTCGGGTCGGCCCGCTACCCAAGGTACATAGGGTAGGTACTGGCAATCTCAGGGGCTCAGCACGCACAGTATCTGAATAACACACGACGCACTGTACTTTGTCTGTACTTTGCTTGTGGCTAGTGCTGGGCCCAGGCCCGTCCGTACGTACCTTGATTGTGTACCTTAGTCCTTAGGTACCGGGACGCCACGCGATGCCCCCACCGTCCCTCCCTCAAAGCGTGTCTCGAACTTCCTTCCATTGACCTTGGCCCAGATGACACCTCGTCCCTGTTCTCGCCATCAAGAGGAGAGGCACCGAAACTCTGTGTTGTGCGACTTGCGCATCAGGTCATTCGCTTTTCAACATCATCATAATTTAATACAGCAACGGTGACCATTTACGTGGACCTACAGTCTCTCGGCGCTTGCATTTGCTCTACGGAGTATCGTCAACCCATCAGCCCGTCAGCCCGTCAGCCCATCAACCCATTCAACAACGAACATCGATTCGCATCGAGAGAAAATCCCAACCCCCCCTCTGACAACACCCGACCCCACATCCGAACGACTAGACATCTGCGAAGCGACTTTGAAAAGGAATCCGGGGCAGGGGACGTGACTCGGGTGTGTGTTCGAGTGTGGTGTAAAGGGGCAGGAAGCTCTCTGTCATGGCTTTCCCGCCGTATGGCAACGGCTTCCAGCCGCGCACGCGCACGCGCACGTCGGGATACTTCCCGCGCGGCCCGCGGCGACGAAACGACGACATGATGGCCAAGTACCATTACTGCAAAGCTGTGGCCACCCGGGCCGTCCAGGAGCTGGCCGCCTACCTGCGATCGAAGAACTTGGGTTTCGTCGTCAACCTCGTGTCTCGTGTGGCCTGGCACGTCCAGATGAACCTGAGCGCACGTCGTCTCCTCAGCTTCCCCCATCTGCTGTTCGCCCTCTGGGTGCTGCTTCTGCTCTGGGGGGAGGATTGGGTCTTTTCCAATAGTGTCGAGAGGTGCAACTGGGACAAGTGGGAGCGTTGGGTAAGCTTCTTTTCTTTTCTTTTTTTTCTTCTTCTTTTTTTCCCTTCTCTTTTCTTCGCCGTTTCCACCTTCTCTCTTCTCTCCTCAGTCAGCTAACCTTTCTTCTTACTCCCCCCCTTAGCCCTCAGGGTCCAGTCCTCATCGCCTCATCCTCATCGCCGACCCCCAACTCATAGATCCCCACACGTATCCCGACAGGCCGTGGCCTCTGGACGACCTGACCCTCCTGATCACCGACAATTATCTACGACGAGCATACACGCGTCTACAGTCCCGTCTGCGGCCCGATTCCGTCTTCTTCCTGGGCGACCTCTTCGACGGCGGCCGAGAGTGGAAGACGGCGACTGGCGATTTCGCCGACTCCAAGTGGTCGCGTGAACATCGCCCGCGTCTGGAGAAGCAGTATGTCAAGATGTGGCAGAAACGCTACGGCGAGGGCTTTTGGCTCGACGAGTACGCCCGCTTCGGCGACATCTTCTTCGACAACTGGAAGCTGGGAGGGGACAAGCCCGGGCCGTGGCAGAGGGGCCGAAAGCTCGTGGCCAGCCTGCCGGGGAACCACGACCTCGGGTTCGGCAACGAGATCAAGCTGCCCGTCCGCGATCGCTTCTACGCCTACTTTGGCGAAGGGAACCGCGTGGACGTGGTGGGCAACCACACCGTCGTGTCCGTCGACACGGTGTCGCTGAGCGCCGGCTCGTCCGACACGCTCCACCCGGCCGATTTCAAGCCCATCTTCGACCCCATCGACGGGTTCCTGCGGGACGTGTCGCACGTGAAGCAGAGGGCCGTGGAGAGGGAGCTGCGCTTCTGGCGAGGCGAAACGGAGGAGCTGGCCTTCCCGCATGCCGTCGAGGACGCCGAGACGGCCGACGTCAATCACCTGCCGAGTCTAAAAGGTGCCGCCGACGCGAATGCGGAACTGCCCACCATCCTCCTCACCCACGTCCCCCTCTACCGCGAGCCGGGGACGCCGTGCGGGCCTCTCCGCGAGCGCTGGCCGCCCGCGCCCCAGCCGCCGGGCCAGACGGACACCGTCGAGCCGGACCATCGCAACGCCATCCCCATCGCCAAGGGCTACCAGTACCAGAACGTCCTGAGCGAGGAGGACTCAGTCCGCCTGGTCAAGACGGTGGGGAACGTCGTCCAGGTCTTCTCGGGCGACGACCACGACTACTGCGAGGTGACGCATTCCGAGCGGAAGAAGAACGCCCCCGAGATCACGGTCAAGACCCTGAACATGGCCATGGGCGTCGCCCACCCGGGCTTCGTCATGGTGAGCCTGTACAATCCCGTCGACGGCCACGGCAGTCCCCTCCCCGGCGCCCCCGCCCGGACCCTGCAGACGCACCTCTGCGTGCTGCCCGACCAGATCTCCACCTTTATGAACTACGCCATCTTCGTGGGCCTTACCATCGCCGCCATTGCCGTGCGCGCCATCCTGGTCCCCGTGCTGAACTTGACGCCCTTTAGCCTGGCGGCGGCCGGACAGATCAACAACAACATCACCACCACCACCACTACCACCACCAACAACAACAACAACCCGATGAAGGCCCCCCCCTCTTCGTCTCTGCTGCCGCTGTACGACAAGGCCAAGCAGGAAGACGACGGGACGTACGACATGCAGCCCACGTCGGCCTCGTCCGGGTCGTCCAAGTACCTAGCCTCCCGCTTCAGCGACGTCTCGCGGACCCGGAGCTCATCGCTCACCTCCAACAACGGGGTGCCGCCCCCGGGGCGCGCTTCGTTGCCGGGCGGCGGCAGGTCCAAGCACCATCACCCCCACCAGGGCAAGAAGCTGGGCCCGAGGATCGACATCTACAAGGACGAACTGTACCGCTACGGAGATCACAAGCCGCGGTTCCCCTGGCGGGGGGTGTCGACGCGGTCGACGAAAACGTCTATACGACTCGTCTTGACCGAGGTTGTGGCGTGTACTTGGAGAGTAGCGTGGCTCTCTGTATTATTATGGGCTTATCTCACGTATAAGGGGTGATGGGGTTTTTCTTTTTCTTTTTCCTCTCAAATGCGACACATACCTTTACATGTAGTAGTATACGATGTGTGCCTCGGGTCGGACAGACCCCTTTTCTTCGGGGACTTTCACAAGACTCATAATCAAAGCACTGCTTCTTTTCGTCATGTTTATGCTCCGTTGATTTATGCGTTTTACTTGTTTCGTGAAAGCCCATGAAACGAGAGGGTTCGCCTCAACAATGGTGATATATCTTTGTCGAGAGGACAATGCCGGGGCTTTTGATCAGGCCCGAGGAACAGAGTGAGGTGGGTGAAACTACCAGGATCATAATCCCCTTGGTCTATTCTATTCTGGAAGATGAACACGAACATCCCTTGGGGAGATTCTTCCGTCACACGGGAGTTGAGTTGCAAAGGGCACATGTTAGACGACTCAGTGAGAATAAAGAGTCTCCTCTCCGTCTCTGCTTTCACAAACTTTCCCCCTTGTCTCTACTGTCTACTTGAATTCGACTTGTGAGAACTGACTTACTTGTCGCTTTCTCTCTGTCTTCCACATTGCCCCCAACTCGCTTGTTCTTTGCCCAGCCTGGTGCTCCTGTTTCCCCTGGAACTTTCGTGCTTTGATATTTAAGTCTCAACATGAACTCTAGAACGCTAGACTACCATCATGGCCTCATGGTGAGAAAAAGCTCATATGTAGATGCCTCTATATATTTCGCTCGCTCGCCCGCCAACTTTCCAGATTCCCGAGACATCATCCCAGCCTCGTCAGCATCATAGCATCAGTATCAATCTTCCCTTCTGAAGAAACAGAACATCCCTCTACTCTGGACATACGTCTATCCCAACAAAAGACATAGACTTATCAAAACATGCCCAACAACAACAGAACCCGGCCTGTTGTGGCCCGATCAAGGATGGCCCAAGGACGTCGAAACGCCATCCCGAATCTCAGCTCGCGAGCAATCCACCCTCACCACACACAGGAACTGAGACGCCGCTTCCGCAACCTAGCCATGTCATCTCCCGTCTCCGAGGCCGCCAATACGTCCCACGGCCCCGGTTCCCGCTTCCACTCCGGCTTCCACTCCGACGCAGACTCCGACGCAGACTCCGACCCTTGTTCGCCAACGTCCCCCTGGCGACCCCTTTACAGCAGCAGCAACAACAGCAACAACAGCAACAACAACAACAACAACAACAGCAACAACAACAACAACAACAACAACAACACCACCACCACCCCCACCCCCACCACCGACGACGAAGAGGACGCCGCATCCGCCATCGAGCGCGACTTCCGCGCCATCCTCGCCACCTCCGTCGCCCACGCCGGGGGCCGCCACGACGCCGTCCACGGGATCCTCCGCGCCTCGCTGCAGGCCTTGACCCTGGAAGCCGTCGAAAGCGGCGTGACTGCTCCTTCGGGGCCCGCGCCCGTCCCCTGGACCTTCGTCATGCACGCCGCTTCTGTCAACCTGGTTCGGTTTTCGTGTACGTGTGCGTGCCGGCACGTCTTGTCTTCTTCGTCAAGTCTCGGCTTCTCCCCCCTCCCCCCCCTTCCTCCCCCACTTCGCTTCCTATTCATTTGACTCGTCGCCTTGACTGATCTCCTCCCGCGCCGCACAGTACTCTCGAGCAACCGCCCCTTCCCCGCCCGCGCGGTCTACGGCCAGAGGCTCATCCCCCTGCGCCCGCCCTTTGTGAACTGGGGTCTCCTGGCCTTCACCGTGTCGGTGTCGTCGGATCTGGTCGTCGGCTTGCCCCGCTTGATTGCTTCGCAGTATTCGCTCTGCCCATGTGTGCACGAGGAACTGGTCGAGCTTGACCATGATGGAATAAGACGTTGAATCAACTGGCATATGCTTTTTGCTTTCATCAATTTGAAAGGCACTTGGAAAATCCCCTGCTGCCTGACTCTCGAATGTCTGGCAGAGACGGCGGAGAGGGTCGCGAATCGTCCGTATAAGACGCAGGGAGTTGCGACATCTCTTGATTCGAGTTAAAAGGGGGGGGGGGAAGAAGACAGAAGAAAAGAAAAAAAAGAAAAAAAAAATGATAGACTAGACGGTTTCGGTCAAGGGCGTTCAACATAGAATTGGAATGGTATAGATCGCAGTCTCTTTCACATAGAACAACCACATCAGTTAGTCGACCAAGAACATGCCAAAGAAACCTACCAACGGGCGAACAAGACACTGCAAAAAGATCGTCATCCGCGAAGACGGGTATCTTCTGAAAGCTAAACGAGACGAGGCCCAAGCGAAAAAGGACCTCATTAACCGTCTTCCTGCCCTCTACTATATGCACATCAAGGCATAAGGAGGGGGTCATGCCCTCTCAACCCTTCTTTCCCTTCCCTTCCTTTCCAGCGCCTGGCAGATGAGATGCCTCGTATTACCTCGAGCGAACCACAAAGCCATTAAAATGTAGAATCAGAAAATAAAAGTAAAAAGAATAGGCAAAGTCCGGGAAAGGGGGGGGAGCAAACGTCCAAGCCGTGAAGAATAAAACGCACAAGCTTCGTCAAGTGCAAACCCCGGGAAATGCTAGGGAACAACAGCGAAAGCTAGGAGGCCGAGGGCGGTCGCGACGGCGGCTGATTTCCGGGTTTCTTGATGACCAGCTTCAGGCGCTTCGGCGCAGCGGGCGGTCCTCCGCCGCCAACGCTACCAACCTGGGACGGCGTCGGACTAGCCTTGGACGGCCCCCCTGTCGACGAAGGCCGGGGCGGCGGACCTGGTGGTGGTGCCCTGGGTGTGGACTGGGAAGCGGGTGCGCCGGAGGGCAGCGGTTTGCGCTCCGAAGTACCCGTAGGAAGAGGTTTCCGTGCTGGCTTGCCGGGGAGGGCATTGGAACCAGACCCAGCCACGACGCTGGCAGCACCAGCGTTGGGCCTCTCCGTGTGCCCTGTCGACGCTGAAGACGCCGGCGAGGCACGTACATGGAGCGGCGAGCCGGACTTGCGAGGAGCCACGTGGACCGAGTCCTTGCTGACACCAGATTGAGATCGCCGTCTAGCATCCTTCAGAATCCGCTTCAGATTAGGATGCTTAAGCGTCACCATCTTCCGAACCGGGGGAGCCCCATCGGCCCCGACGGCAGAACCCTTCGAGCTCAGCTTGGGCCGCTTGGTTGCCGGCGACGGGTCGTCTCCGCCGTTTATCTTGTCTGTCCGAGGCCGTTTCTGCGACTTGCTGGTTGCCTCCGTCTTCCCTAGCGGTGTGGCAGCCTGGGCCTGAACCACCGGCCGGTACAGAGCTTGCGCGGTAATAGAGTCCCCTTCGGCCCCGACAGACGCTGCCGCTGCCGCTGCCGCTGCGGTGCTGGAAGATACGGAAGGTTGTCTCGGCTGAGCCGCCGGAGGAGGCTTGATGAGTTTGGCTTTGTTGGGGTTCACGATCACCCGCTTTAGCTCGGGTTTAGGCGTGCCTTCGAGCACCTTCGGGACCACCTTGGGGACCACCTTGGGGACCGCCTTGGGGACCACCTTCGGTTCCATTTCCCGAACGGGTTCTGCACGATAAAATGGAGTAAAGGTAACCATGAGCTAATGAGATCAAATCATGTCAGTTTCCGCTAGAAATGGAAGAGGAAAAAAAAAAAAGGAAAAAAAAGAGGACGCCAGCAGCTTCATCCAACATACCCTGTTCGGCGATCGCTGAAGCGGACGAGAGACCTTCCACCGCTGCGGCAGCGGCAGCGTGATGATCCACTCGTCCGACGCATCGAACATGAGCGAACAAAACTCAAGAAGAGTGACCACTTCGGTCCTGCCCAGGAGATCCTGGTTCATCGCAGCCCAGACCGCTTTCTGGATGGCGTGCTGGTGCTGAGAGAACTGCTCCTTCACCTCCGTCTTGAGCGCCGCAAGCGCCGCGTCCAGGTTGCGCTTGCGTTCAAACCCCTCGCGCCGCTCCTTGGTCTCCTTGTCACCCGCCTCAATGACGAGCATATCGTCCTTAGCGTCCTCGTCATCGACGTCCATGAAGGAGACCCCAGCGTTCGCCGCGGGTTCCGGTTCCAGTTGCGTTTCCGGTTCCCTAGGCCTGGAAAATTCGCCAAAGGCGAGGCCGGCCAGGCCCTGGCTGAAGATTTTGAGCAGCTGGTGTCGCACATACGGCGACTTGTCGGTGCTCAAGGTCCGGAGAAGGTGTGGGAAGAGGAGCTCGTCCATCATGAAGCCGAGATCCACCAGCGCCTCAAAGGCTTTGATACGTACGAGATCGTACGTCTCGTCCTGCAGGTACTGGACGAAATCTAGGGGGTCCGGCGGGACCACCCCTGCTTTCATGAGACGCTGCAGGCAGTCCAGCGCCGTGATGGTCCAGATGTTGTGGTACGAGTTGGCCCACTCGTCCATCCTGCGGTACCGTTCAATCTCTTCGAGCGCTTCCCTGAGAAAGCGCTCCTCCTCCCCCTCCCCCTCCTCCTCCCCGCTCCTGGCCGTCTCCTCGAGAGAGACCTCCGACTCGGGCCGCTTCTCCGGGATGAGGCTCGTCGCAAGAGCCTCCAGGAGCTTGGCGATGTAAAAGTTGTCGGAGTACGGGTTGTTGGCGTTGTTGTTGAGCTGGATCTGCTCCAGCAGGAACCGGCGCGCGCGCTCGGGACACTTGCCGCGGCTGTCTCGGACCCGTGCCACGGCCAGGGGGATCGCACTCCGCACCATGTATTGTTTCCTGTCCGAGAAGTCGTTGGGCCGGGGCGTGTGCGCGCCCGGGAAGCAGCACAGGTCGCTGAAGGTCTTGAGCAGGTGGTACAGGCCGATCATGGGGTCTTTCTGGCCCGCAACGCCGTGCCGGGGCAGCTGGCTGCACGCCATGGTGCGGATGCCGTGGAAGTACCGTCGATCCACGAGGGTCCGCGTCAAGATGGACGAGACGAGGGGGTGCGACGGAGACCTGGCCAGGTAGATCATGGTGTCTTGCTGTGCCACCACGTCCCGATCCTGCTGGAGTTGCGACACGTACATGTACGACTCGGAGTTGGTCTTCATGGTGCAGATCCACTCAAAGTCGGCATCCATGCGAATCCACTCGTAGGATTCCTGATCCATCCGCTTCTCCATCTCGGGAGGCCAATCCAGCAAGTCCCACTCCTGCACGTCCTCCTGGCCTTGGAGCACGTCCCCCAGGCAGTAGAGGAGCGCTTCCTCGGCATTTTCGCCTCCTCCGTCGACGGCATTCTGGGCGGCCGCCCGGTCGCGCTGCCGCCGGCTACGCTTCAGGCGCTTGTACTTGGTGTTGTAGGGGATGTCGTACTTGCACTGTCTCGCCCCGGCCGCATCCTCCTTCACCTCGACAATGTGCTCGTAGGGCGTTCCGTCGGCTTCGTGGATCCGGATGGTCATGGGTCCGGTAAACCAGACCTGGACCTCCCCGCCCGAAACGCCATGCTGGCGCTCCTTGATGGCGCGGAAGAAGTCCTTCTTGTCCAATTCGCGCGGGTCCTTCGCCGTCCGGGCCTGGGTCTGACGCAGCAGCATCTCGACACACAGCTTCTTCTTGTTGAACTTTTGCGTCACGTCGAAGCGAGGGCACCCCGACCCGTACACCCATTGTTTCCAGAAGGACTCGAGCCGGCTCTTAGAATTCTTCTCGCAGACTCGCCGGAAAGACTCGGTGTTGATCAGCCAGTCGCTCTGCCGTTCTCCAATGTTCGCCTTGTAAAGTATCCTAGACATTATGCGGGTGAGATTGGTCTGGGCCGGTGCCTTGGCCAGCCTCTTGTCCAAGATGAACATGACGAGGGGCGCTTTGAGACGCATAAAGTCCGTCTCAAAATCGCCAAGGTGGAGATACTGACCGAGGTCGTACAGCGACGGGCGGTCGACGTCGAGGTCGACCAGGCGGTCCGACATGGTCTTCATGCGGAACCTGTAGTCGTTGTTCCCGCAGAGCTTCTTCAGGTACAGGTCGGCCATGTAGTAGGCGATGCCGATGACGACCCAGAGATCGCAGCGGCGACTCGGCAGGAGGTTGATGCCGCTCCACTGGGTGGCCAGGCTGTGGACGAGTTTCCGGGTGACTGCCACCTCGACGTCTGGATCCACGACGTTCTCGGGAAACAGGAGGCGGTTGCTGGCGAAGGCGAGGGAGTGCACGGGGACGGTGTCTTCCACCATGTCGTCGACGAAGCACAGACGGTATTCCTCGAAGGGGTACCTCGCAAAGGTGAGAGTGAAGAAATCGGCGGCCGAAGGGAGCGCCTGGCACGTGTTGAGGGTCTCCTCGGCGCGGCCGGGTAGGCAGAAGGCCTGGATCTTGAGGGCGTTGGCGCCGAGCTTCTCGTCGTCGGTCTCGGGTCGCCAGGCGCCGGATACGTCGACGGCTTCAAAGGGGCCGACGGCGAAGGCGAGCTTTTGGGCGGAGGTTTTCTTGTCGAGGTCGAACGTCACAACCTTTTTGCGTTCGTCGGTGGGGTCGATGATTTCGTCCGCCACATAGCCGGAACAGAGGGCGGTCATCTCCAAGAGCTTGTCCTCCTCGGAGAGCCCAAAGTCGAGGTGGTCGGCGTCATGGGCGGCGGCGGCGGCGGCGGCGGCAGCAGCAGCCCCCTTCTGCGGCCCATTCGCCCCGTTCTTTTGGGTGGCGAGGGGTTGTCCCAGGGCGTCGCCCAAGGTCCTCGGGAACTTGATGGAGATGGACCAGGCGCAATTCTGGCCGTGATCGTCGATACAGGGGAAGATGCAGGAGGCGGTGCCGGGATCTATGGTATGACGTGTGTAGAGGTGCGGCCACTTAAACTCGCTGGGATCGACACCTACGAACTGGAGGCCGTCGCGGATATTCTTGGTGGTGAAAGGAATGGTGATGCGGAATTCTCGACGAGCGAGGCTGCCGGTCCCGGAGTCGGTGAGCGACGAAGACTCGGCGGCAAAGGAGACGGGGTTGCTGGAGGGAACGCGGATCTTGATAGGACGCTTGTGGGTGGATACCAGTTCGTCCAAGTCCTTCAGCGAGATGCGTATGGATCCATCGACGGGGGTAGAGCCGACTGCTTCCCTATCTTCAGCGGCTGCATCGTTTCGTCGGGAGTGAACCAGGGGGCGCATCCTGATGCGACGCAGGTCGTGGTGGGTGGCATTCCAGTTGTAGTGTTCGGGGTAGGTCAAGAGACGGTAAGGGTCGTTGTAGGTAGCGGCAATCTTCCTGGGAGGAGCGACGGGCCTCGTATCTCGGAGGACCTCGATCTCGACGTTGTCCACATCTATCTGGGATTGTCGCGCATCGATAGCGATCTCTGCTAATGATTCATCTTTGATGTTTGCGATGGTGATCTCGCTCTTGCCGTGGACGCACTTCTCGCGAAAGTTGACCTCGAGAAAAACGTCTTGACGGATGACGAAGTATGGTCGGATCGGCTCGTCGTTGAGGGGAGGCAGGCCCTCATCATCCAACGTCGTCGACCCACCTACCTCTGGGGGAGGTGAAAATGCGGACATGGTGATGCGTCGGGAAGAATTGTCGTGGGAGGAAGAGAGCTGAACGGCGGCTATCGGGTCTGACGCATCGACTCTAGGGCGTAATTAGACGTGGGCGAGTACTTATTCTCGAGTTCGCCAGCCGTAGAAGGTTGCGTTAGGTGCGAGGCCAAAGCAAGAACCAGACTTCAGTCATCGTGGCCACCCCCAATCCTTCTTTGGCAGATAGGTAGTATTATGTTATAGCTTGTCGAGGAGTTGACAGATCCTGTTCGGTGGAATGAAAGACGTGGTGTCGTTTTGAGGGTGCAAGGAGCAATATGGAAGGGGCGATCAATGGTACAAGGTTCAAAAGAAGAGGCGGTAAAAGAAAAGAAAAAAAAAAAGAAACAAGAAAAAATTGGTGATTGCTGAGGCTATCCCAGAGGGCAGTTACCTTAGCTGGGGTAGCTTGCTCCGCAGTCGTGCTTTCCCACGTTCGAGGGGAGCGCGTCGCCAGTCCAGTCGTCACTGGGTGGGTACTTTGTAGAAGTGGCTCGCATGCATGAATAATCACCCAGACTGTCCGGTCCGGGACCGGCAGCCATTGATTATATAAGCACATAGGTTCGATCTGACTACCTTACGTTACGGCATCATTGCCATGCATCTCTTGATATTGCAGTCGCCATTGCCCTCCCCCTCCAGATTTGCCGTCTAAATGTTATTGCTACAAGGGGACCGGAACCATTCCATATCCCTGATACCCATGCATAGTACGTGTAGCAATGGTACCTCCTGCCCATGCCGTACCAATAACAATAACCCTTTATAATAAGGTACAGACCACGTAGTGTGGCTAAGAAAAAGACCTGAACGCCCGCCTGCCTCCCAATCCCTTCCCTTCCCTTCCCTTCCAATGACCAGAATCCCAATTGTACAACAATAATACCATGCTTCCGAAATAAAACAAAGAAGAGAAGAGAAACAAAAAATGCAGCACCGTCAAATCTCTTCACGGCCGGCTTCTCAGCTCCCGGCGTCTCTTCCGGGCCCTCGCCTTCAGGAGCTCCTCGTCCATCAACTCCTCCGGCAGCTGAAACTCATACTCGCCCATATCCGGAATCGGCTCCCCCCAAGCTAAGACGCGGCGGCCAGCGCGACGGTGCTTATTCAGCGCCGCATCGCGCTCGTGCTTCTTTTTGAAAAACGACTTGAACTCGCGCGGCGGCGGCGGCGGCGGAGGAGGAGGCGTGGGCGTGGGCGTGGGCGTGGGCGTGGGCGTGGGCGTGGGCCTCGCCGCCTGAGGTGCCTTGTCCGCCGTTGCCACCGCCGCAGGAGCAGAGCTAGCAATGACAACACGCGGCCGCCTCCGAGTGGTCGCTTTGGCGACAGGTGTTCTCAACCTTGCCGCTGCTTCCTCACGGAGCTGCTTGGCGACGGAGGCTTCGACGTCGTTTTCGTCAGCCGGCTCGCCCCTCTCCGAGACGTCATGTTTTTCTTCGTCATCATCTCCTTCTTCTTCTTCTTCTTCTTCTCCTCCTCCTCTTCCTCCATCCTCCCCCTCCTCTTCAACCTCCTCGTCGCTATCGGCCACTTCGGTTCTTCGCCGACCCCCCCGGCCTCCACCCTCCCTCGCAACCCCATCGTCCCCCGAGTGCGAGGCGTCCCCCTTCTCAGCCTCGGCAAGCGCACGCTCCTTCAGGGCCTTGCGCCGCTTCTCTTCCCGACTCCACTGGCGAAACTTGTCCAGAATGGCCTCGCACCCCTTGATGAAGTGGTCTCTCGCCGGCTCGAACGTCCTCTTCTTACTCTCGGTGACACCGCTCACGCCCATGATCCTCAGCCAGTCGTGGCCCTGAAGCCCGTCCAGCAGCCGGACGATCTGGTCCCTCTCATGCTGCGCGCGGCCCCTCTCCGTATTCCGTATGGACCGCTCGATCCTCGCGGCCTTTTTATGCACCGGAATGTACGACTCGTCCGGAAGGGGATCTGAGTTCAGCGTCTTGCCCTTGTAGCTATTTCCGAGGAAGTCGAAGTCTATGCGCTGCGAGTCGAAGAGGTCTTCGTAGAGAGCGTCCCCGTATCCGCGGATCGGGTATTCCCCATGTTGGAGGTACTGGTGCGGAGGGGCTGGCGTTGGATCGGCTGGGGATGGGGTGAAGAGCGGCGCCACCACTTGGCCTTGGTAATAGCGTGGGAACGAATCGACGACAACAATCGGGGTATCGATGTTCAAGAGGTCTACGAACGGGGCCCAAAAAGAAAAGGAAAAGAAAACAAAATTTGTCAGCATATCTGACTAGGTAGCTTGTAAAGCCTCTCACGTAAGGTAGTAAGGTAGGCACGGCAACCGGTACTCGGTACTCGGTACTGGGTAGGTTCGGGGGCAGTACGCACGCTGTTCCTTGGGGTCGTTGCCGATGACCTCATCATAGTCCGGGAAGTAAGCCGACAGCTCGCTCTTGAAGCGGGTGGCCTCTTGGGACCGTAGCTTGCGGCCGCCTCGCTGCTCCTTCTCTTTCGCGTCGCTGCTCTCGCCGGGCTGCAGGCGATCCAGTTCGTGACGTATCCCGTCGACCACCTTGGCCTGGTGCTTGGTCAACCGAGACCGGGACGAAGTGTTGTTGCTGCCCGCCGAAGGGGCCCGGGTGCTGCGTGGTGAGGCCGTGGTGTTGGCAGGGCGCACATCGGCGAGCGGTACACTTGACGCGGGTTCGTGGTGACGTGGATCGGGAGGATGGTGGTGTTGTTGTCGTGGTTGCGGTTGTTGCCGTGGTTGCGGTTGTTGTCGTGGTTGCGGTTGCGGTTGCGGTTGCGGTTGCGGTTGCGGTTGCGGTCGCGACTGTGGTTGCGACTGCGGACCCAGAGTAACAACCGCGTCGGCGTCGATGGTAGTAGACCTGGTGCCAGGCACAGCTTTCGGAACCTCGTTCTCCGTCTCCGTCGCGTCGGGGTTCGAAACGCGGGTCTCGAGGATGATCTGCGCGTCCGTTCGGGATCGTTTCGGAGCCGGACCGCCCAATTCGCCATCGACGGTGTTCGAATGACGCTTCGTGCGACGAGGATGAGAAGACGCGGGATAGATATTGATGGGTTGGGCCTGCTGGTCGGCCTGGCCGCGGGCGCGGCCACGGCCTCTCTCGCTGCCCATCTCACCCCTATTGCCACTAGCAGCCGCCCTCTTGCTGGAGCGCGTGCTGGTCGTCATAGGTGCCATGGGCGCTGCCGCTACGACGGCCATGGGAAATCGGGTCCCGCCGTCGGGGTTGTCGTTTTCCTGTCACGTCCGAATCGCGTAATGGGAAATTTTTGTTGGTCAATTGGTTTTGTCTTTTGTCGGTAAGAAAATTTTCGTTCTGAAGGCCGATGATCCAATTGATTCTTGTGTCGCGTTATCCTTTGGCCTCAGCTTCCTTTTTTCTTTTTTCTTTTTTTTTTCTTTTTTTCGCCCTTGGTGGCGCGCGCCCAGTGTCAAGGTTCAGTTGTTTGTTTGGTTCGTGGTTGAAGGTTGCGGGGATGCTGGGGTCTCTTGATGAAAACAGAGGTACGTACAGTACTTCGTGCCACCAAAGAGGGAAGCGAGCACCCCGCCAAAGTTGATGCACTGGAATGAGGTGGTGAATCTGGTGATAGTTACAAACTACTAGGTATCACTCCAGGCCTTGCACGGGAGAGAATATTCCGAGAAATGCAGCAGCTACGCTAAGTACCTTAATGCTCCCTTCCCCAGATCCGTATCTGGATAAGTACCTTATAGGTAAGGTATTGCCTTAGGTACCTACCTGCCTTTGCCGTCATCAAAGTCATCAGTCATGAGAAACCGTCAATAGAGTGCGTATTGATAACAAGAGATATACCATCCTCTTCACTATGCCTCAGAACATCGGAAGGGCAAGGGAGCAATAATGTCATAATAGCAGTGTAAAAGTCGTTCATCTACACCAGTTAAAGGTGAATCTCCGCCCGCAAATGAGATAGGTGCTCGTCTGCCCTTGGGTATCTAATTCTAATAGGAGGATCATAACCATGGTCTCTCATACCATCTCTAGGTCCGGACCATAGCTTCAATCTCTGGAGGGATTGCAGAAGCGTCATCAGAGACCCCTTCAGGTTCGCCCTGTGCGTCGTCGCCCGATTTCTGGGACCCCCCGACCCCCGGAGGCTCGGGATTGTTGTTCCTCGTCGACGTCACATGCCTCTTCTCCAACCACTTCGTCCTCCTCAATACATTTTGCTCCTCAAGTACCTCCCTCTCCTTCTCCGCGCTCTCGCTCTTATCCCGCTCCTCCTCCTCCCGCCTAGCAAACTGCTCCGGCGCCACCAACTTCTCCTTCCTCGTCATCAGCCTCTCGAGCGTCCGTTTCCCCTTGCTCCGCGTCTTGACGTACGCCTCCAGCCCCATCAGGACGGCGTACGACTTGGAAATCGTCACCTTCGACATGTCGACCCCGGCCTCCTTGAGGCTGCGGACGAAGGCCCGCAAATGGGACGTCGACGGCCGGTAATGTCCGCTGAGCGGGGACAGCGATGTCAGCTTGCCGTCCTGGACCTTGATCAGGCCCGCCGCCGAAATCCGGCTGCCCTGCAGGAACGACGAATGCTGGAACACCCCGGAGCTCTTGATCCCAATGTACAGCCGGAAACTGGTGTCCGCCACAAAGATCCACGTGTTCTTACGCACGGATTTGCGCAGCAGCTTGTTGAAGACGGTGCCCACGGTCAGGTGCATCACCTTCCGTGGCCCCTGAGCGTTGTCGAATTCGGGAGTTGCATACCTGGCAGCTCGCTCTGCCTCGCGGGCCGACTCCGTCGAGGAGGTAGACCGGCTTGCCGACGACCCTGCACCGTCGTGTTCGGAACCAAGTGTCCAAGCCCGGCCCTCGGATTCAGCCCACGCCGGGGTAGGGTCGTCGGCCGGGACAATACCGTGGATGCTGTCCCTGTAGTCTTCCGAAGTGTTGATAAGATCGCCGTTCTTAGCCCAGCACAGGCGTCCCTCCCCATCGACAGCGACGAGATAGTACTGCCGCTCTTCCCGGGATAGGTAGCGCACGCGCTCTCGTTCCAGTTGATCGCGCGGGCAAGCCGCCATATCGATATTCCTCCCTTCGCCGTAATCGAGCCAGTAGAAGAAGTTCTCGTTGGTCTCCGCCTTCTTCCACTCTTCGTGGTAGGTGTGCAAGTTGCTTCCGTATCGGTGCTTGTAGTCGACCATCTCCAAGAAGTATTGCAGCCCCATCATCTTCGCCTCGCGCTTCCTCTTGGCAATAGCCTCCTGTCGCTGCCGGCGCCTCTCGGCCCGCTCTTCGCGCGTCTCTTCGGGCCCGTCGGAGTGTGTCGGGGATGGGGAGGACCAGTCAGAGTCCGGGTCGTCATGGCCCGCCCGGCGAGCGATTATGGCGGCCTTTTTCCAGTTCTTTTTCGCGGTGGAACCATGCCGGCTGTTGGAATCTTCATCCCTGGAGAGCTGATACGTCGCTTCCTCATCAGAAGAGCCAGCAGCATATTTCGGCCGCGGCTTGGTCGTCTCCCGGAATTGCGCTTCTTGAATGGCGGCAATCCACCTTGTGGAAGAATCGAGTCCCAGGCCTTCCATCTCCCGTCTCGAACGGTAACCACGATACGTCCGTTGGATGACTGTGGCTGCTCTGTTGACCGTGGATCCCTGGGAGCTCGTACTGCGCCCGGTGTCGCCAGAGTGAGTCGAATCTACTCGAGATCGTGACCTCGATCGCGACAATGCGCCGCGGCGCTCCGGCTCGCGCTGCAACATGGAATGACGCCTGTGCGGCCTCGCCTTCGTCTTGATCTGAGCCTCTTTCTCCTTCTGCACGTTATATATCTTCTGGAACTCCTCGTTCGATGGAGGTATGAGCGATGCGAGGTATTCTTTCCTCGACCTGAAGCTGCTCGTCGTAAACGTGGTGGTGGAACTACTATTGACCGCCTTTATGGAAAGGATCGAATCCGGCCTTGCTATCCCGGCCTCCAGTGGTGGACATTGAGGATCGGTCAGGGAATTCAAGTTGCATAACGGTTCGACTACCGAGGATCGTCCCAGTGTTGATGGCAACGATGGTGATGACGACGGCACCAAAGATTTCGATAGTCGTGTTGGTGTAAGCAGTGGAATAGGTGGAAGTTGCGGACTTGGAGGGTGGTGGCTCGACCTGATAGATGGGGAGGATGAGTTGGATGAGTTGGATGTGCACGGACACGTCATCCTTGGCACAAGGTATCCCGTTGGTCCTGCTGCTCTTCATACGTGTAGAGCATAGTCTACAGTAACCTTCTTATTGGTCCAGCAATTTGTAAGAGGAATCCGACAGATGCCGAAAGCAACGGGACGTCGTAAATAGGATGCTTAATGGTTTGCAAGAAGAGGAAAAATAAAAAAATAACAAGACAAAAAAAAAAATTAAACCACTCCCTATCGTTTTCGCATCTGTAGGATCAGGGTGGTTCCACAGAAGCGCCCGCGTGAGGAATACTGCAGAGAGCCCGGTGGTGAAGCTAGAGAGGCCTATTCGTGGGAGTTTGATCGTACCTGATGCGCCACCGTTGCGCTGTGCGTGGATGTTCGGTAGCGGGCTATTAAGCTGGACGGGAACACGAGAATCAAATGTGCAGGTTCAAAGCTGAGTGGGTATCCCGCTCTACGAGCATCAATAACAAGACGAAAAAAACCAATACCCAAGTCATTGGCTGCTGGTTCAAAACAAGGTCGGCAAACACCCAGAGGTGGTGTGCAGTGAAAACAGCGGCTTGGATAGCGATGCGAGGCCCGAGTTTGACTGCTATTCAAAGCCCTAGGACGGGGCGTCATTCGTCGTGGTCGTGGTATGGTCGTGATACGCCGAGTCGCGGTTATCTGAGAAGCAAGTGACTAATGAATATCGAGCCACTCAGATGTCCTCCTAACTCAGAGCAAAAGGCAGTCGACTTGGCTGTCAGTTCGGTTCATTGATGACAGTATGACGGATAAGCTGGAATGGCAGAGACTGTATCGTAACAATTAGACGACTGATGGAAGGGATGTTGGCCGAAAATATATTGCCAATAAAGTCCGAATCCCGTGTGAACAACTAATCATGCCTGATTAGACTTGGAATGATCCGAAGCTGCCGGTGCAGGCGTTCTGTTAATGTACATCGGTTCATCCCCTTTTTCTGCTGAGAAACCGTCGGAATGTGCAAAGCTCTGCACATTATGGACAATCCAAAGGTCGTGAGACCATAGTAGTAATTAGCTAGGTAATAGTTGCCCGGGCCGTCTCGGAAGGAGTGGGATCTATCCGTAATGACAGACCACCCGTACGCGTCAGCTCCGGACGCTCGCCACTCTTTTTTGGGGGGACGATCCCGCACGCCCCAAGTGGTCCCTCTGCAGCACAGTTGCAAGACGCCAGTTTGATGCGTGGCAGGCGGCTACTCGCGTCTGTTCTGGGCGGCCAAGGAACTCTGGCCCCTCGTCCCGGGTACAAATTTTCTGGGCGGGCTCCCTCCCACGGCTCAGTACGAATGCCAGTGACTAATTAGCTCCTAGACATCGCGGATAGCGTGCAGTCGCCGTGTTTCGCAGGAGTTTCGCAGCATCTGCCAAGTCCTTGGAGGCATGCATCGCCAAAAGCGTCCACTCAAATATTGTCGTTATTTGCGCTATGACCTTGCCGATGGTGCCACGTTGGGCCCGATAGGTTGTTCCCATTTTCGCCCGACCTCAGCTGCATGGAGAGTGCGCGATTTGACTGCCGCCTCCGCCGGTCAGACTTCTCTTTTCTCCCTGTTGAGAGAGAGAGAGAGAGAGTGTGTGTGTGTGAGGGGTGTTCTTGAAGGCCTCCCCGCGGATCGTTGATATTGAATGTTATAAAAGCTGTGCCTTACGTGTACATGCACGGCCTCGACTGGGGAGGTGATTTACGAGAATAGAAATTCCTTGAGTACTGGTGACCCAGAAAATTCGGGATTCAGCATGATACAACTGGCAACCGGTCAGCAAGGCATACACACCCTAGAGCAGGTTGATGGCGTTTTCGGAAGAGCCAGGGCATAGAGGTCCGGGGAGTCTTTTTTTCGTCTGCTGAAGAAAAACGTGCGAGAAAGGGAAAGTGGGAACATACTTTAAAAAGTACTGAAGGCCTTGTCGCCTTTTGTCGAGGAATTTTGGCCTGAACTTGGATATGACACTTTTGGGCGGTAAAGGAGGTACGGCGGCAGAAAAGTTCGGGAACGTCATCACAAGTCGATGTCTAAGCTCGTCGAACTCAGAATATCGCTTTCGGATGTTCATGAAACTACCCTAAAGCGAGCCCGTCAGCATTTGCATCACCGCGCTTCGTTCAGGCGTTTCGCGGGGTGTTTCCCAATCATGAGGCTGTGACTTTGGGGGCGGGCAAACTGACTTGCAAGGTCTCAACCCTCACATTCCAGACGACGAAGGCGCCGATTCCCGTTGTGCTACCGTTGACGACAACGTAGTCGGTGATCTCGACGCTTTTCGCCCAGCACGCCTTGTTGCGCTCGTCTTGGTCGCTAGCCTCGTTGTCGCGCATGGTGATAGCTCCGGCAGGGAAAGAAGACTCCGTGGATATGTTGGAAATGTTCGAGGGGGACCGGCGGTGGGGGTTGCTGCTGCTGCTGCGCGACCAGTATGGCGGCGGAGCGGTCGCGGACGCCGGGGTGCTCGTCTCCGGCAGCCAGGGCTCGATAGAGTCCTCGCTCGCATGATGGTCAGGTACGTCGGCCGCATTTCCGCCGTTTAGTGGCGACGAGCCGTTCGTCTCTGAGGGCCGAGGGGTGCGCGTGTCAGGGCGCCGGTCGCTCGCTCCGCCTGACAAGAGCCCACTGCCAGCACTTGGGACTTCGGAGTCGACGGCTGAGTCCATGAATCCATGCGGGAGAGCTAGTTGCGGGCTAGGTGTGTGTTCTGCCTCGTCTGCCCGGCGTTGCCCGCGTATTTGCGAGTAGTGGGCGGACGTTGTTGTGGCAATCGATGTCCAAAACCGTTCCGCTTCGTTGTGGCTTGCCACAACAGCAACGTCCTCGCGAGGGTTTTGTCCGTACATGGTCGCTAGCGGCCGATGCGCCTCAACCGTGGGGCGATGTGGGGAGGCTTGACAATTCAACGTCGCGGGGAGGGAGGGCACATTCCAACTCCCCAGAGCAGCTTACTCAGCGAAATGCGACGTGCGACTTCCGAACTACCTTAGGTAATATCCAAGCAGGATCGACCTATCGAGTGCCGAGTCGTTATTCCCATCTTCTGCACCCATACCAGAACCTTTTCTTTCTCCAAGACCGCGAGGAGCGTTGCGGAGGAACGCTCTGTTCTGTACATAAGCTTTCTGCCGGGCATCCACATCCGCCACCATTTCTCCATTTCGGGCAAGTCCTAGAATGTCATATCCCGTATTCGGGTATCAACTGGTCAGATTGAATACATCGAACCGCACTTCGTTGACGATGACAGGAGGACTTTTACGAGGGGAATACCAGTGGTTAGAGCTGTACGTAATCTGGTCGTGATCAAGGGAGCCCATCGAGGTGAACTTCTTTCAGTTTCGGAAGTACCTCGGCAACGTTTATCTTCGCTGGATGGAGGGATGCAGCGATACAGCGATGCAGCTATGGAGCGATGCAGGCAGTCGGGATAATAAGCCAGGTCTTGGATGATACTTCGTACGGTGTTCCTGTTGATCACTTCTTCTCTGCATGGAAATCCTTCTGTGGCTGTCTGCTAAGTACCAGGGTAAAAGTGATACCTGTCTCGGATTGAATAGGTAGTCAAGAATATACCCGTGGCTCGGTAAGCAAATATCATCCACGTATCCCGAGCAAAGGGGGGGTGTGGCGGCGACACGAGCCGCGGTGGTTCGTCTCCCTGTTATTCTCCTTCCACGTCACTCTCGAATCCTCCTCGTGACCGGTATCTTCGTGTCGGCGTCATCACGATCTGGGACCATGCTCAGAGAATCCATGACATACTCCATACATGTGAGGGGTTGGTCATGCAGCATCTGACTGATTTCTAGACACTCGCGAGCCGTTAGTAGCGGCAACCTAGGTATACCACGCGCCTGCATAGCATCCCGTAAAGCTAGCGGAATACGGTTGGACTTAAACGGCGAGGTCGCAATGCTCAGTGAGCCGGCCTCTACGCCCAACTTATTCGGACCTACTCCGTAGCCCAGCTGTAACGACGATAGCCGTTCGTCCATACCTAGAGAGTTTGTCTCCGTTTCATTTTTTTATTCGTATTCCCAACGTGTCCGACCTATCCGTTTCAGGCCTTTGGCATCGCCTGATTGTTCAAGAAGTCGATCCCATCGATGGCGAAGGATAGGGTAGTGTCCAGTGGCACTGCATCGCGTCGCTAATCCTTGCCAAGGAATATGATGAAAGCAACCTAAGAAGACGCTAGAAACTTTGCCCGTGTAGGTGTCATATATTGTCGAGTTAATACTGTAGATCTCTTGATTTCATCATCTAGGTTCAAACTCATGACAGATGCTGTTGGGTCATGGGGAATCTATGTGTGGATTGCGATGAGACGAGAATTGGGAGCGGGAAAAGCAGAGTGGAGGATTAGGGCGCCCGGACGTTTTGATATCGAGCCCGTAAAAGTGGAGTCAGGCTTAGAAATAGCACGCGTTAGGGGCGGGGAAGCAGTGGCCGTAGTCCTGGTATTTTAATTACCTACTTCGGATAGCAGCGACAAGATAGATAAAGATTCTAGGTTCTAGTTAAGGAATCGGTTTCGTAAATAGGCTTTTATAAAGGGAATTCGCATTACTCTTAAATCCTACGTCTTAGTCAATTTATAATACTAATGTCGCCGGGTCCGCGATCTCACGATATACCGGGACTTTAGGCATAACGGGCACAGACTCTAATTTCGGATCCCTTGGCAAACCTATCCTAAATAGTATTGACGTCGCCGGGATACCCGAACAGGGGACATGCGGGATACCGCTACTCGTTATTATGACTCTACTTTTACAGGCTCGATATCAAAACGTCCGGGCCCAAGACGTCTTATCTCGTCCCATCCATATCCCATATCAGACTCGCTATTGCGACCTTACTACGAAGTAGCAGCTACATCTGAATACCACCTGTAAAGCGTGGATTACGAAGTATGAATTACTAACAAATACGGAGCATTGGTGCCTCCCCCCGGTCTGATCTCTACCGCACCCTGGCATCTCCTGAGAGCTACGATTGGCTTCATAACATGTACTCCAGCGTTGAGATAACTTCGTATTCGTCTATACCAAGGACGGGAGTACCTAAAGCCAGGGAAGTATACACCACCTTCGTAGATGGTTGTCTGGATTTATAAGAACAATAGACGATGCTTCTTCAATACTTACGGTTTCTCCTGCTGGCGGTATTGTTGTTACCAAGACCGTGATATGATGCTGCTGACTTGAGAGTCCGAAGGACGTGGTGGAAAGGTAATACAAGGAGCTAGGGAGATCGAACCGAACCAAACCATCTGGCCGAGACACTGCCCGAAGCGAAGCTCGTTTTTCGCTGTGGGGTGCTAAGCCAAATGGCAAGTTAGTAATTATCGTGAGCCGGGGCCCGGGGCCCGGGAGATAGCGCTGAGACCATCCCCTTTTATTATGCAACCAAACCTTCTTCTGACACTCGCTCGCTCTTCTTCGTTCCCTGGCTGGACCGCCATCGTCGTTATCGCTGTCGCTTCCCCTCGTTGCATTTTCTCATTTTTTCAACGGCTTCTTAATCCGTTTGTCTTTCGTTGAAGAATTCATACTGCTTTTTTTTTTTTTTACCCCCGTTCGTTACTAATTACCGTTTTTCTTTCGTTAATTTCCCACCCCGTTCGCATCGGACAAATCCCTATTCTCTTACCCTCAGCCACCACCTATATCTTCATTGCCTTGTAAGTTGTCGCCGCCCTTCTGACGTTCCTGACTGGCATGGGTTCGACAAGGGCTTTCCCAAGCACATCCCCAGGCACTGCCCTGGGTGGTTCACCTGGAATGCTGCAGTACGAGCACAATTCTGGCTTGTCGACCAGGGAACGGCCACGATCAATACAACCCAACACTGTCTATAACACATCTCACGTTATAATCTTCGTCTGACAAGCGCACCAGAACCCTATCTCGAAAATGCCATCTTTCAAGAGCGTCTTCCTCGCCGTGGCTGCCACTGTGGTGGCCACGGTCTCGGCTCAAGACTACTGGGTCGAGCCAGACACCGTGCCCAGATCCACAAGAGGTACGGGAGCTCCGCCTCACCCCCGGAAACAACAGAGAGAAAGTGGAAACGAGGGAAAGCATAGGAGGACTGTAGCTGACGGTGATATAGTCCGATGGTGCGAGGACCAGAGGCGAACGTGCCCGTTTATTTGCCAGCAGACCGATCCCCGCCCGCCCGTGGTCAACGACTGCGATCCGGTACGTCAGGTTTCCCCCTCGCCTTTTAAGCCTGCCAATTGACGACTTACTGATGAACTTATTGCCCCCAGGACGCGCTGAACTACGGCTGTATTTGCGGAGACTCCAACAGGCCCAACATGACCGAGTATTCCCTGACGCTTCCGTATCACATGTGCATGGAATGGGGAAATCAGTGCGTCGCAGCCTGCGACGACAACGCCTGCGCGGCCGCATGCCGCGAGGAGAACCCCTGCGGTGCTCAGGACCCCGAGCGCGTCAATGTCACTTCGTCGTCGTCGGCCAGCTCGGAGCCGACGCCGAGCAGCACAGCCGATGCCAACGACGGCATCTTCACCGGATTGGCGGGTTCTGAGAACAATGACGACAACGACTCGGCTGCGTCGGTCATGGAAATTGGCCGCGGCATGGGCCTCGCTGTCCTGGTCAGCGCCGTCTTTGGCGGCTTTGGCATCATGCTATAAGGGGACAGAATGCGCAACGGAGCTGGGTGCGGGAAGGAAAGCAAGATGCATATGTGTGCTGCGGGTAATTTTTGCATCTGTTTTTATTTAGTCTGGTCGGTGGTCAAGCGCTATCGACCACCAGTATACGCGGGGGCAGCACATCCTTGGGTAAGCGCACCGTTTTGCTTTCGCGAGTTGTGCTTATTTTTTGATTAATGTCTATTGTCAGTTGGGCTTTCTGTTGTCCAGGTTTCCTCGGAGTTAGTGGGAGACTGCAAGGCGTGGAGACAGGTGGCCAACATCGGATATTCCAGATAAAATAATGGGATGACTTTGTGTTGGACAGCTGTTTTTGCGCGACTGGTTCCCGTGCAATGCGCAGTGGTATCGATGAGACTTCGACCTTCCAATCCACACTGGAAGAGCCCAGTCGAAAGTATGTGCTGACTGCAGCAGGATAACAGGCTGCCATGTTGAACCGGACAAAACGGCTGATTCAACTCACCGTCCGGGCATGCACCGGGAGAACTTCAGCGAGCAATGGTATACGGAGACGGAGTATGTCATCGTGCAGTGTCAACAGGCACCAAAGAAGAAAGTGCGATTTCGGGATACTATCTAAATGGGATTTCACGTGTCAGCGTTTTTTCTATAAAAAAAAAATCTTCGTACGCCTAGCAAGTACTTGTACATAGCCTGCAGATGACCCAAACCAGCGGTCAAGAATTGAGTCGATGGACAGGGGACGAACAACGCGCGACACAGATCCAAATCGCTCCTAACCATTGATATCCAGCTACATACCAAGCATATTACACCATTGTCATGACTTTACGAATGTCAAATTCACTAAATCTGGCTATTACAATATTCGTAAAAAGGGTAAAACGCTGGTAGATGTTGCCCTCTATAAGGTATGCTGGCTACAGGTGTTGTTCAGTCTTCTCCAGAATTCAAGTACTGGTACTTTACGCCCTCGTGTTTTAGTACAGTACCTTACTTACTAAGGTGGTGGTAGTTCCTGGCCTAGGTCTACTGTGGTTGGTTGTTCCGCCCTCACCCAGCGCCAGGTACGTGTACAGCACAATGCTGCACTATTTCGAAGTACGGATACCTTAATTATTACTCAGTGAAATTTCGGTACAGTTCTCCTCCAGCCCCTCCTGTCCCCCATGTCCCCGCATGGGTTTCCTACCTTACCCGCTATTACCAGCTCGATCTTAATTCTCAATTTCCAGGGCACACTCTACTATTAGTACGTCGTCTGCTCAAAACTTTTCTCCCCCTTCTTCCACCGGCAAAGCCAACGATGCCCCGGACTCGAGAGTGAACCGTGACGTAGTCCCGAGCCGCCAATTCCACCTTGTTCCCGTTTTTGGCCCCTCTAAGAACAAAGGAAAAGGACGAACATCGCCGGTCACTACAGTACATACCGGTAGACATCATTATGGGGCCCTCTACTGCCCTTGACAAACGTGAGCATGAATCCTTCCTCCCATACCTAGGTACATCTTACTGCGTCATCCCTGCGTCGAGGTACAATGCTTGATCCTTCACTGCATCGCTGCAGACGTAGCTCGTCTGTCGAACGAAAGCTGCTGAAAAGCTGCCGAAAGTTGCCTTTGAAGGAGTCCCTGGGATATACCTTTGGCCTGACCTCTTCCATACCTCAACCTTGTACGCCGCTTCAAACTGACGCAAAACTGTTACCGCAGGGCGAGCTGCTGCTGAGTGCATCTCGGATGAAGCGCTGATCCACCTCAAGTCGTACAAATATTCATCAGTTGACAAGTCGCCTGTGTCACATTACATCCTCCGTCCCTATGTGCGTCCCGCTGCTTGGAAAACCCACTCACTCCAAGTCTCCCATTGTTTTGGATTCTGCAGTCAATGTGCCGCGGCAAAGCGCCCTGCCATCAGGAACTAACGACCGTATCTGAACAGTGGAATGCCGCTGTCAACTTTCTACCATTATGGCTGGCCCCGAACATGGTCACGTTGATTGGCTTCATGTTTATCCTGGCTAACATCGGATTGCTTGTCATCGTCATGCCCGATCTAGTGGGACCGGTACGTCTGACACCACTACCCCAGTCTGCAGCTTTCGCTCTTGGGATGGCACCCTGGAAGACACAGCAGGGGATGAGAGATGAGAGATGAGACCAGAGACCATGAGAAGGAAAGGACACTAATTACTGACCCCCTTGATTACTTAGGCCCCGTCATGGGTCTACTACAGTTTCGCCTTCGGCTTGTTCATGTATCAGACCATGGACAACCTCGACGGCAAGCAGGCTAGGCGCACTCGCACTTCGAGCGGCCTTGGGGAACTCTTCGACCACGGCATCGACTCCCTCAATTGCACTCTTGGTAGCCTCCTCGAGACGGCAGCTATGGGTCTCGGCACCTCCCGGTCTGGCGTGTTCACCGCCCTCGTTCCCTGCCTTCCCATGTTCTTTTCCACCTGGGAGACCTACCACACCCACACGCTCTATCTCGGCACCTTCAACGGCCCGACCGAGGGCATCCTCATCGCCTGCGCCGTCATGGTCATCTCGGGCCTCTATGGGCCCGGGATCTGGACGGAGCCTATCGTCGACATCATCGGCGAGAAGAGCCTGTTTGGCCTGTCGTCGGTTCTCGGCGACCACTCCATTCGCGACTTTTGGATCGTCATCATCGTCGGCTCCCTCCTCGTCGGACACATCCCCTTCTGCGTCTATCATGTGGTCTGCGCCCGCCGTCAGAAGGGCCTTCCCGTGGCCCCCGTCTTCCTCGAGTGGACGCCCATGGCGGTGTACACCCTGGCCATCGGCGCATGGCTTTACTCGCCTCACTCGACCCTCATGCGCGACAACCACCTCGTGCTCTTCTGCTTGACCATGTCCTTCGTCTTCGGCCGCATGACCACCAAGATGATCCTCGCCCATCTCACCCGCCAGCCCTTCCCCTACTGGACCGTGATGCTCTGGCCCCTTGTCGGTGGCGCCTTTCTCGGTAACCTGCCGCGCTTTGGCTTCGCGCCCATCTCCGCCGGATTCGAACTCGCATACCTGTATGCCTATTTTGCTTTCGCCTTTGTGGCCTACTCTCGCTGGGCTTACCTCGTCGTCACGAGTATCTGCAACTTCCTTGGCATCAACGCCCTCACGATTCCCAAGGAGATTCAGCTGGAGAATGAAAGGGCGTTGAAGAAACAGAACTAGTTCGACCGGGCAAACCAGAAGCCTAGACCGAAAATGCGTGCCGTAGCGGCTGAAAGGGTTTCAACATACCTGGTGTTTTAGAAAGAGAGATGGAGAGGGAAGGAGGGGTTGGTTTGGTTCGGTTACAGCAAGACGGACGGAAAGCTTAGACAGCACTACGATATGCACCTTTGTCGGCCGTGCTGAGACGAGGACGGAATCTAGCATGCCGGCGCAAGACTTGAGGCGTGGGGACTTTGGAAGGAAGGTCTGGCATCACTTTTTGCATCAGCGGTCGGGGGTTCTGGGCGTTGGGGAGCAGGTTGTGCCATTTTCAACCTGGCGCGAGCATCGCATGGTACTTTTGGCTGCCATTGACTTACAGCACTGTTTCGGTTCGACGGTCCAAGTCTCAGCATCGATCTGCTCGAGCATCGGGCAGCAGAGGTAATTAAAATTTAGACATAGTGGGCCTGCACCTGAATAATATTCGTACACACACAGTTCCCTTTCCTCCGAAGACGGAAGTGACCACTTGAAGTCCAAACGGGAAGCAGTAATGGCATAAGGCTGGGACAGCCAGGCCTGAGATACTAGCCGATTGGTGACGCGCTTAATCTGATCGTCAGTCGTCGGTTCTATTTACTATGCGACCCCATTCATAACCCGATGTTTGGTATTTTTTTTTTTGCGCTGCATGCCTTCAGCTTGATGGGCGTCCGATCAGATGGCTGAATGGATCGTCGATTGGGTGATTATCAGTGGTGTTCAGGGGTTAGGGGCTGATGGCCCTGAAGACCGTCGCGACGATCGGGGCACGAAATCACGTGATATCAAAGATCAGACCAATCATACCTTAGGTAGATAACACTAAGGTACGAAGAAGGTACTAGGTACCTTATACGTGTACTGCCCTAATGACAAACCCCACTTAACACTTATCCTGGCGGTCATGGCTCTTCACCAACATGACCCAGTTGGCAGTTGGTGCGACTATTAACATAACACACCAAGGACGGTTAGAAATACCTAACTTATTATTCGTACATATCTGTCACGAAGCAGGAATCCAGGGTATCAGCAGCATGACAGGGGCCATTCGTCTTTAGCGCTTACTCAATGGCATCTTTGAGGCCAAGGCTGGGCAAACGCAGCCAAGTTCAGTATAAAAAAACGACGACCGCCGGGATGTCAAGAGAAGCCATTCTACATCTTTTCTTGAGCGACACATGAATGCAACGTCTTAGCCATGGGGGCTTCTCCTCAAGTGCACAACGGAGCCTGGCTGGCTTTGCCCGGATTGACAGTGCCGGACTACGTGTTGCGTAAGATCCGTTCCTGAAGGGAAACGACGAGCGAAGTACTGCTTATTGGAGCCCCCGGAGACGGAGCTGATGAGAGATGGAACAGAACTTACCCCTAAAAGGCTGGAAAGCTTATGCGCGCCCACGTGTTTATCCGGCGTCCAGAAGCTGTCTGAGAATCTCGCACAGAGCTGCCAGGATGACGTTGTATCGCGGCAAATCGGAAATATCTCCTTCGCCTAATATGGCGAGCTCACCGCCCAGACAACAGAATTGCTTTACCTGAGAGGAAGCGAACCGGGAGGATCCTTTTGTCGGGACATTATGCCTACGTGAGTTCGCCGCCTCTTCTCTTTGCGTCTAAGCTAAGCCCCTCTTTGGCTGGGATATATATACCTGCCCTTGAAGCCGCAGGAAGGCAACTTGGCCCCAGTATCCTGACAAGTTCTTTTACAATGCTGGTGGCGACTGTCTTACCCTGGAATAGATCAAGTTTCAGTCGGAGGTCGAGTATTTGGATGAGTATCTGGACGTGCCTCGCATGGATGTTTGAGACAAATGATCTCGCTGCGCTGGACTATTTCTTTAATAGAAGTCAAGTACTAGAGAAGTCACAGCGCCACAGCCTGGGCTTCCCAGATCACCTCGATTGGGATGAATATCCTCTGGAGATCCAATGTAATCGCTGGTTCTGGTAAGTGCACGTGGGAGCCGATACCTCGCGTGCCGGTGAGATTTGTTTATCTTTAAACTAGCCCCCTTGTCATTAGGAAAACGTTTGCCATTGGACAGCAAAGTCAATGGGCACACATGGATGGGGAGTACGATTATGAGTCTTCTTGACACTTGTCTGGCTGTGGTGTTGGCCGCCGCTGACTTTTGAAACCCCCTGAACTCAGTGAGTGGACCGAGCAGAGCTGGGCAAACATGATGAAGAATTGCGATATCCCGGCGGAAGAAGCTGAAATCGTACCCGTTGTTAACAATACCGGGGTACTACCTTCGTAAGTAATAGTCGATGCTGGACGTTTGTTGCATTGGAAGGCTGGCGCCAACTTATTATAATGCCTCGGGAAACTGATATCGCTTCCTACCGCAGATCACTAAATGAAGACGAAGGCGAAGACTATGTTGACCTGATACACACGTTGGAGCAACGGAGAGAGTTGGACACGCATATTGACTCGGATTGCACGGATATCTGGGCCGATATTGCTGTGTGCGACGGCTTGGTTTGAATCAGCCGCAAAGAAAAAGCATGCCAGCTAGGAATATATCTCTTGGTGCTGGATGAAATGCTATAAGTGTGATTTACCACACTTACTAACGTACCCTCCACCTACGGTCGTGGCGGTGACCCCTCGCGACTTGTTGGCAAGAAAACATGAAGTTCAACGTATTTGTAGGTAAGGTAGTTAGGTAGTGCGGATTGGATTCCCCAGGCACCTTAGTACGGAGAATATAAGGTACGGAAACGGCACTTTTACCCGCATTAAACTTACCTTACCTTAGGTAAGGTACGGAGTATTTTCCCGTCGCTTACACGGGATAAAATATCACGTGACGCAGAATTAGAGGACAGAAAGCCACCTCCACCATGCAGCTATAACACGAATGCTAGAGACAAGGTTGCATCCGCAACCCGCATTCAATTAATTTTTTTGGCTCCAGACTTGGCTTGCTGTAGGTTTCAGCAACCCAGCATGGTTTCTTGAACGTCGGAAAACTCGCCGCTATGCGCTACTCGAGCAATGCCCGTCTGTCCCTTCGTATGGGCCACCTCTTCCTGGCCCTGACTGCCTTCCTCTTCCACGTTGCGCCGTCCCACGCATACACCCAACTTGACGACGATGCGCTGCGCGCCATCCCGTCCGGCGGGGACGATTTCGACATAGCGTCCGGGTCGCTTCTCGCACCGATTCTCATCCCCCGCGTACCGGGCACCGAGGGCTCGGCGAGGGTGCAGGAGCACTTCGTGTCCTTCTTCCGGGACAACCTCCCCGAGTGGACGGTCGAATGGCACAACTCGACGTCCAAGACGCCCGCGACGGGGGACGAAGAGAAGCCTTTCCGAAACCTCATCTTCCGGCGCGACCCGCCGTGGGCCAAGGTCGGCGACGTCGGCCGCCTCACGCTGGTGGCCCACTATGACAGCATGTATAAGCCGGAGGGGTTCATCGGGGCGACGGATAGCGCGGCGCCGTGCGCAATGCTGATGCATGTTGCCAGGGGCGTCGACGCAGCGCTCACGAAGAAGTGGGAGACTATGCAGGCCTCTGGGGACTTCGGGATGGGGTTAGAGGAGGAGGTTGGCGTGCAGATCCTCCTCCTGGACGGAGAAGAGGCGTGGGTTCGGTGGTCGGACACGGACTCTGTCTACGGATCAAGGTGAGTACGGAAGACGTTGGCGGCGGGCAGCGTAGCTAGTCCCAAAATACTTTCTCGGGGATTTCTTTCTTTTTCTTTTTTCTTTGTTCTTTTTTCTTTTTTCTTTTCCCCCCCGTGATACTGACGTTCGCTCGCAGGGCCTTGGCAGAATCATGGGAGACGGAGACGTATCCCGCCATGTCGGTGTTCAAGCATCCGATCCACTCGATCAGCTTATTCGTTCTGCTCGACCTGCTCGGCGCGAAGGATCCCAGCGTGCCGTCCTACTTCAGGACGACGCACTGGGCATATCGGAACATGGCCAAGATCGAGGACCGGATGAGGAACCTCGGCATGCTCGAGGCCGAACCAGATGACATGTTCCTGCCCGATATGGACAAGCCGTCCACCGACTTCCGGCGGGCCTTTATCGAGGACGACCATGTCCCCTTCATGGCGCGGGGTGTGGACATCCTGCACATGATCCCGGCGCCGTTCCCCCGGGTGTGGCACACGATGGATGACAATGGGGAGAATTTGGACCTGCCGACCGTGCGCGACTGGGCTCGTATTGTGACGGCGTTTACTGCCGAGTGGTTGGAGATTGGGGACTACTTGCCCAAGAAGTCCGAACAAGAAGCGAAGAGGGAACTACTGTCCGGGCACAAGACCGAGTTGTAACCACATCTGTGGCTTCTTCTTACTCCAATACATCTGGGAATAGATTTACAGATAGAGGGCTCTTCGAGTCCCAAGTGAAAGCCCTTTGTATGGGCGAAGACTTGGATCCTGGGAATGGAACAGGAGAAAATGGAATCTCACCTCGACGGGACCGGAAATGTTAGCTTCTCATTACCGGGGGGGGGGGAGTTCGTGAGAACCGAGTCCCATGAGCCAAGTCCTATGCCATTCGTTCCAGTGCCTGGCTGTCGAAGGGGTAGTCCATAGGAGTCGGTGTGGAGACCCGGGGGGTTTCAACTCTCTCACCTCTCTTCCATTAGACCGGGTACCATGGACCTTGGACCCTCGGTGTGTCACCGTTCCTGGATGCGGCGCCTAGCGGCCTAGCGCAACGACCTTCCCAATCAATCGGGCCCGCGTCACAATGTTGTTCCAGTAGGGGCCTTAAGCGCGCGGGCCGCGATGATTTGCGGAGTACGACATGGACGGCCGCGCTAATCATTCAAGCCAAGGTTGTCAAGACCTGCATTTCCTGTTGGCGAAACACACGCTCTTACAACTGATGGCTTGGTTGTAGCGATGACCCTGGCTGTTGAATTGACGGGCGTGTGCTTCCACGGAGCGTTGATTCAAGGAAAACATGATTATATTCTGTACTAAAGAGAATCGACAAATGGGGAGGTATATATGTTCTAAATACATCTAAAACTACACTGACGCTGTCTACCACCTTCCAAGCGAGGAATATAGGGCTATAATCAGCTAATAGGAGACAACCTATCCTACCTTAACTTATATGCTTGAGTATAACACACCCCCTAATTATTACGCTCTAATTAGCGTAATAATTACTCAGCCTTACATTATCTTAGCCTTATTTACAACCTTTATTGACTCAACGATTCGGACAGTTATGGTCCTGAAAATAGACCTACTGCGTCGTCATTTCGCCCAGAGCCTTGATTTCGTCGACAAGGGACCTGTGCGTAGGCAAGTCCAAGATAGTAGACTCTATGCTCTATATAGCCGACGCACAAGAAGGAGTCACCATGGGGTTAAAGAGCGTCTCAGGCAGCCGTATCACAAGGTACGGAAACGATCCAAAGCTGGTGGTCGAAAGCGACAGCCTCGTCTTACGGCACCTGTCACTTTCTAAGCCAAGCCACATGGGCGGGATCGCGCATGAAGACCACTCGGGTGCTGAAGCTGGTTTTCCATCGAGGAGGAGGACGGGTTCTGGCTCTGGGGCGTGGAAGGGCCAGGGAGAGCCAGACGCTACCTTATCTTTGACAAGGGGGGAAGAGAATGAACAACCAAGATGATTGCTGGGAAGCTGATTTCTTCTATACCTTATTAATACTCCGATGACTTTCACGAGTTGACGTGTGAAAAAGTACATACGAGGTAAATACTGCATTATGTAAGCCGACTGGTTTCTGACTAATGTTGTGGACCAAGAACCCTACCTTACGCTGGCCTCTAAGCCAGCGTCATATGGATTCAAGGTGTCGTTTCGTGAAGCTCCTCAGCGACTCAGCTCCAAGCGTCGCAGCTCAACATCTTCAGCCCCCGCAACACAATGCGTTTCCTGCACACAATCACGCCGGCGCTTGCGCTGCTCACAGCCGGAGTTGCCAATGCAGCTTCGTTGTGGGGGTTTGACGACGCGACCGTCTCCCTCGTCTCCAGGACCAAGGAAGCACAGTTGAAGGAGCCGTACGTTTTGAGATTTTTCAAGATTGAAGGCAGCTAGTTGTCTTACTGGCAATGGGCCTGCGATGCTAACCCAATTGGCATGTGCGGGCAGATTCGGTGTGGAAGCTCCCCTCGATAAATTGGTCAGGCTTGGTCCCAAGGACACGATCAAGGTCGTCCTGACGGCGAAAGAGGGCAAGACGGCCAAGCGACCGCACCAGGCCTTCCTGGTGGTCAAGGAAACGGAGTCTGGCCTCGAAGCCCCTTTCCCGTTGAAACTGAAAGAGAATGGCAAGGGTGTTGTTGAGATTGTGCGTTCATTCTCCCAATTGTTCCTCGCCTCCATCTGCTGCTCTACGATCGTTATTACGACCGCAGACGACCGACGACTAACGTGGCTGTTCCCCCAACCAGGCCCAGAAGGACCTTCCCGTCCAACTCTTCCTCGCCGACGCGCCTTTGAGTGCCAGCGTTGTCATCGGTTCTTTTGGCTCTGCCGCTCCCGTCGACGCCCACGTCTTCGACATCGATGTCGACCGCGACCCCAACGATCTCACGGCGAAGACCTACAAACCACCCCTCCGATACGGAAAGCTCCCTATCCAAGGCTACAAGTTCAACGATCCGCCCAAGAGCCCGCAGAAGGTTATGAGCCTGTTCTTCACGCTTGCGGTGCTGGCTACCGCTCCGGCGCTGATCTACGGCGTAAGTAATTCTGCATGAATTACCCCACGTCCCCTTGCTCTTTCTCATTCGTGGTCGGTGGCACAAACGGGGTATGGGTTTCACGTGGAGACTACCGTAGCTAATGGCTTGTCTGTGTCCCGTCACATGTAGTGGCACATGTTCGGCGCCAACCTCAACCACGCCCCCAAGGCTTTCAGCGCGGCCCCTATTTCGCACGCCGTCTTCTTCGGCTCCATCGTCGCCATGGAGGGCGTGTTCTTCACTTACTACGCCGGCTGGAAGTTGCTCACTGTCCTTCCCATGATTGCCGCCGTGGCCGTCGTGGCCTTTGTGTCCGGCAGCAAGGCTCTGGGTGAGGTGCAGAGCCGGCGTCTTGCCGGCGAGAGGTAAAAGGTAGGAATAGACGGTTCTGTCTACGCAGGCCGAACATCATACAACCATGAATGGAAGGAATTCTGTCAGCACGAACTGGGGGAAAGGCAAAATAGAAGGGGAAAACAAAAGATGTACTCGAGGAAGGGGGCCCTCGAAGCGCAGGAACCGTGAGGACGGATGTACAATACCCCTAATGAAGTTATAGGCGTAGGGATCGTCAATGAATGTCTGAGGAGGTCAATTACCCAGCTTGATGTCCCAGGCAGAGACGTCTTCGTTGTCTCGTTTATTACAGGGTTAACGTTCGGTCAGAATGCACCAGCCTGTACACTCTCTTCCACCGCGGCTCAGGCTCATACAGGGGCGGCGCCTCCCACTCAGAGTTCTGCGTCTCGATTCTCTCCCTCTCGATCCTCTCCGTCTCCGCCTCCAAACTATCCCATTCTCTGCCCAGGCTCTCCCATTCCCTGTCCAGGCTCGCCCGCTCCCTGCCGAAGCCCTCGCGCTCGCGCATCAATCTCTCCCACTCCTCGTCCAGGAGCACCGCACTCGCTGCCTGCCGCCTTCTGAGCGCTCTACTTCCCAGCTGCTCTGGGACAAAGCGCGGGAAAACGTACGCAGGCCCGCCCGGCGGTCCTGGAACGTACAAGTCCTGTCCGTAAAGGCTCAGCCAAGACGAGCCACTGATCCGAGCACAGTCAGCGGGGGTGAGTAGCCTCGTGGGCCCCGTATCCAGCGGCTTCCACTCGAATAGTAGGCCTGCGCCTTCTTGTCTCTCGGCTTCAGGCGCTGCTGTCGCCGCCCTGCGTTTTCCTTTCTGCTTCCTTGCCAGTCTTTTCAGTCGTCGGGTCGTGTGAGACCAGCTGTCTTGCAGCTTGGCATTCTGCATGTGCCGAGAGAGCCCCTCCCATGCATGGGAATGATGCCCTTGGACCTGGTGGACGAATTTGGTGATTGGACTGGTCATGGTTGATCCCCCCCTCCCCCTTGTCCCTGCCTCTTCTTTTTATTTTCACTTTGATCTCGATCCCTGAAATACTTTGATAACACCGGAATCAACTGGCCCAAGAAAGAGTGGAAGAAGCACAGTATCTGAATATGCCTTCTAAGGGAGTCGCTTGACGCTGAAGATGGGATCTCGGGCCAAGGGATACTTTTAAGTGCTTTAACATCCTGATAAAAAGGGGCAACGACTTCACTTCACGTATATATATAGTGCGATATATATAGATATAATATATCAGTGCTAAACCATCGTATTCATCAATCTACTACTTGGTAACGAAATACGGGTGAGCCCGAATATACGCGGCCGATGCTCTAGTAACTTGACGATGCAAAACCAGAAGAAAGAAACGCGAGGTCCAGGAGAGCGGGAACCTTCAGACGCGAAACGAAGGCTGCTATGTTCTTACGGCGCTAGAGCGCAGTTCGAGTGGCTGGAATCCGATAAGTTCTTACTCAACTCGCTACACGGGGCAACGTCGAGTTATTCGCGCGCCGGAGGTAAATCCGCACACGAGGATTTGATCATCGGAAAGGCATAAAACGTGAAACTATTCACGGACCGAAAATGCCTGGCTTAGACTATCCAGATGGGTGTTACCGCGTTTTCTGCGGATGCAAGTGACGCGATCCGGCATATAACTCCCACCAAGCTCTCATGAGCGCCGCGCCGCCATTTTGGGTCTCGGCCGTTCTCCCACGGCCCCGAGTGTTCGGGTCCCAATGAGGGCTCGCCCCTTGTTGATGGCTGCCGGGCAAGTCAGGCACCGGCCGCCCATGCTCGTCGTTCCTCGATCCCAGCAACACCTGCTGCTGGCCTGCCTCCTCCGTTCCCGTGATGACCAAACCCGGCTCTGTAGTCTTTTGAGCCTTCCCGTTTGGCCGCCATATCTCGTCCGGGTTACCGTCATGCCAGAGGGGATCGTGGGGGATGCCGTAGTTGCGATAATCGGCGGCATGCGGACGGCCACGCGGGACGCCGTCGGTTTTCATAGTGGGACTCGCGTTTCCGAAGAGATGGGCCCCCCACCACATACCGAAACGACCCTTTTCATCCCTCGTCATGAGCGCGGCTTTCGCGTTGTGCTGAACCCAGGAAGAATAAGCAAAGCAAGCCGTCTCGTGTGCGGTCCTGATCTGCCGATAGGCAGATTGATCGACAGTTATGTCCGAGTCTGTATCGAAACCTGGGGGCTCAATGGCCTCGCAGAACGCGGTCAAGTGATGAAAGAAAATGCCCTTGAAGGTCTGTCCGTCTTGCGAACAGGTGCCACTGGCATCGCACCTCTCTTCGACGATACCACCCCGACCAAGACCCCGCCAGGGCGGGAGATGGCCCGGTCGGAGTTTCGAGAGATCATCCAAGGGCCGTGCTGTCTTCAAGTCCCACCCCGATGCTTTGATGACCGACTGAATCAACCTATGGCCGTCTTCCAGGTAAGAGGCGCTGCCGGTAGCTGTCCATAGACCGCGCTGGCCGGTGAGGATGATGCCCTGGTTGTATGTGAAGACCATCTCGCTGCGGATATCGCACCTTGTGTTGCCCTCTTTGAAGCGGTCAATGTGATAACCGTCGACGAACAAACCGGCCGAGTTGGTCATGTTGACGTCCGCCAGCCACTTGTAGCCCTGGATGGCGGCGGCCAGGTACTTCGGGTCTCTTGTCGAAGACGCCGGGCTGAATCGGCCGTCAACCCAGGGGGACGTGTTATTATCCCCCGGGAACCAGAGGTACATGGAGATGGAAGCGGCAATCCACAGTTGGTTGGTGACGGCGTTTTTGTAGGGCCTCAGCCAGGGGTGCCAGATCATGCCGCCATTGCACAAAGTCTCGTCCCAGCCATGGGAGGCTGATTCCCAAAACAACCTGCTCCTGTGTGCGAAGGAGGGGGCCCAAAAGTGACCGTGCCACGGACTGCTGCGGAGAGCCTCGGCGAGATCTAGGTGGACGATGTTTTGGGGATCCCGAGGGGGGTAGTGCAGGTCTGAATGGGAACGGACGAATTTCATGGCATCCAGCCATCCTAGGACAACCCAAAGCATGTCGTCATAGGCCTAAGGAATCGAGAGTTATCTAGTCTGCGCTAAAAAGGGGTTCAAAAGAGAGAAAAAAAGAAAAAAAAAGAAAAAAAAAAGGCAAGGCGAAAAGTAGGTGCTACCAAGCACTGCAGTTGACCGGGAGGCGACGGACGGTTTCTGCGTACCTGATGACGGATGGCAAAGTCATCTTGACCATGATATGAGCTCACGAGTTGGGTGAATAGGAGATCGACAAGGTTCCCCTGAAATTCGGCTTCGTTCTTACGGACAAGGTCGAGGACGGCAAAGGCCCGGGAGAGCGATGTCAGGGTGCCAGCAAGCGTCGTGCCGAGGACGGCAGCAGTCCAGTCGATGGCCTCTGGCCAGGTTGCTCTGTCTGCGCGAAAGAACTCGGTCTGCATGACGGTGAGGGCTTCAAACGCATATTTCAAGCCCTCCAGGTCGACTTCCGAGCCGTTCGTAGAGCGCTGTGTCGGTGGAAGGACCTGAAGTTCGACGAAGGCCCATGGTTGATTTGGCTCGCAGTTTGTTGGCACCTCGGCGGTAGGGTGGAAGACCGGGCAGTACTGCGTGCGTGCTGTGCTAGCAGCTGAAGCCAAGACATGGCGGCTTGTGAGGAACGTGGTAAGGCACTTAGCCTGGAGGAGGAGTAGGGTCAAGACGAGGCGTCCTGGCATGACAAGCAGCGGCGGTAATAAAGCAAGCGGCCGAAATAGGGGTGATGTGCGTGCGGCAAGACGGCGCAGGCCTTTTTGAACGCAACAGCCGTTAGTTAACCCAAGAGAATGAAGCAATCCATATCTATCAGGCTCCAGAATCCAAACCGGCGTAAATAACCAAATCGACGGTGATGAGATGCTAGCAATGAAATATTGGAGCCAATGCTCTGGGGATGAAAACGCCGCACATAGAGTGAGAGCTGTGAGATGAACAATAGTAAGTGGAACGAAAACACGAGAACCGATGTAAAGACTCGAGAAATCATATGATTATAGACAAGACAGCCCTATTACCACAGATGATAAGGAAAAGAAGGAAAACTAGGAAGAAAAGAAGCTCATCAGCCGGCCGGGGGCCCGTCGCGAATTGTCGATACAGGTCTTCCTTTTCCGTGTACCCCCACCATACTCGCACCGCATGACAACTTGTACAGGGGACTTGACTGGATCTGCTGGAGGTACGTACGGAGTACTTACTAGGTACCTTACGGAGGACGTGAAGGGGGTTCATCCTACGTGTACTCCCCGCTCCCCTCATCTGCACCTCCGTGCACGAGAGCCCCGCAGGCAATTGTTAGCACCCCCGAGAACCTGAAAAGTAAACAAACCAAAAGACCCCCACAGCATCGCATCCATATCACAACGGTCCTTTGCTCTTCAACTTCGAGCTGAGGAACACCCCCATATTCTAGACGCGTTTCTTCTTGTTACCAATATTCCCAGAGCAGCTTCGCGCATTGCTGCCGTTCTATGACCCTTCACTTCCTCAATCCATCCATACTTGACGCGTAGCACACGACCCGTGCTCTCTCCTCCCCGTCACTTCCATCGTCGACTCTTTCAACGCTGATTCCCACGCCTTCACGCGTGGAAGGGCAGTCGCCATGGGGTTGGACACAACTACCAGCCGCTATCGCTCTCGCATTCTTAGAGAAATGAATGCTAACCGCGAAAACCCTTTTAACTCTCCCCCTTCTTCCACTGGCTCCCATGGCACCGTCAGCCCGACCATGTCCTCTGTCATTTCGGACCCCGACGGCGAGTCTACCCGCAGACTTAACGAGGATATTGCTCGCCTTACCGGCTCTAGAAATGGGAAGCCCCAGGTGAACTGGGAAGCCGCGCATATAAAGTGGCCCGAGTTCTACGGCATGCCCAAGGACACGACCAGCACGGCGCAGCAGGCAGACGAAGCATTCCGAGGTCACGACAGGCCTGGGCGAGCGATAGAAACCAAAAAAAACAACAACAACAACATGCCGTCCAAGAAGAAGAACCTGGTCCAGTTTTTGGACGACTCTACACAGGACCCTTGGCAGGACTCCAAGCGTACTCGCGCCGAGATGCAACCTCGCGTCGATAACGACTCGGATAATTCGTCCACTTTTTCCAAATCACCTATCCGCTTTGATATGCGGCGACCAGACATGGCTCGCCTCACACATCAACCACGCACCCGAAGCCCGCTTTCCCGGGCGCACAAACGAGTCGCGTCCGGCGCCGACCACCAGCAGCAGCAGCAGCCTCTTCCTCCGCAGTCCCCCTCCAATGGCAAGGGCCCGCTTTCCAGGTCACAAACCTCTCCCTCCCTGGCAGCCCATGCCGCCGAGACAGGGACGTCAAATCAAGCAGGCGGAAATAACAACGTGCCGTTCAAGCATTCACCGGCCAACTTGAACACCATCCGAAAATCGTTCCCTTCCCCTGTAGCCACCGATAGTCCCTTGCATAACGGTGCGACGGTCCAGTCCTTCTTCATGCCCGACATCTCCCACCTCAATGACTTGGTCTCCGGCACACTTCGCGTGGGTGGGTTGAAGGATGGAGTCCCGGTGTTCGTCAAGAACGGCAGAGTACGAGATCGTGCGGACATCCGGGCACCCAACGACCATGCCGAAGTCGAAGGACTCGCCATTCCGGAAGACGAGGAGAACATCTTCATCTCGATGGACAAGATTCGGGAAGAGATCGAGAATCTTCAGCAACACGACGATATCATGCAGAGACACGCCGAGAGCCTGCAGGGCGAAGTCGATCGTCTTCAGAACGAGCTCAGCCGTTTCAAGTCCCGCAAGTCCATCGATAGCGCGCTGGGTTCGCGCACCGGCTCAGAGCCGGAGACGGCTGCCTACGAACAGCTAGTTACCGAGAAACTCGGTGAGTTGGAATTTTCGCATCCCGAATCCTTTTTTTATTTTATTTTATTTTTACTAGAACATTTTACTAACCCACCTCGACAGTGCTTGAATCACAAGTCGCTTCATTGCAAGCCCGTCTCGACCAAGCCTCGAGACGCATTGGCGTTGACGAGGTCGAGAACAACACTCTGTCGTTGGAGCGCGACCGGGCTCTGAAGAAATTACAAGACGCCTGCGAGAACATTGGCGACCTCATGGACAAGCTCGATCTGAGAGAGAAGGAGCTGAACGACACGCAAAAGAAGCTAGATGCCACGCTCCAAATGCAGGGTAATAACAATACCCAGACGGCTTCCCGCTCGGATGCCGGCACGTCGAGGCGGGAGCATAACGCCCAGGACGGCCACGACGGCCAGGACGGCCACGAGGGTCTAGAGTCGGAAAACAAGTCCCTCCGTGCAGACAACACGGCGCTTCGGCGCGAGCAGCAGAAGCTCCGGGAAGAAGTCGAGTCGCTGCGGGAGGACAACAACTCGTTGCGCCGCGAGCACGAATCCCTGTTGAGCGAGAACAGGTCCCTCCGGTCCAGCGTCCGAGCCCTGATGACCGAGACCGAGGAGCTTCGAAGGACGGTGGACGATGGCCAGCGAGAGGTCGCTTCGGCTCGGGAGGAGAGCGATGCGCTCCATCAGGAACTGGAAGCCATGGAGCAGGAGAGGGACTCGCTCAAGGAGGACAACGACAGTCTGGTGCGGCACAACGAGAAGTACTTTGGAGAGAACAAACTGCTCCGGCGCGAGAACGGCGGGTTTGAGCGCAGCATCCACGACCTCCACGACGAGAACGAACGGCTGAAGGAAGAGGTCGAGTTTTTGAAGGAGCAGCTCGACCACTGCCGTCCGATCGGGAAGGACCACGACTTTTCGGCGCGCCTGGGCCAGGACAACGACTACGACAACGACAACGACTACGACGAGGAGAATATGACGTCTGCCTTTTTCGTTCCCGACATTACCATCGACGAGAACTCGGCAGTCGTCGACCCGACCCTGGACAGCGTAAAGGGCCCTCCTGACATGCCCACGCGCAGCCAGAGGCCGACCGAGATTGCCGATACAACCGCACTCACGGAAGGCAGCGTGGCAGGCCCCGATGATACCGCCGACCTGCACAAGCGGCCGTCGGCAGGCCGGGAGAAGGCTCTCGTCGAGGGCAGGGATGATACCGGCCACGTCCAACAAAAGGTGGCGTTTTCGCTCCCCGATGTCACCCAGGACACAACTAGGGGGACGACGACGACCAACAACAACATGGCAAACAAGGGCAGCAAGCGTCGGTCGGCCTCTCGCGCGGGGCACCGGAGCAATACTACGGGGACCTCGATTCCAGAGCTGGAAGCTTTCCACCTCCTTGACCAGGATAATAGCATGGTCTTCTCTCCCGATATTACGCAGAACCTGTCCGTGGCATTGGACACCCAGGCGAGGGGGGGCCAGACGGCGGCGGCAGCACCGTCTCACTCTCAGAGTCAGGGTCAGGGTCAGGGTCAGAGTCAGAGTCAGAGTCAGAAGACTGCCGGCATCAAGTCGTCGATGAAATCCAAACATCACAGGTCGGCAACCGTCGACGTGACGACAACACGGAGGCGGCAGGACGCCAACACGACGGCCACAAGCGTGAGGAGCGAATGCCCGGCCCTGTCCCCCGACGCGAGGCGGGTACTAGACGGCCTGTGCGAGCACAACTGCAATAACTGCGTGGTGTGCAGCCGCATCTCGTCGCACCGGGGCACCGTGACGCTGAAGGAGGCCGCGGAGGGGAAGAAGCGGGTCAAGGTGCCCAAGCCGGTCCCGGCGTCGGAGCAGCAGCAGCAGCAGCAGCAGAAGGCCCTCCAGCACCAGCAGCAAAAGGGGCACCAGCGGTACACGGACGAGCCGACGATGCGGCCGTGGCAGGCGCCCGGGACGGCGCTGGCGATGGTGATCAAGGGCCTCGAGGACGAGGCGGCGCACATGAAGATGGAGCTGGCGCGGCTGCAGGCGCGGTACGGCGAGCTCGACGCGTCGGTGGGGCGGCGGGAGCGGAAGGAGGTGGCGTCCCGGGTCAAGGAGGCGCTGAGGCGGCTCGAGGTCAAGAATGACCAGATCTACGCGCTGTACGACGTCCTGGAGGGGCAGAAGCAGGCGGGGCAGGCCATGACGGAGGAGGAGCTTGAGGTGACTATCTTTAGCATCACGGGGTTGACGGTGAGGGATATTAGTCTGAACTTGGCGCGGGAGGGTGTTGCGGTCTGAGCGACGGGGTTTGGTAAGGGCAACGGCGGCGTTTTTTGGGGAGAATTTCTGATTTCTGATTTTATTGTTATGTTTCCTCTTGCCTCACCACCGGTTGTCCTTTTCGGGAGAACACCTCTGCGTAACTGAGCCAGTCAGACAGACACTGTATTAGAGACCATGTTCATCGTTGCGACCAGCTCAGGATCAACCTCCATTTCTTCCAGTTGTATGCCATGGCGACTGGAATATGCCAGCTCTTGATGAGAGCATTGTACCATCGTAGGTGACCGGGGGACGCGGATGGGGGATGATGAATATGTTACGGCAGTACACCAGAGGCGTTGAGTTGAATTGCATACCCGGCTTCGTCTTTTTTGTCTACCTATCCTTTTACATGCCGCGTTTATTTGATGATGGTTTGGATCCCCTACCTCCAGGGTCCTGTTCTAGAGCCAAGACACAGTGGCTATGTGTACACGCATCGCATGCCCTGACAAGAGTCCCAGGAGGACCATCAGCTAGATAACTAGCGGCCCATCATCTCGAGATGAACAGGGCAGGACAGTCCATGTCTACAATCGAGAGCGAGTGAGTAGTGGCCACATGGGAGCTCCGACATCTTTATCAACCGTAGAAAGAGGGTTCACAATAGGTCTAGATATAAACCGAAGAACTGAAGAATGTCAACGCATTGGGCATGGAAACTTTAGACAGGTAGTTTTAAAACACAGATTGGAACAAAACAAGAGGCGAGTTCATTCAAAGTAATTATGTGAATTGATTGGTACACAGCCCACAAAGGAGACTTGATTGAACTAAGGAGAAAACTCGCCTCTCCATCTTTGGTCTTCTATACACAGGCCGGAGACCCTTCTTTGCCGCACAGCTTCGCTCACCCCCCCCTTTCTTCTTTCGCTTCCACAGGTATCAAAAAAAGAGGTGTTTACGAGCTGCCACCAAGCTCCGCCAGAATCTTCTCACCCTTCTCCTTGGCCGACGCGAAATCGCCGACCATGTAGAAGGCGTTCTCGGGAAGGCTGTCACCCTCACCGCGCAGGATGGCCTGGAACGAGCCGATGGTGTCCTTGAGGTCGACGAGCGTGCCCTCGATGCCGGTGAAGACTTGGGCGACAGTGAAGGGCTGGCTCAGGAAACGCTGGATCTTACGGGCGCGCTCGACGGTAAGCTTGTCGGCTTCCGAAAGTTCGTCCATGCCGAGAATGGCAATGATGTCCTGGAGCGACTTGTACTCCTGGAGGATCTGCTGGACGCGGGTGGCCGTGTCGTAGTGCTCCTGACCGACGACACGAGGGTCAAGCATACGGGACTTGGAGTCGAGGGGATCGACCGCGGGGTAGATACCCAGCTCGGAAATACCACGAGACAACACAGTGGTGGCGTCCAAATGGGCGAAGGTGGTGGCGGGGGCAGGGTCAGTCAAATCGTCAGCAGGGACGTAGACGGCCTGGACCGAGGTAATAGAGCCCTTCTTGGTGGTGGTGATACGCTCCTGCATGCCACCCATGTCGACGGCGAGAGTGGGTTGGTAACCGACGGCAGAGGGGATACGACCGAGAAGGGCAGACACCTCGGAACCAGCCTGGGTGAACCGGAAAATGTTGTCGATGAAGAGAAGCACTAACCAGGGTAAATCAGTAAAGCTGCGCAGACAACAACAACAACAACAACGACAAAGACATAGGAACACTCGCAATGCACACGCAGGGCGTGCTTAAGGGTTGTAGAAAGGGCAGAAACGTACCATCCTGGCCTTCCTCGTCACGGAAGTACTCCGCAATGGTCAGACCAGTAAGCGCAACACGGGCACGGGCACCGGGGGGCTCGTTCATCTGACCGAAGACGAGGGCGACCTTGGACTCGCCATCAAGCTGAATGACGGAGGTCTCCTGCATCTCGTGGTACAGATCGTTACCCTCACGGGTACGCTCGCCGACACCGGTGAAGACGGAGTAACCACCGTGGGCCTTGGCGATGTTGTTGATGAGCTCCTGGATGAACACGGTCTTGCCGACACCGGCACCGCCGAAGAGACCAATCTTTCCACCACGAGCGTAGGGAGCGAGAAGGTCGACGACCTTGATACCCGTCACCAGAATCTCAGCCGAGGTAGACTGGTCGGTGAACGCGGGCGCTTCGGCGTGGATGGGCCGGGTGTGCTTGGACTTGATGGGACCACGCTCGTCAATGGGGTCACCAGTGACGTTCATGATACGACCCAGAGTCTCAGCGCCGACGGGAATGGTGATGGGGGCGCCGGTGTCGACAGCCTTGGCTCCACGGACAAGACCCTCGGTACCTATTGAGGTCAAGATCTGTCAGATGCCAAGAAACATGAGAAAACCGGAGTACTAAGAATCCATCACCTACCGTCCATGGCAATGCAGCGGACGACATTCTGGCCGAGATGTTGCTGGAGGCATGTCAGTGCATTTCATTCCATCGCGTCTTTCGTTTTTCCCCTCCACTCCAGACGATGACAACATACCGCTACCTCAAGGACGAGCTTTTGGTTATTGTTTTGGGTCTCGAGGGCGTTAAGAATGGGAGGAAGCTTGGTGCCATCGAACTTGACTGTACGGCATCGACAGTCAGTAAAATGTCATCAAAAAAAGACGCATGTTTCCATCATGGAAAAGCATGTCATCAAAAGGAAAGGTTTGTCTTTGTGTTTCCTAGTACATACCGTCGACAACGGCACCAATCACCTGCAAGGATGGGATTTGTCAGTTACCGAGATTCTCCTCACGCGTTTACCTCCGGCCTAAAGGAGGTCTGGACGGCGGCCAAGGGGGGGGCATCGCAACTCACCTGGTAGATCTTGCCATCGCCAACACCCGCAGTGCTAGCCCACCGCGTAGCAGCAGGGAATCTGAGGGAAGCAGGCTTGATGGTCCGTCGGGTGGCGGCCGCCGCGAAGGAAGGGCGAGCTGCTCTGGCGCAGGAGGAAATGCCGCTGGAAAAAAAAGACCCGGGTTAGTCCAATTGACCTCAATTGACCGCCGCGACGGCTCCAAAAAGTCCATCCACTGTAGGAAACCAACCTCTTGAACATCTTGACAGATGGCGGAGAGCGATTTCGGATGGGTGTGGAGAGGTGATGGTTGGACTTCAAGGAAGGACTTGGGAAGAAGTGAGTAGTTTTGCTCGGGATCCAGGCTTCGTCGGTTAGAGCTTTCCTCCTCTCGGTCACGTGATTCTGTTTTTTTCCCGCCTCTGGAAAAATTATGCGGCAGGCCCCCTTTGGCTCGTGCACCCGGCGCCGTACCTAATCTGGCCTGTTCATTTGACCGGGTTTTTCCGGACATTGCTTATTTTCTTCCTCAGGCATCTTTCTGCCCTCGGTGGACAGGATGTGCCGAAGACGCGTTTCCATGGGCAATACATAAGTGGTGCGAAGTATGCTGTACTCCGCACTTCCACTGTCCTGTCTTCCATCTTACTGCTCCGTAATTACGTACTGCGATACATTGAGTCCATTGTTAATGATATTCCGATTCAGAAAGTCAATGACAGCTTTCTTTGGCTGTCCGGAGTGAGTAGCATGGGATTCGGACTGTCAATATCTCCTGGCAACATGACTTTCGATTGATCCATTGAAAGAAGAAAAGAAAAAAAAAGAAGGAAAAACCCCCCAACGTATCCGTATCCTCATAAGCCCCACTGCAATACAAACAAAATGCGACGCCCGAGGTAGCCGAAATCAGATCCTCTGATGAAGGTCCTGCCCTACCTAATTCCTTCGCCCAAATCATAAAACGAGTAGGTACTCTCATAAAACACAAACGCTTCGTAGCTCCAGTCTCCCAGTAGTCAGTCATACCCTTCACAGCTTTCACGCCCTTCTCGACACCTGCCATTCTGCCCTTGTTAAGCACCACCTTGGCCAGCCTCCCTATACTGCTCGAATGTCGTGGTGGTCTCCGGCTGGCGAGCAGCAGGTCCTGCGTCCTCTTCTTGAATTCGCCTTTCCAACTCCATACGGCCATCCTTGCCCCAGTAGCCGGGTTTTTCTGTCCCATGAACGCATCCCTCCGTAATCAAGACGTATGGGACGGGGGCGTCGAAGATCGGCTCAGCCAGAATCCGCTCCATCTCCATCTTCAACCCACGAGCCCCTGTCTGCGTCTTGGCTGCCTTCCCAGCTATGGCGTATAGGGCCCGTCTAGTGAAGTGCAGCTGTGATGGATACGTCTCGAAAAGTGCCGTATACTGCGCTACGAGACTGTTGCGCGGTTCTGTCAAAATCCTGAACAAGTCATCTAGAGACAACGAGCTCAGAGCGCAAATATTGTGTACCCGGCCGATCAGCTCCGGGATGAAGCCGAAGGCTTGCAAATCCATGGGCGTCGTGAGATCGAGCGGCGTAAACGCCGATGCTGGCAACCCGGGGTCCGCGTGTGCGAGGTGGGAAAAGAGATGCCTCGGCAGATCATGCTGGGTGCCTGAGAGAGTCTGGCGACCGCGCAAGTCTGACCCGAATCCTATCGAGGGCTTCGAAACCCGCCGTATGACGGTTTTATCCAAGCCCACGAAGGCCCCGCAGAAGACGAACAAGATGTTGGAGGTGTCGACGTTGTACTGCTCGACCTTGCTCTGCGGCGGCGTCGACTGTGGTGCCGACGTCGACCCTGACGTGGAATAGTTGGTCGTGATAGGGGAAGCAGTGCGTGATGACCGGTTATCCTTGACGTTTATCGTGACTTTCGTTCCCTCGACAAGCTTGAGCAATGCTTGCTGCACGCCCTCGCCGCTGACGTCTCTGCCGTTGGGCGTCTCGCGCCGAGCAATTTTGTCGAACTCATCCAGCACGACGATGCCATGCTCGGCGGCTTTGATATCGTAGTTGGCTTCTACCAAAAGTCTCTCGATACAACTCTCGACATCCTGACCAATGTATCCCGCTTGCGTGAAAGAGTTACAGTCGGCTATCGTAAATGGCACCCTGAGTTGCTTGCTCAAGGTCCTGTCTATGTGTGAGGAGGAAGGAGCTTCAGAGAAAGGGAGTGTTCGGGTCAGAGAGGGCTTCGCTTACTCGAGAATGTAAGTTTTGCCTGTCCCAGTCGGTCCAAGGACCAGAATATTCGACTTGTCGACCTTGACACGGCGCGGGCCCTCAGGCTCGTCGGATATGGCGAGGTCATCAGGCGGAGGCGGGGGTACGTAGCCTTCGCGCAAATGTTCAGTCGCCTCCAATTGACCGGGAAAGTCGTCTTGAGCTTAAATTGTCAGTCGGCCACAGTGCGGGGAGGGACGGCCAGGTAGAAACCTCGGCGGGTGGGAAGAGATGACAAGAGAGTGAGAGAGAGAGAGGAGATAAGGAAGTGCATGCGGACCTTGGGTAGGGTGGGCATCACGGAACTTGTCGTGCAGGTCCCTATCTCTGGCATAGCGGTGCCTTTGAAGCTTCTCCCGAAGCTTCTTATCCTCATGTTCATGTTGTCTCCTCCTCCGAAGGTTCTGGTAATGGTTGAAGATAGTAGCGCAGATGGTCTTTTTGGCCCTGTCTTGTCCAACCACGTATTCGTCGACGCGCTTCTTCAGGTCGCGCGGGTAGAACTTGGGGACGCCGAACTTGGCCTTGGTGAACATCGGGCCACGCCCGGTCTCGAGCGATGGGTCATAGCTGCTCGTGTAACCCGACGTCAAATCCTGGGTATACCGGTTCGACTCGCGACGAATGGCCGAGTGGGAAAAGTAGCGACCGGTCGCGGGAGGAATGGACGCACACCGAGGGCAGACGGACGCCGCTGCCCTTGCAGGTAACAGCATCATCGGATTATTCGCTCTGTTGCAGATATACCAGTCCGGGAGAATCGGACATATCAATTGGGACTGAAACAGTGCTGGAACAGGCTGCTAAAGGGAAGGCAGGAAACGGAGCGGATTCAAGATGTAGATTGGTTAATTAGTAGATGGAAGGTGGAAGATGGTGTAATGCAACACCTGTGCCCAAGGGTTGTGACTGTTCGCAGTGCGATACCCAAATAAGGTACCCCAACCACATACCCCGCAGGCCAGTTTAGCTCTCCGTGTGGTGGTGGTGAACCTCGAGATTACAGGTACAGTACGGACCTCCCTTTTTCCGGCTCTAACCTCAGTAAGCCGAGCTTGCAGCCAACGCCAACGAGCTACATATATGACGAAAGCAGATGCTTGACCGACATTTACAGCATCTATCACTATTATGACTAATGCATACGCTTGTTCAAAAGATGGGATACTATACTGCGTAGTACAGTATAATCACGACCTTGCCTATAGCCTAGCTTCGATCCGTTGTCTGGACTTTCCTGTATAGCTGCTTGTCACGGGTCAGCAAGGTGAGGTATGACAGCTGAAGGCAAGCAGGCGGGCAATTGATCCGCTATAACATACTGGACACTCACCGACGCCTCTTAAAATAAAGCAATGCTCTTCTGTCGATGTAAGGGATGCTGCTTCTGCACTCTCGCTAGCCGCCATTCTTTTCTCTCGTCTTTTCCCCCCACTGTCGCTCATAAGGGTTTTGTTGGACTCGCTACGATGCTTTTGCCAAGTCTTCCCTTTGAAGATAATGACATTGGTATCGGTCCGGCCAGTCGCAGCGACAACGGAGGGGCGCCCAGTGTGACACAGAAGACCAATAATACGCGAAGCAACACAACGGCAGGTAAATTCTGAAAGGGTGGGATCATACATCGCCTACTGCGGTACATTTGAATGCCTGCAGTAAGGTAATAGATGGATGTATTATTTCGGAGGCACATGTCCTGTAGGTAAATTATTGGACGGTGATGTTAGGATTGAGGCTGCTAATCTGATCAGCTAAGGGTTGGCTTCTCCCCTTTTCTGCCTGTACGATGTACGTCATACTTCAGGATTGGGAGGGGTCAGTTGCACTCTTCTCTGTTATGACACCTCCCTGGTATGACCGTACGTACTTCGACGTACCAAGGTACTGCTGGACTAAAAGGTAAAGTAAGGTAGTATCTCATTTTGTGAAGATAGTGTAGGTCAGAACATTTCAGGTTCTGTTCTTGTCCTGTTTCTCAGCTCTGTCCAACTCTTACTCTGTACCTACCTCTCCCCAACTCCTATCTTGATTCCTTTGATAATACTTCTGTGCTACCTCGTACTACCTTACATTACTAGCTGCCAGCAAACGACCAACCAGTTCTGCAATTCGTCCCCGTAGCCGGGAGGCCTATTTGAGTTTATTTCATTTAATTTCTTTACGGACGCGTCTGGAATTTTACATTCCGTCCTACTCGAAAGCTCCCCCGTCTCGTACTAGTTAAGACACCAGTGAGCAGCAAATCCACTACAGCATCCCGCACCTCCAAGTGTGCGCCGTATTCTCCTACTTAGCCAGCCATTGAGACACCATCCAGACGTACACACAATCATCAGGAAGAACGTGCAACAATGGCGGCTGCTGTCGAGGATTCGGCCAATTCCCTGGCAGCGAATGCTGCCACGGGACTGCCCAACGATGGCACTGGTCTGTCCTCACCGAGTCACTCCCGCCCTGACCCTGACGTCCTGTTTCTCTTTTCTGACTCTCGAGAATAGGTGCCATTAAGATTGACCCCTGGCTTGAACCATTCAAGGATGTCTTCAAGAGGCGTTATGCCAGAGCCCAGGAGTGGATTGGGAGAATCAACGTATCCGAAGGAGGCCTTGACAAGTTCTCCAAGGTGAGATAAGACTCTCAACTGGCCAGTGTACTGTATGATCCTTCCGGCTCACGAACGTCGGTCCACTAGGGGATAGAGGCCTTTGGTTTCAATGTCGATACCCGTGGGAACATCATCTACAGAGAATGGGCGCCCAATGCTGTCGAGGCTTATCTGATTGGTGACTTCAGTGAGTGCCATGTCCTCCTAATGCGATCTCATGAGGCATCTTGGACTGATATCGTGTTATTTTGACCAGACGGCTGGAATAGGAAGTCCCACCCCATGACCAAAAACCATTTTGGTGTTTTTGAGATTGTGCTTCCACCCGAAGATGGACAACCAGCCATCCCCCACAACTCGAAAGTCAAGGTAATCGGCTGATAACACAACCTCAACGCCTGGACTGGGCTTGGCTGACCTGGAATTCTAGATTTCACTTGAACTGCCCACGGCGGAGAGGGTCGACCGACTACCTGCCTGGATCAAGTATGTAACCCAGGATCTATCTGTCTCCCCGGCGTATGAGGCACGGTTCTGGAACCCGCCCGCGTCCGAGAGATACCAGTTCAAGAACCCGCGGCCCCCTAAGCCTACCAGTCTCCGCGTTTACGAGGCACACGTTGGAATCTCCTCGCCGGAACTGCGTGTCGCCACGTATAAAGAATTTACCAAGAACATGCTTCCAAGGATCCGTGACCTCGGCTACAATGTCATCCAACTTATGGCTGTTATGGAGCATGCGTACTATGCTAGCTTCGGTTACCAGGTGAACAACTTCTTCGCAGCCAGCAGCCGGTACGGCCCCCCAGAGGACCTCAAGGAGCTTGTCGACACGGCCCACGGAATGGGCCTCACGGTGCTTCTCGATGTCGTCCATAGCCATGCTTCCAAGAATGTCCTCGACGGCCTGAACCACTTCGACGGTTCCGATCATCAGTATTTCCACGAAGGTGCCCGGGGTCGCCACGAGCTGTGGGACAGCAGACTGTTCAACTACGGCCACCACGAGGTGATGAGATTTCTGCTCAGCAACCTGCGGTTCTGGATGGACGAGTATCATTTTGATGGCTTCCGCTTCGACGGCGTCACAAGCATGCTGTACCAGCATCATGGAATTGGAACGTGAGTGCCCCTGTTCTGTTCTCTTGGCATGTGCCACGCCACGGCACCGCCGTACTAACTGCCAAAAGGGGGTTCTCTGGAGGATACCACGAGTATTTTGGACCCGATGTAGATGAGGAAGCTGTCGCCTATCTTATGGTCGCCAACCAAATGCTCCATGACCGGTACCCCGACGTTATCACTATCGCCGAGGACGTATCCGGGATGCCTGCCCTGTGCCTTCCCCTTTCCCTGGGCGGAGTTGGGTTCGACTATCGACTCGCAATGGCAATTCCCGACATGTGGATCAAGATCCTTAAAGAGCAGAAGGACGAAGAATGGGACATGAGTAGTATTTGCTGGACTCTAACAAACCGACGCCACGGCGAGAAGACCATTGCTTATTGTGAGAGCCATGATCAAGCGTGAGTAAATCTGAATTTCCCCGCACAACGTCGAACTTCCCGGATTCTGACGAAAACGTATAGTCTGGTCGGAGATAAGACCCTCATGATGCATCTTTGCGATGCTGAAATGTACACCAACATGTCCGTGCTGACGCCTCTCACCGCTGTCATCGACCGTGGTATGGCCCTGCACAAAATGATCCGCCTCTTGACCCACGGTCTTGGTGGCGAGGGCTATCTCAACTTTGAGGGCAACGAGTTTGGTCATCCGGAATGGCTGGATTTCCCCCGCGAGGGCAACCAGAACTCCTTCTGGTACGCCAGGCGCCAGTTCAACTTGACGGACGACCACTTGCTCCGGTACCAGTTCCTCAACAACTTCGATCGTCTCATGAACACCTGCGAGGCCCGGTTCGGCTGGCTGCAGGCGCCGCAGGCATACCTGTCCCTCAAGCACCAAGGGGACAAAGTCATCGTCTTCGAGCGGGGTGGCTGTGTTTTCGTTTTCAACCTGCATCCGTCCCAGAGTTTCAGCGACTACAGGATTGGGATCGATGTGCCGGGGACGTACAGGATCGTGCTGAACACAGACTCCAAGGAAGTCGGCGGACATGACCGTATTGACGAGAGCACTCGCTTCTTCACCGAGCCGATGGAATGGAACAACCGGAAGAACTGCACGCATGTCTACATTCCGTGCCGCACAGCCATTGTAAGTGTTCTCAGGCCAGAGATGTCATATGTTCAACATGCCATGATGCTGACACTGTTGTCTTTAGGTTTTGGCTCCCGAGTCTTGATTTCTCGCACTCGTGGGCAGTGGGCTAGCTATTGGAGGTATGAGGGTAATTGGTGAAGGCACCAGTCGTATGAAATGGAGGATACTTCGTCGGCCAGAGCCCTTGTTCGTCTCGAGAGTGTAGCTGTTCTGACACGTGCCCGCTGTAGTGCGAGGGCAAGAAAATATAATGGCACATGTAGTTATGTTCTAGAATATTGTTAGTGCCCTAGTTATTCCAACTCTGATATTGCCTCTGTAGACAACAAGGAGAATGGGATATTCATCTGTCCAAGTATCACAAACGGAATAGTCTTCGAGACTCGTCGACAAAAGAAAGATGCTTGAAATTGATTTAGTCTTCTGGTATACTATTTACACCCAGCCGCGCATTTTTTTTTGTCTGTTCCCGGATTCCCTCAGACTCGAAGCCCCCCTCCAAGCCTCTTTATTTTCTAAGAAGTCGTGTTATACAAGGGGATGTAACAGTCGGCCGCGCTGCCAGAGGCCGAGGAGGGGGAGAAAAAGCGAGAGCGTGATTACTGCTTGGGAGGGGACTGGACCTGGCCCCGGCCGGTGTAGCCTTCCGAGGAGATGCCGGTGAGAGGTTCGGATTTTTCTCCCTGGAGGTTAGAAGGGAGGATATGTTAGCACAGTATCGCCATTTTGTTGGGAGAGGGCCCGCAAGTCAAATAAGGGAACATCGAGGGATGCTTGCGACGAACCTTGAGGTACTCGTTGGCAGCCTCCTGCCACTCCTTGTTCATGGTTGAGGGGCCAGGCTTGGCGAAGGCGCGGATGAGGCCGAAGATGGCGAAACTGACAGCGATGCCGACGACGGTGCCGAGCAAGACGCGGGAGCTCTGACCGGGAGGGTCGGTGGCACGGGGTCCATGGGGACCGAAGGCGATCCAGTACGCTGTGAACCAATCCAAGTCAGCACACTTGAATTGAAAGAATTTCCATCCGATGTCATGGATGCGGTCGTGCGTAATTGCTCGTTGTTTGAGACGTCGGGCGCCACGGGGAGCCTTATCAATTAAGGGAGAATCAATGCCTATCGGCTGCCCACGAAATCGAGCCACCCGAATATCACGGAGAGCATTTCTTCGAAACCCAATTGGATGCCCCAGCCTAACGGGATTCCGAATAGGTGGCAACACAGTCGCGAATCGTGTCGTGTCGAAGAGAGAGAGAGAGAGAGAGAGAGAAGAAAAAAAAAAGCGTTAGAGTCACGAAGCACGTACCGGCCTTCTTCTCCTGGAGGGTGAGCTCGGCCCAGCTGCCCTTCATGCGGTCCCTCAGGGCCATCCAGAGCTCGGCCTGTTCCTGGAGAGGCATGGTCTCCCACCTCTTCTCGATGTTGTTGAGGGTCGGGTTCGAGATGGCGTGGGTGGTCGCGGCACGGCGGATGATCATGGCCTGCCCCTGCCGGGGGACGGCACGGAGCAGAGACGAAGCCTGGGTTCGCATCATCTTTTGAATTTGGGTCCCAAAATGCAGTGTCGGTGTGGAGATGGGTCCAATTGATGGGTTGACCGGAGGCGTACGACGTCGCGGGGGGGTGCGTTGTGGGAAGGGAGCTTGGGGGGAGTACGTGGTATTATTAGATGAAGTTCCAGGAAGCGGGTTTTTCGAGGCAATCGTCTGATCCGATTCCGTTACCTCATTGGCTTGTCTGTCATCCAGCTTCTGCCACTGGGCCGAAAATCGTTCGGCATCCGGGCTGCCTGACTAAGCTACTGTATCACGTGATACAATAGTCGGCATCGAAACCATCGAAATTGACAGGCGTACGGACTACGGAGTCATTACAACGTGATAATAAACTGGGTATCCGAACGAAGTCATTACATGAAGTACGGGGTATGTAGTATATATTATTGCTTCTGACATGTGATGTGGAAGCCATGGTTGCTACAGCGAGTGGTTATTCCAGTACTACATTTCTTAGTCGTAGAGTGTACTGCGTCTTCATCGTAGGCTTTTCGCCAGAGGAAGTGAGCCACGCCAGCATCACCCACGCGCAAATCAGGGAGTGATTGGTGTGTATCTTCAGCAATGTGTCCGGAGATCCAGAAGGGGACATGACGCCATAACCCTCACGGGTATCAAAGCAATCGGCGCCGTAGCCATCCCAAGGCCCGAGACAGAACGAGAACGCCGGGCGTTGAAGTTGCGCAGATCGAGAGAGAAAGTCGGCATTATGAACGACTTAATCCTGTCTGTGATGTGCCTTTCACGTCTTTTGAGTAGCTTCTGTTTGCAGAAACAGGACCACATTTTACCCCGAGCTGCAATTGATGGAGTTCATATTGAGACTTCCACCTCGTCCCTTGGCATGCCAGAACTGACTTTCATTTCTGGGTAGATGCCGTTGAGGTCCCCTGTTAAGAAGAACGGCCGGAAAGCCCGTGTATTCCAATCATAAAGAGCGAATTGGTTGTGTGAGGTGTGAAGGATGTTATGCTGTACGTCCGTCTGACAGATGCACCTCGGATGTTCCAGGCCCCAGAATCAGGTTCTTTGGCCCGGATTCCAGAAGAGGACACCGACAAAAAGACATGAATTCAAGTCGTTAAATACTATTCTTGTCTATTTCTTCAAGTTGGAGAAGCGACGGTTTTCTGCAGAGCCGTAGACTGTGAGAGTTGTTATACAGGGATGGGGAGTAGTTCGAGATGGTTTCCGGGATCAATGTCTCCCAGTGTCTTGCTCGGTGGGATGGGGCGATGATGCTGTTGGAATAAGCTGGGGCTGTTCTGCTTGTTGAGTGGACTGAGACGATAATTGGAGCTCGCGTTGTCGTTTCTGCTCGGCGAGAGCTGGTTGCAAGGAAAAGACGCCTACAGTAGGGCACGTTTTTCAGTCAGTGAACTTATGATCTGCAATTGAGGCCAGCGAAGGTCTCACTAATATAAACTCCGGCGCCTATGGCTAAGCCTAGACCCAAGTACTGCCGAAAACCCATTGCAAGTCGAGATACTGGGGCTGGAGGGGAGGGAATGCGATTCCCAAGCTTGTTACTTCCCTAAGGTACGAAATATTCTGGTCCTCAGCCGGACCATGTTCCGACAGCACGCGAAGGTACGTACCACCAGACACCGTTGAAACTGCGGGGAATCGACGTCGGTGGATATTCGGACCGGTGGTTAGCGTGGAGTGGAGGCGTAAAGTGGTCCCGTGCCTGCGCGTTCCCTTTGTCGCGTCACAGCTCGCCAATGGAGGACCGTACCAGTACCGTGTACGGATACGATTCAACGTAACCGCGTCCCCCACACCGACTTCAATGCAGTCCGACCATGGGGGCTCTTTGCTATAACGAAGCCTTGTTTCTAAAAACATGATCCAGCCTTGATTTCTTATCAACGATGACTACTTTATCTCCCAAATGGCCAACTGGAAGGTTCTCGGGGAAGTTCCAGACTCGGACGACGACGCCGAGTTTGACAGCCAGGAGACAGACGTAATTCCTATTCCTGCACTCGAACCAGCACCACCGACCCTCGAACAGCGACCTGTTGCAGTGCATTCCGAACAACGCAGTATCTGGGATATACCAGACTCATCGCCGGTGCAGGAAACACGGAAGCAAGGACCAACTGAACGCCCCAAGACACCCATATCATCAGCAGCCCCGGCTACAGCCCTTGTGTCCTCACCTCTCTCTTCTATCCCTGACGACGCTTTTGATAATGACGAACTCGACGAATTCCACAGTCAATTCCCCGCTGGGGGAACGGAATTATTGAGAAAGACGCCAGTCACGACTCGTAACTATGCTGAGGGCTCACCGGACCCCCTCGATTTCACGCAGGATGACGTATCGAGAAGCTTTGTGGAGCTGACCCAGGCACCACCTGACTTCCTCCTTGACAAGGACGCCGACGAGCCGAGTGAACCGAAGCCGATCCAAGCTCAGCAGCCGAGAAGCCAATCCCCGGTTACACTCGGTACGCAGGCTGAAACTGAATTCGCAAGCCCTTCCACGGCTGCTTTGCAATATGGTCGCGCGCTTCGTCCGAGGAAGCCGATCCAGCAACATCCCTATCTTATTGAGAATGTTCAATACAGCAAAGCCTTGAGATCCGCAGGGGTCAAACCCGTGCGGGTAGATACCGAAGAGGAGAGACTGAGGAAGAGGAAGGCCGCGGAAGAGGATTCCCAAGAACAGGAGTTCGAGGCTGATAGCCAAAGCATCGCCAGCGGTGTGGGGCCCTACACAGCCTCGGAGGACAATACTCAATCAGCAGACGATAATCAGCAGGAATCATTCCCTCGCCTGTTCTCGACCCCTCCCGACCACAGAACCTCTTCTCCGAAGCCGCGTGGGCTTTTGAGTAGTCCTTACAGCCGCTCTCGAGAAACCGACCTCACGAGTCCATTTATGATTGACGAAGACGACGACGACGGCTTCCCGTCCCTGGATATTCTGCCCAACTTGAGCAAGAAGATATTGTCGCGAGAAAAACGACCATCATGTTCGACAAAGTCCTCCGCCCGCAAGAAATATCGACGCAACCCCATGGGTAGCACGTCTGTACCCACAACCTTGGACGGCAAGACGCCTCCGAGACCTTTGGCACGCATAGACCTTCTCGAAAGCTCGCCAGAAAGACCCTTGACCACTCTGAATAGAGAGCCAAATGTTGTGTTTGAAGAAGGGTCTGAGACTCCGAAGCAGCATCGCGCAGTTCTTACAGAACCTCGGCACCAATCTCCACTCGTAACAACTACTCGTCAGATATTTGACCTGACTACGGAGGATGATGAACCAGCTCTGGTCGGGGAGGCTGGCTCTGTTGCAAGTAACGCCTCAGGAAGCGATTCGGAGAACAGCGTGGACATAACCAGATTCAGACGGAGGGCCCGGGGGGTTCTGCCTGCGTCACATTTCAGGCTGGACCAATCTGTGAATCAAGCAAACTTGCGCCAAAAGGCGCAAATTCGACCCTTAGAGACGACGACGGATGCGATACAGAGACGTGGTTTGGCTGTGCGACGAACAGGAACTTCTCGTCCACAGCCCGCTTCGGTGTTCCCTTTCGAAGTCTCCGATGAATCTGATATCGAGCGCAACGAGGCCCCCCCAATCTCCACAGAACCGCCTTTGGTTCAAACCGTCCTGCATTTGGAAGATTCCGACAATGGCTCGGGCGCCGAGGAGTATGACGAGATCGACCACATGACTCAACGTAGTAAACGCCGGCTCGACCGCAACAGCTCGTATAGTAACACCAGCAAGCGACGGAAAACCCTCCATACACCGTCTGGAAAACGACGCGAACAACAGACCATTACGAGCCACTTTTCATCTCGGAACCGACAGCCTTCCACCTCCAGAAGAAATACCTCGACTACTCATCCTGCCAGAGGACCACAGAAACGGAGATCAAAGCAAACCAAACTGTCAAAGGCACCGCCTCAGATCGGCATCCTTGACGTGATCGAGCCGAGCGCACCTCAATTCCTGAAGATCGCCGCGCGGACAGCGAAGAGAAGAGCGCACAAGGGGCGGACAACCCCGAGAACCAAGAAAATATGTTTGGGCACCCGCGAGGACCAGATCGATGCCGGCACCGTGCTGCATAATTGGACCAGTGGCAAGATCCAGCCCCGTTCGACAGTTCAGCCGACCCGTCGCGATGTCGTCCCCAAGATGGGCCGGCGGCCTCTGCAGCATATTTCACAGAATTTACAGAAACGATCACCTGAGGCTATCCGTGATGGGCCGCCAACAGACCCGAAGTCGAAGCATGGCGCGCCAATTCTCAACAGTACGCTTGACCGTCATCATCAAGCACGACACCCAGACCGAAATAAAACTCCGACCCCGGATACACCAGTCCGTCCTGCACAGCTGGAAGCCGACCTCTTGACGCAACCTGGGCGGCTTGCCTTCCATTCGAAAAAGCGGATGCTTGACGTTCTGTATCGCCAAAATGTCAGACGTGCATCGTCCCCGAGCATCATCCTTTCTCTGGGTTCTGTGGATGCTCCTCCGAATGCCAGTCATGACACCGACTCGGTTTTGTTTCCTGCTGAACTTGATGAGATTTCGGCTTCCCCTCCTCCTGAACCTGTGGCTCGAAGACGGAAGAAGATGGCCAGACCTAGACGCATTGATACAAAGGCAGCTCAATATCGGCACGCCAACGACCCATTACCCCTAGACTCACCAGCACCAGTAGAGAGCGAGGTGGCGGAGGTCAGCGATGGTAAATTGCTGGGTCTCGGACCGTTCGGGACCCAATATTCTCAGCACTTCGAGAGATTTCCTCTGGAGCGAGGAATCTTTTTTCACGAGGAAACTCTCTTAGGAAGCGGATGTGTGCGAGCTGCCTTGGATAAGAGCTATGCGGACAGAGTCTTCCAGGTTCGGCCACGAGTCTTCTTCAGTCTGTCGGGGCAGTCCTTGAGATGGGGCCCCTGGAATGACGACGTGTCCTCCGAATTTGGCATCTTATGCGATACCATTTTGAACCAACTTGTGGCCCCGGATACGCCGGACGACCCCCAATTGGACGCGAAAGGGGCGGCACGGTTCATTCGGTCGTATATACAAGATGCTTTCAGCGTCTCTCCGGACTCGGAAGCAGAATCCTTCATTTCCCGTCTGGTCGACGTCTTCGGCAGCTTCCTATCACGGTTGCAGACGGAGTTGTCCCATCTTAGTCCACGGAGGCTACAAGTGGTTCTTGAGATACTCTGCCAGTTGCTTGTGGCCACGGCCAGTGGAGTCAATCTCTGCAAGAATGTCGACGTGTTGAGCTCTGAAATGATGCGAATGGAGTTGCTACTCCAAAAAATGTCTGCGACATGCGTCTCCTGTCTCCTGGGCGTCGGGTTCGGTCCCATCGCCAAGCTCCAGGACGACCTGCGGCGACTCGCGTTCCGCCAGCGTGGTATTCGAGCTGATAATGTTGCCGCTGTGACCTGGGTTATTCTGATGACAGTTCTCGGGGACTTTCAGATCCCTAGAATGAGCTTCTGGGACGTTACGTACTCGGTGCTCATCAAAGCCGAGGTGAAGTCAGGAGTCAACGCGAGGACCTTTGAGCAACTGTGGGAGAACGTCTTCACCTTGCTGCCTCTATGCGAGTTTGACAACATGGGGGTCGTGACTTCGGGATCGAGGTATCGCATTTCGATGGATGGTTGGGCCCTGCCACAGCTCGTCTTGAAGCGAGTCTTCCAGCTATACAAAGACAACAGTCGTCAATCTCCCAGCTTCAATATCTACTGCAGAGCTCTTCTTAGTCGTTGTCACTACTTGGTCGAGCAGTGGGGTTGGCAAAAGTGCAGCGGTATCGTCGGCACCATTTTCGACTTCTTCGGGTCGCAAAACCTGTCGCATCTTCGAAACGAGGTGGTCTACCGGTCACCCGCGTTTCTGGAAAGCCTGCATCTCAACCCGTCCTTGCAAGTGGAACCAGAAGATCGCTGTTTTCACGTCTTCCTCAAGCTTATTGCCGTGGCCATCAAGCAGTTGGTACGCTCGGGTTCGACCAACGAAGTTCGGAACCTCGTGGCTCGTACATTACCGAACCATAACCGTCAGTACCTTAAGGAGCACAACGTCCATCAGGATGATCTGGGTGCGCTCCGGAACCATCATGATCTGCTCTGCACCTTGTACTGGGCGACTCCACCGGATTTGCGCCCTGCCACACTGATCCAGCTTCTGAAGCAGCTCGTCATCCCGGCTAGCTCGCACAAGGAAGCGTGTCTCATAAACTTGCGGGCCTGGGGGCAGACCGCGCGCTTCGTCGCGTCCAAGGGCTCGGCCTCTGAATTCAAAGCTTTGTACTGGTGGCAGACGGACACTTTCCAGGAACTCCTTGGTCAATACGACTCCGTTGCCGCCGACATCAACCAGCAGATGCGCAACATGTCTAGCGATTCCAGTGTCGGGATCAGCCAGGATCTGATAAATGGGGTCATAGCCAGCAACAAGTTGGCGACAATGGACGTCCTGATCTGCAGCACACGTTTGTCCCTTAACACCGCTCGATACGCCCGCAGTCTCGAGCTGGCCATTCTCGCCGCAAACAATTGTGAGGACCCCAAGTTGAAGACAAAGCTCACGCATGGCGTCTATTAACTCGTTGGAACAGATCAAATAAAACAGGTCCTCCGCCGATTTTCCACCGCAGAACCCGAGTTTCCTTGGACCATCCTTCGAGACACCTTGGCCACGCTTGAACTCCTTTTGGATCGAACTGAGCGAGCCCTTGGTGATGATAAGCAGCGTGAAAACGAAGAGACATTAAATGAAACAAGTGTGGATGACAGCATCATGGTACTACGCCTCCCCCCGCCCCCCCTTCCCGCGTGCGTGGAGTTGTCTATATTCTTGCTAACGAGTTCTCTAGCTACTGGATCGTGAAATCACCGCGGACTTTTACGCCATGGCTCGTTCTGTACTAAACATCGAGTCAGAGGCTAATGCATCGTCCCTCTCTTCTCTATCCAGAACAGATTGCGTCGAACAAGTGGTGCGCGTTGGGGGCCAGTTAGCCGCAGTCTTAACGCAATGCGGAGCCATGGTACGTTTCTAAGCCGCCTACCTCCTCGTCGAGCTTGGGAAGCGTACGGACTAACGCCTTGGCAGCGCCTTTCCCAGTGCTTCAAGCGCGGGAGGCAAGGCATGTTCGAAGATGTCCCCGCGAGACTGAGCTTGCGCCAACGGCAGTATCTCCCACTCTTCCTGGCGGTTGTTCAACAGCGTGCCACGGTCGATCTCACGGTACGTGTTCGGCAAGGCAATGGCTGTGCATGACCTTGGCTAACCTGAGATAGGATATCGGATCGAGCTATCCGCAACTGTGGCTGCTGTCCCTGGTGAAGCCGGTGCGCTATCTGGGCTTTGAACATGAGCTTGCCGCCGTGCTGGGCCAGCAGACGAACACCTTCGTGCCGGGTGACGCTGGCCAGTCCTTAAGGCAAAAGAATTACGGGACGCCACGGCATCTTTTTGCATGTAAGTCATGGAGATTTCTTTTCTTGAATCTTTTTATTTTTTTATTTTTTATTTATTTTTTGGCCACCACCTTCTTCTTCCACCTGGACCGCCCACGCTGATCCCCTGCTACAGATGCCTTGTCCTGGATGAGACGCTCGCTGCGAGAGGCCCCTCTAGCCGACAAGAAAAAGCTCTCGACCGAGTTCGATTCGGCTCTCCAGACGAGCATGCAGCTCATGCGAGATGACCTCCGAACGCTCGAAGCTTCTGGAGACGGCCATGGTGCCTATGTTAGTTTTGTTCGTCGAATCATTTCTCTCATCAGAGCACACGGAGGGGATATTTGCACGATACCCAATTTCTTCTACGAGATCAGCAAAGAGTACTCCCCACCTTTGCAGGACCCTCAGCTCCAGGTCGCCAGTATCGAATCTTACGGGATCCGACTCCTAGAAGGGGACGCGAAAGCGGCGCCGCAACTGTTCTTCTACCTCTATAACAACTTCAAACAGGCCCTTCACAATGGCAAACTGGGACACGAGGTAGCAATATTGCGTGAGGGGATGAAAGTGGATGCCGTCCTCTCCTTCAGCTTGGGAAAAATGGTCCCTGCCATCCTGCAGGCTGCTACGGAGAAACATGAACTGTTTGTCATATTCGACGTCTTCTGCGAGGCAATCAGGCTCAGGCTCGCCCAGTCTCCGGTCTCTTGTCAAATCGGCGAAGATGCGCTCAGCCAAATCCCAGCCATGGTACACGCCACCCTCAGGTGGGCGGCCGAAGTGCGGCGCTTGGGGGAGATGCCACTACCGGCGGAGAAGACGCACCTCTTCAGGAAGATTCTCTTCCTGTTCAACACCCTACAGCCTGTCCTAGAGGCGTACTCGTTGTCCATGCACGAGCCCGCATGCTGGGAGGACCTAGAAACATCTTTGGAATTGATGAGCAAGACAACGAGGGAAGTCGAAGAGACGTTGGACTCGACTCCTAGTCTAGAGAGGACGGCGCTTTCCTCTACTGCTCTCTTCGCCGGGCTCTGTGAGGCGCCTGACGAGACGAGGCCGCGGGATACCCATGTCGACACGTTCGCGACCAGTCTTGTTCGCGATGCCGAGCGGAACTGGGTGGTCACGCCGGATACCATCACAGTCCAGGGCCCGGTGAGGGCGACGCAGTCAGGACAGGGGTCGAGGCGGCCGGTATGGATCGCGGAAGTGTTGTTGGAGAGCTTGCATGGAGAGCTGCGGCGATGGAATTGGTGGTGGTCTAGATGTAGGCCGGGTGGGCTAGGTGTGGGAGGCCAGCAATCAAGACGGTGCCTCGCTTGGGCCGGGGGTACGGATGCTGCCGCCTGATGAGGCAGATTCAAGATGGGGGGGGGGGGCCGTAGGATATAAGTGAGGCGGCAGAAAGAGGGGCTGACGAGATGTATGGTTGCACCACCACCAACAACAACAATAACAATAACAAGCCTTCATGCATCAAGACTGTTCAGGACATCCCAGACGTAGGGCTCGATACGAGTAACTGTGCCATTGTTGTGGAATTGCCAGGAGCCGATCCGAGGCTGAGGGATACGCGCGAGTGTAAGGATTAGGCGGGAGAGTCCTCTAAAGAGGCTACGTCGCCGTTCAGGATGGTTACGGTACTTCTTCCAGGTCATCGACAGCATCCTACCGACTTTGGGTTGGATATATTCAAGGAGAACGTAGCCGGTCTCCAGCGCATGGTTCGAACCCGACGGGTACGTATTGAGACAGGAGAGGAAGCCGGAGTAGCATGTGTATTCTCCGCCATGCGGCTCTGGCCCAGCGGAGATGGAATGGTTGTCCTCCCACATGAGTGAACCATGGTAATCGACTGGCTTAAAAGGGGGATAGTCGCGATGGGAATGCGGTTCAGGGGTTGCGCCAAGGCAAAGACGGTGGTAGAACCAGCCACTTTGCTGCGCCACCATCGGAGAATGTGCTTTTCCGTCTTCCGTACCTACCTTAGCTTTGTCAGCATTAACCCGGGTTCTGCCGGGATACACCACCCAAGAAGGAGAACATTCTTTTGAAAGTCGCCTCGTCCTTCCGTCGTCCAGACGGAAAAGCAGTAGTACACACTACTCTTCAAGCAGAACCTGTGGCCAATCGGCCCTGAAATTCCCCGGCAATGAATGCTGCAGGGCCTCGCGCCCTCTCGACCTCGTCGGCGGCAGCTCTGGTTTGTAGACTCCCGACCTCATGTCGCCGAAGTTTCCATGCGACGCGCCGGCTACGCAAAAGTCCCGATGCCGACACCTCCGCCCCCCCGTCCCCCGACGGTGGGAAACCGCAGAGCAAGTCGCAGGGTGAAGAGCATGACGCCCGCAACACCCATCGGGATGACCGCCAGGGGGAGGCTCTACCGGAACTGCCAATAAGGCGAGTTAAAACGTCTACCGGCTCACCCTTCCGACAGCGCCCCGTTCGGTCGAGAACCTCCGACGACCTCCCCCCGGTGAAGCTTCCCCACACCTTCCTGGACAACAACATCTATGCTCTCGATCCTTCAACACGACAGAATATTCTCGCAAGCGATCCCATATGGCACCGTGGCTATGTGGGGGCCCAATGGCACGACTGGCTCTGGCACGATATGGAGGTGGTGTTCGACCAGGCTTCGTGGAACAAGGAGGAGGACTTGCGGCGGGTACTCCAAGAGCTGAGTCAAGGGAGCGTTGAGGATCTCGAAACAGTCACGAGACGGTGCGCCCTTTTGGGAGAAGCGGCTCGGTGGATGGATTTGTGCCTCCGCGATATGTGGTCACCCGTCTTCTCGCAACCCTTCGAAGAGTCCGATGTCCCGAAAGAGCTCTCCATCGCATTTCTGGCCGCCAAGTCCGAATCGGCCATAGTGTCCGCCATCTTGGACCCGAACCGCAAGACCGATGCGCGCAGGACGACGGTCACTTCAAGAGACAAGAGGGCGGGTGTCGGGGGAGACGACTCCTTCTTACGAGAAAGAATACAAGGCCATATCCTGCAAGCCGATCGCCACGGTAACGCCGACGCCGCCGCCGCCGCCGAAGGAGGATCGGGATCCCCTGAACCAACCGTGACCGGAGAGCACACCCTCACCCTGGAAGACCACGGGTCGAGAATATACGATCCGAAGCTCCTCGGAGAATTGGTCACCGCTCTACGCGCCGATTTCGCCTTGCCCTCTGGACCCGGAGCTCTGCGCCGAGACCTCAAGCGGCCACTGCTCGTGGTTCATATTCCCAACTACTCCGGCACGTACCCGACCCGGAGGCTGTTCCAACGCATCGCAGCCCATGTAGAGGCGGACCTGGTCCAGCTGGATGCGCAGGATTTTGCCACGGTCGTGGGGAGCTACCTGGGTCAGGATACCGCCCACTCGCGTGGCTCCATGGCTATGCTTGCCTACCGGGCTGCGGAGATGAACGGGAGGCTCGCCAAGGGACCGGAAACCTCCTTTTCGAGCGACGAAGACATGTCGGGGGACATCGAGGCTGCGTGGGTGAACATCCGCCAGCACGCTTCTGGCTCGTCGTACAAGAGTCCCTTCGAAGAGGAGCTGCAGAAGATCAAGGAGGGCGCTAAAGACTACGTGCTCCCTTCTGTGGACCGATGGGAGAATCTGAAGATCAACGCGGCCCTGGAAGAGATGATCCAGGCCGCCACGAGCAAGTCATCGGATCCCAACAGGCCGTTGATCGTCCACGTCGACAACTTCGTCGAGCTCAGCATGACCCTGGAAGGTGCGGTCCTTCTCGGCAGGCTGCGCAGCATCGTCGACGCGCTGTGGCGGGACGGCAAGAAGATCGTCCTCGTCGGCTCGTCCACAAATGAGGATCCATCCGAGCAGTACTCGTCCACTCTGGGAGAGGTTTCCGCCGAGGAGTATCTGTTCCACTTTCCACTTTACTCCCAACGCATACCCGACTGGGAAGTGAAGAAGGAGCGTCGAGAGGCTCTCGACTACCTACAAGAGAATCTCCGAAACATCCAGTTCATGTCAAGGGCCCTGTCCTTGCCCCTCGGCTCTGCACCGAACTGCTTCTCCGGCTTTCTGGAAAAGTCCGAAATCGTCCCCGAACTAATAGAGGCAATCGAAGATGCCGGTTTAGACATCACCGCCTTACCTCTCGGTCTCTCCTCATCAGTCCTCCCCTGTCCTGACGTCTATCATTTCGCCCGTCTCTACCATGGCCATCACCTCGACAAACGCTCACAAGCCGGCCGTTTCCAGGGCTTCCTCGACGTTGTCAAGTCAAGAGGCCCTCTCGCGCCATCCCCACACTCCGCCTTTGAACCCGACAACGACTCGGCGGCCAGCGGCGGCGCGAGCCCGCAATCCTCCACCAAGCAAAAGCCCAAACCTGAAACCGACCGCGGCCAAGCCAACGGGAAGTACAACGAGTTTGAGAAGAAGCTCCTGGCCGGCCTCGTCGACGCCAACGAGATCCGCACCACCTTCGCGGACGTTCACGCGCCTGCCGAGACCATATCCGCCCTGAAGCTGCTGACGTCGCTCTCCCTCGTACGGCCCGAGGCCTTTGCCTACGGCGTCCTCGCCACCGACAGGATACCGGGGTGTCTGCTCTACGGCCCGCCCGGCACGGGCAAGACGCTGCTCGCCAAGGCGGTGGCCAAGGAGAGCGGCGCCAGCATGCTGGAAGTCAGCGGCGCGAGCATCAACGACATGTACGTCGGCCAGAGCGAGAAGAACGTCCGCGCCCTCTTCTCGCTGGCCAAGAAGCTCAGCCCGCTCGTCATCTTCATCGACGAGGCCGACGCCCTCTTCGCCGCCCGCGGGGGCCAGTCGCGCTCCCGCCCTTCCCACCGCGAGACCATCAACCAGTTCCTCCGCGAGTGGGACGGCCTCAACGACGCCAAGGCCTTCATCATGGTCGCCACCAACCGCCCCTTCGACCTCGACGACGCCGTCCTCCGCCGCCTGCCGCGCAAGATCCTCGTCGACCTCCCCCTGCAGACCGACCGCGCCGCCATCCTCCGCATCCTCCTCAAGGACGAGCGCCTCGACCCGTCCGTCGACGTGGAGGACATCGCCCGCCGCTGCGTCCTCTACTCCGGCTCCGACCTCAAGAACCTGTGCGTCGCCGCCGCCATGGCTGCCGTCCAGGAGGAGCTCGAGGAGGCCACGCGCCACACCGGCCCGGCGCCTTACGTCTACCCCGAGCGCCGCACGCTGTCGAAGCGCCACTTTGACCGCGCCTCCAACGAGATTGCCGCGAGCATTAGCGAGGATATGGACAGCCTCAAGGCGATTCGACAGTTCGATCAGAAGTACGGCGATCACCGGAGTCGGAGACGGAAGCCGAGGGCTATGGGCTTCGGTGTCGTCCCTGCCTCCAAGGATGCGGAAGATGCGCGGGTCCGACATCCCATTCCAGCGACAGCGTAGTGAGACGGATACGTCGGCCGTTAGACGTGGCTGGTGTCAAAGCGTACAGACTTAGACACAAAAAAAGAGTGTATCATGTTCCATGTTCTTCTGTAACACTAGTAGTAGTATGATGGATGCGTCGTCTGGGGACGTAGGGTCAGAAATAAGAAGAGGCGTCTGGTTTTCTAATTATGTTCTGCATTGGACTGGGTAGTTGGATATGCAAGGGGTCCGTCCGCCTTTTGGACAAGGAGCATCCAGTAGATAGTTGTTCTCTCTCCAACTCGTCAAGACCCTTGATTTGTCTATTCAGCGTCTACCTCGAGTCGGTCTGCGTGATATATCACCGTCCCTAATACAATTATACATGAAGTACAGTCGAGGTTGGCCGGCGTTTTAAAGCGCGCCTCCCTCCGCCTTTTTTTGCGCTCTCCGCCGGCCTTGAAAGTCCTGGCCGGGGGGATGGGAATCATTTTGCTGTTATTTTCCGCTGTCAGTGGACATTCGCATGTCAATGTGTGAAAAAGCGTCCCCGTGTCCTGTTCCAACCGGCATCTATCTAGCTTTCTGTCGAGAGCTGGATGCCTTCGGCAGCCAATGCCTTCTGATAATCGGCCTGCGCCTTGCTCAAAGAGTCGAGTATAGGCTGCATCATCTGCATGACGGCCTTGCGGCCACCCCTGACGTGCTTATCGACATTCTTGGCAAGCCACCTCTTATCTCGTACGCCCGTCTTGTCGAAGTAAGCCTTGGCCTCCTGCCTCTTCGTCTCGATGAAGGCGTCGCGGGCCTTTTCCGCCTCGGCCGCGACGGCGTCGATACGGGCTTCGGACCGCTTGAGGGATTCCACGAGATACTGCAGCTCGGCGGCGCGGTCCGGGTTCCCGGAGAGGAAGGCGGTCCAAAACTGGTGCAGGAACTCGACCGTCGTCGCGTGGGTGAGCTGGCAGCGGCCCGCGATGTCCTGGGAAAGTCCCATGAGCCGGGACGCGTCCGAGCCACTTCCGTACTTCTCCATACGGCGCCGCTTGACGCCCGTCATGATGTCCTCTTCAGCGGCCCGCCGCGCAGCTCGCGACCCGACGTGGGGTGTCTTCAGCGTCCCCTCTCCTTCATCGCTGTCGCTCTCTTCGTCGATCCCGAGGCTGGCGTGGAGGTCGAGGCCGCCTGTCTCGTCCGCCTCGAGGAGCTCCGCATCGCGACGGACGGAGGCTATCACGTCTGCCGGCACCTGGGTGGCGAAGATCTGGACGTTGGCCGACTGTTTCTCCTCCTGTTTCGAGAAAAAGCGGTTCTGTTCTTTGACGTTGAGAATAATGCGTTGCTCTTCGGCATCACCACGCAAGTCACGCAGCATCAGCTCATTGATGGTCGAGTCGTCTGCACCGTCTGGCCCGTCCGCTTCCCTATCCCCATCGACCGGCGCCACGTTGGCCATGATCTTCTCACTCAGGGTGTTGAGCGTCTTCACGATGAGGATGTTCTTTCTCGGCCGCATTTCGACGTCTTTTCGATTTCCGGACCGGAAACCGCCCTCGTTCTCCTCATTGGCCTCTACGTCGATGATATGCGGCACGCTCCGAGCCATGAATCCGCTCTGGAACTCCTGCGTGTTCTCGCTCTGGTCGTGGTTATCAAACAGCGGATCACGTACAATGCCTTCCTTTTTCTCATCCTGCACCTTATCGCCTCTCAGAGTCCTGGAAAGTTTACTCAAGAAGAACCGCGACCAGAACTCGGCCTCGGATATTTTGGGAACGTTCTCGTTGTACAGGCGTTTGACAAGAGGGTGCTGGTTGAAGATCAACTGGACCTGTTCCACACTGATGCTCAGCTTGAGCTCTTCCCCTTCGGTTCGTGGCTTAATGGTCGACAAGACGTTGTAAGCGCCTTTCCTCTGGTGCGTTTCAATGGCATGGGCACGCAGCAAGTTGATACGTGTGGACCAGAACTGGGAGTTGAAAGCGGCATCCGATATCGACTCTGGCTTCGTGGCACGAGCATCCATATAGGTCTGGTTCAGGCTGCGGTCGCTCTTCAGCAGGGACTGCTGGAGCTCAATGTCCGAGCGTAGCTGGTCATCGTCGAACCATCGAGCCATGGCCGGCTTCGAGTTGACGGAGCCAGCGAAAGCCATCGATGCCGAGGCGCTTCCTCCATTCACGGCGGCATTTGGCGTCCCTGTGCCGGAGGCGGAGGCGGCGGAGGACGTTGGCTTGGGCACATTGGGATCGTTGGCCCGTATCTCCTGCAGGAGCCTAGAGAGGACCTCCTTTATGGAATTCGCCTCGGCTCGAGCATCTGGAGAGGTGAAGTGAAATAGATATGACGCCTGGTCTGTTGCGTTTGGGTGTTTCTCGATGATTTTAAGCATGACCTTTGGCGCAGTATCGGGGGTCTGCTGAAGATCTGGATGGGGGGGAGGGTTGGGAGAAGAGCAACTCAGCATGGCCATGACATACGATGATATACAGGCTGGGCCGTAGGTCAGCCCGGACGGGAATTCGACTTACTAGCAACGTTGGCAAGAGACAGGGAGACGGTGGGCGCCCCTGTAGCTGGCCAGGGGGTCCAGGTGATGAAGTTCTGGTCGGGTGATACGGCCAGGACGCCATCCTTCTTCTTGTAGGCCGCCCGGCCGGATGGAGTAGCCATGTTGCTGCACAAGAATACCGACCCCTTTCCCCCACCGTCGGCCCAGCTTGGGAATGCCCACTCGCTTGAGACCCTAGCTGTTCACTGAAATGACTACTGAAGTGTATACACCATGAAGTATTGTTTCTTTAGGCAATGATAATTCCGAGAAACCGTGATATCACGGGGTTTCTCTGTCCTCGTTAATCGTCAACTGCCTGAAGAGGGCACGTGAGGTCAAGGCGGGCAGCCGACCGGGCGTTCGTCTACTCAGTAGGAGGGGCCGAGCTGGGACGTTAAATAAGAAGAGAAGGTAGATTATCCGAGAGCTCTTGGTCATGAGGGGAAAAAAATGCTTTCGTTGAAGGATAATTGATGAGTCTTCCTGTCCTGTCTAATCTGTAGATGAGGTGGATGTCGAAAAGACAAAGGAAGGAAGCTCTGAGCTTTATTAAAGTGAGATAGATACCCTACCTTATGTTAGATTGGTTCACAGCCGTTTTTTTTTGTCAAGTGTGGCGTGATACGTGATTGCGATGGATAGCTCCAGCCACCTGTGGCTGGTATTTTCATCTCCAAGCTCCAGGTTCCAGGTTCGGGTTCTCCTTCCTTGCCAAGTACACGTAGATGTCAGCTTGGTGCATGAATTGAACTTGGTACGAACAGTCGGTACATCGGTACGACGTAGCACGAGGTACCTCTTGACCCGCCAGTTTCCGTCACAAGACCTGAAGTCACGAGCTGTATTGGCCGACCAGTGCCCAAACACTGTGTCTATACACTGTATGACCACCACTCTCGGACAAGGCTCCTGGCCTTGGCATACGAAGTCAGGCATTCGAGGCAAGGGCCGCCTGTTCAACCCAGTTGGAAACCTATTTAGAACCTACAATCATGTAAGATTGCGTAAATCAATGCGAGAATGAGAGAACAAGTCGCTCGCTTCGACCAATTTACTGTTTTAAGGTTTTAATTCAGAATTCTGGGAATTTCAGCGAGCAATGGCCGTCCAGACTTTGTCTTTGAGTTTCTAGGACGTTGATGTCACCACTGCGGGCTGTCTGGGTAAGGTACCTACATACCTACCTTACTTAGGGGGTGGGATGACTAACTCTTGCGTCCATGCCCACTGAAAACACGAATTTCCTCAGGTTCGTCAAAGCGGTAATTGAGGCCAGGCACACAGTGTGGGGCTACGCATTCAACGCTCCTCGTTTTAGTTGGCTTGGTCTATCGGGGTCCTTCTTGACTGGTTGGCCGGCTGTCTGGACTCCCGCTGGCCCGCTGACAGCATCCAAGTTTACCGAGAAGGTACGAAGGGGAATGCTCCTGACTGGCTGGAAGGCGGCAACAACCGGCAAGGGGGGGAGGAGGAGCTAATTTTTCTTAACGTCCTTGTTACTAAGGTAAGGTAATTACGTGACAAAAGTCGTCGGAACACCCTGTTACATGCATCAGTGTCTGGGGATGGCAGTACCCGTAACTTACGTAGTCGACACGCTAGACACAACGGGACAAACGGGACAGTCATCTTCGAGTCGCTACATTGCTATGGCTGCAACTACGGCTACAACTCCGGGATTTCGCCTCTTCCTCTTCGTTTTCCCACTACCCAACAAAAAAACCTCCCACCAACCTACCAAACCTACAGCGAAACCTGTACAGGATTTCCTTTCCTTGTTTTCTTTTCCCCCTCATATTCTCAACCCATCATCGAATTTAAGCGTAATTTTCGAGGGCATCAACAACGACTCTGTCGCCCGTCCCTCTCCCCCTTTCGACCAACTCCGTGCAAAGGGACCACCGACCTCCCTCTTTTTTTTCTTCTTTTCTTGGTTCTGCATTCTATGTCTTCCCTGACTTGAGCCAAGTCTTTTTACCTCTCTCATCCTCTCCTGTTATCCCTTCTATTTTGTTTCCTTTCTTGGGACTTCGCCTCCGAGGAAGATCGCGGCCCATCATGTTGCGCAACACCATGAGGAAAGCAAGCTCCCGGGCGCTCCAGAGCTCCCGGTGCTCAGCTTCCTCTTCGTCATGCCGCTTCGCGACCATTACCTCGTCATCGCGCCGTGCCACTCCGAGGTCGCTTGCCGCAGCTCGCCGTCCCCTCGCCGTGACGACAAAGAGGCATTATGCCAATGCCACCGACAACGCCCCGAGTCCCAACGATAACTTCCTATCAGGGAATACCGCAAACTACATAGACGAGATGTACATGCAGTGGAAACGGGATCCCGACAGCGTCCACATCTCGTGGCAGGTCTACTTCCGCAATATGGAGTCAGGCGAGATGCCCATAGAGCAGGCTTTCACCCCTCCTCCTCCCCTCGTTCCCAATGCCACCCTTGGCGTCCCCCGTCTGTCCCATGGTCCCGGTGGCGCGGAAGACTCGGAAGTTGCCAAACACCTGAAGGTCCAGCTTCTCGTCCGCGCCTACCAGGCTCGTGGCCACCACAAGGCCAAGATCGATCCCCTGGGCATCCGCACCAACGAGAATAAGGGCTTTGGTAACATCAAGCCTAAGGAGCTGACTTTGGAACACTATGGGTTTGCCGAAAAGGACCTCGACACCGAATATTCCCTCGGCCCTGGCATCCTGCCCCGTTTCAAGACAGAAGGCCGGGATAAGATGACTCTCCGCGAGATCATTGACGCCTGCGAGCGTATCTACTGCGGCTCCTGGGGCGTCGAATTCATTCACATCCCCGACCGTGAGAAGTGTGACTGGCTGAGGGAACGCCTCGAGGTGCCCCGCCCTTTTCAATATAGTATCGACGAAAAGCGCCGCATCCTTGACCGCCTCATCTGGAGCTCGAGCTTCGAGTCCTTCTTGGCTACCAAGTATCCCAACGACAAGCGATTCGGCCTCGAAGGTTGCGAGTCCCTCGTGCCCGGCATGAAGGCCCTCATCGACCGCAGCGTGGACTATGGCGTGAAGGACATTGTCATCGGTATGCCTCACCGTGGTCGCCTCAACGTCCTGAGCAACGTCGTTCGGAAACCCAACGAATCCATATTTAGTGAATTCGCCGGTACGGCCGGCGCTGAGGAGGAGGGTTCGGGTGACGTCAAGTACCATCTCGGCATGAACTTCGAGCGGCCCACCCCCTCGGGCAAGCGCGTCCAGCTCTCCCTTGTCGCCAACCCCTCCCATCTCGAGGCCGAAGACCCCGTCGTTCTGGGCAAGACCCGCGCTATCCAGCACTACAACCAGGACGAGGATAAGCATGAGACCGCTATGGGCGTGCTCCTCCACGGTGACGCCGCCTTTGCCGCGCAGGGTGTCGTCTACGAGTGTCTCGGCTTCCACTCCCTGCCTGCCTTCTCCACGGGCGGCACCATCCACCTCGTCGTGAACAACCAGATCGGCTTCACCACCGATCCCCGCTTCGCCCGTTCCACCGCCTACTGTACCGACATCGCCAAGGCCATCGATGCCCCCGTATTCCACGTCAACGCCGACGACGTCGAGGCCGTTAACTTCGTGTGCCAGATGGCGGCCGACTGGCGTGCTGAATACAAGCAGGACGTCATCATTGACCTGGTCTGCTACCGCAAGTACGGCCACAACGAGACCGACCAGCCGTCCTTCACCCAGCCCCTGATGTACAAGCGCATCCAGTCGCATAAGTCGCAGATCGCCACCTACGTCGATAAGCTGCTCGAGGACGGCACCTTCACCCAGGAAGACATCGACGAGCACAAGAAGTGGGTTTGGGGCATGCTCGAGGACAGCTTCGCCAAGTCGAAGGAGTACCAGCCCACCTCGAAGGAGTGGACCACTTCAGCCTGGAACGGCTTCAAGTCGCCCAAGGAGCTCGCTACCGAGGTCCTGCCGCATAACCCCACCAGCGTCGACCGCGATGTCCTCCAGAACGTGGGCGAGATTATCGGCAGCGCCCCCGAGGGCTTCAACGTCCACCGCAACCTCAAGAGGATTCTGGCCAACCGCAGCAAGTCCGTCATCGAGGGCAAGAACATCGATTTCCCCACGGCCGAGGCCCTCGCTTTCGGCACTCTCGTCCGCGAAGGAAGCCATGTCCGTGTATCCGGCCAGGACGTCGAGCGTGGTACCTTCTCGCAGCGTCACGCCGTCTTCCATGACCAAGAGACCGAAGACACCTACACGCCCCTCCAGCACATTAGCGAGAAGCAGGGCAAGTTTGTCATTTCCAATTCTTCGCTCAGCGAGTTTGGCGCCCTCGGCTTCGAGTACGGCTACTCGTTGACCTCTCCGAACGCCCTGGTCATGTGGGAGGCGCAGTTCGGCGACTTCGCCAACAACGCGCAGTGCATCATCGACCAGTTCATCGCCTCGGGCGAGGTCAAGTGGATGCAGAGGACAGGCCTCGTCATGTCCCTGCCCCACGGATACGATGGCCAGGGTCCCGAGCACTCGTCGGCCCGCCTCGAACGCTTCCTGCAGCTATGCAACGAAGACCCGCGCATCTTCCCGTCCCCGGAGAAGCTTGAACGCCAGCATCAAGATTGTAACATGCAGATCGTACACATGACCACTCCCTCCAATTTGTTCCACGTCCTGCGCCGACAGATGCACAGGCAGTTCCGCAAGCGTAAGTTTCACTTCCCTCCTCACAAAAAAAAAAAAAAAAAAAAAAAAAGGAAAAAGGAAAAAAGGAAAACCAGAAGAAAGAAGCAAAAAAAAGGCAGAGAGAAAAAAGGGACATGCTAACACGTACTCCAGCTCTTATCATCATCTTCTCCAAGGCTCTCCTTCGCCATCCTCTTGCCCGTTCTGACGTCGAAGAATTCGTCGGCGAGTCGGCGTTCCAGTGGATCATTGCCGACCCCGAACACAAGACGGGCGCTATCAAGGCCCCCGAGGAGATCAAGCGCGTCATTCTCTGCTCTGGCCAGGTCTGGGCCGCGCTCCACAAGCACCGCGCCCAGCACAAGATCGACGATGTCGCCATCACCCGCATTGAGCAGCTGAATCCCTTCCCCTGGCAGCAGCTAAGGGAGAACCTCGACATGTACCCCAACGCGGAGACCGTCGTCTGGTGCCAGGAGGAGCCCCTCAACGCCGGTGCTTGGAGCTTTGCCCAGCCCCGTATCGAGACCATTCTCAACCATACCGAACACCATGATCGCAAGCACGTCATGTACGCCGGCCGCAACCCAAGCGCTTCCGTCGCCGCCGGTAACAAGGGTCTACATACGAGGGAGGAGCAGGAGTTCCTGGACATGGCCTTTAGCGTCAAGCAGGACAAGCTGAAGGGCCAGTAAGAAAGAAAGACTTGGGCTTTTTCGCATCGGTCAATGGAAATGGCACGGTCTGAAAAGAGAAACTGTGACAAGTGGCAGCATTTGAAAGAAGCGGGAGAGAAAAAACCAACATGCAAGGGGACGCGACTGCGGGCGCATATAATCCGGTATTGTCTTATTTTTGTTTTTGTTTTCTTCGTCGGGCCGTTTGCGTCTGACAGGAAGGGGGGGGTAAAATAACCAGGGTTGTCTACAACATTTATAGACGCATTGGTCTCTCTATCCCAGTGCTGAAGTTATGCCGTGGGGTTTACGGCAGGAGGAGCAACTTTGGATCAGCCACGGGACTTGATATCTATTCCCCTCTGGTTCCTGCCAAAGGGTATGATGGGATAGGGAAGACTCACCCGAGGCGGGGGCCAAAAAAAAGCGAAGGAAAAAAAAAAGGAAAGGGGCGGAATCCTGTGCCTGGCTGGGACAAAGCTGCTCGTGTAGTGTAAAAAAGAGGTGTTATCCGTATAGCCATTGCCAATGTTGAATTTTGGTTTGTTAGAACTGCCCGCAATGTCCTATGAGTGAGTGACATGGTTTTGAGATAAGCCACATGTTATATGCTTTTCTCTAGAGGAAGATGGAAGTGGTGTTGGTAGTAATCATGTCGAATGCATCTTCCAAGAACAGCTTCGTCTACCTTAGTCTATATAGGGGTAGATGTGGTAGGTATTGTCACCTGCCAGGGACGAACAAGGCCCTCGTCTCCAGTCGTGACCAACATTTCCTCCTCTCCCTTGCGCTCCGCACCCGGGTCGTATCGGCGACACCAGGTGATGTGGTTGACCTCATAAGGGCCGTGTGCGTTCTTGATCGTGGTCAAGACGCGCCACTGGCCAGGTCCAGGCTCACTTTTGGCCTTGCCGTCGCCATCCCCGTCCGGCCCTTGGGCGCCGTCATCCTCGCCGTAGATGGCAATGACGCCGTCCCCGCCGGTGCTGGCGACGAGACCGGTGGTGGCGCTCCAGGTAACCGAGTAGACGTCCCTGGTGTGGGCGGCAGGGAGGATGGCGGAACAGTACCATTCCTCCCGCAGGGACCTGCGCATGGTGTTGGGGATGCCGCCCAGGCCGAATCCGAAACCACCGACTGCCCCTGCTCGTCCCGCTCCAGCGGCACGTCGGTTCCCTCGACCATCTTCCCCGTCGCCGTCCTCTTCGTTCTCCTCCTTCTCCTCCTTCTCCTCCTCCTCGTCATCCTCATCCTGGCGGAGGGTCCAGACCCGTATGGTGCCGTCAGCAGAGTAGGTCACGAGGCGCGGGAAACGGCTGTCGGACCTTGGGCGGGGCTCCCACTGCACGCCCCAGACAGTCCCCTCGTGGCCCTCCAGGACGGCGACGCAGACCCAGTCGCCGTCGGCGTCCTCGCGCCAGATGCGGACGGTGGAGTCGTAGCTGGCGGAGGCGAGGACGTCCGGGCCGTAGACGCCGCGGCGGACGGAGCGGCCGGGGACGTCGGGGCACCAGGCGAGGGATTTGACGTCGCCTTCGTGCTCGGTCAGGACGGCGACGGTCTCCCACTCGTCGTCGTGCTCGGAGGCGCCGATGTCTTCCCAGATCCAGACGGACTGGTCGCGGCTGCAGGTGGCGAGGTGGGCGCCCGAGGGGGAGAAGACGGCCGATTTGATCTCCGAGTCGTGGCCCTCGAGCACGAGGGTGAACTCCCAGTCTTTGTTATTGCTGCCGTCACCGCTGTTGTTGGTGTCGTCGGCTCGGTCTGTGTCGGAGTCGGGGTCGGGGTCGAAGGAAGAAGGGCGTGATGCTCGGGCGGAGGGGGAAATCACTTCGGTTTCCAGGGTGGGTTCGGCGGGGCCATCGGTGGAGGAAGCTGCGGCGGCGGCAAAGGGGAGCTCGCCGTCCCAGCGCCAAAGGGCGGCAGTGGCGTCGAAGCTGGCGGTGACGAGGCAGAGCTGGTGGGGTGGCAGGTTCGGCTTCCAACAGGCGGAGCGGACGGAGCGGGAGTGACCCCCGGTCAGCGTGCTATGGGCGGAGAGCGTGGAGAGGGAGAATACGGTGACGGTCTTGCCGTGGGTGGTGGCCAGGAGGGGGAGGGTCGGGTGAGGTATCGAGGACCAGGCTCGTTCGTAGAGGTCCGGCTTAAAGGGGGGCAGAGCGGTCAACTGGACGGCTAAAGGGAGCGGGGGGTTGTCGCCCGCCGGGACAGGCGTCGCATCGGTGGACGGCATACCGAGGTCGGAAACAAGTAAGGCGATATGACTAAGAGGCCCGGGGTAGAAAGCGGAGGGTCGTTTGGGAGCCGGAGAAGTAGGATGGAGGGGCCGATATCCCGGATGTCTCGGCGGGGTGGCTAGTTGGCCAGTTAATGGGTGCCGTGATGCCGTGAGAGACTGGATAGAAGAATTAACACAGAAACAAGGGAACGACGTATTCGGCGTAGTGATTGCACTTGTCTGGTGGACTGGGGCGTGATCACATGTAGCTATGGGTGATGAGCAGCATGTTTTTAGTGATTCAATGGCGGGGAAGAAAATCGATCGCGAGCAATTGTCGTGCCGTTGTCGTTGCAGGTGGGGTGATAACGATAAGACCACGGCCCCACCTGTGGCTTGATGGTGGCTGAAACCAAGCGATAAGGCATGTAACGGTTGCTCGCATCTACGGAGTACTCGTGCCACGCCCCATTTATTTTGGTTCGTTTGGCACTCACCCAGCTTAGTAAGTGGGGCGTGGCACGAGTAATACGAAGTACACCATACCGGCATCACTCCTCCATCAATCTTTTCTCTTTCTTTTTCCCCCTGTCAAATTCCTCGCAAAGGCCCGAGACCGAGAGTCGCCCGTCAACTTTTTTATTATTATTTCTATTTCCATCTTTCCGGGATCTGGCCCATCGATGCCGACTGTCTGTCACACGTACATATAGTAGGGCCGATGAAAAAGAGCAAAGACGGGGGAGAAAACGAAAAAGAAACGAGCCCATATGTATTATGACGTGGAAACATCATCCCCCTCCCCCAAGCACCCCCTGATCGACCAGCTGGATCGGACGCCAAGTTGCCCATCACACGCGAGGTGCATTATTACTTTTTCTTCATGTGCTTTTCTCGATGATCCGCCGCCATGGGGACAGAAAGCTTTCTGTCCCCCCGACGCCTAATCCCTTGCTTCACCGGTACTCGCCGTCGTCTGCCCTGACCTTTCGGACCTTTTATCTAGCCCGTGAACTTCAGCTTCGAGATGGCGGGGGGGGGGCCACCCCGGTTCCTTTTGGCCACTGACCTCATCTCCTCATGCCACCGGCTGCACCGTTGATAGTGTTTCTCATCCCAGCCGCGCTCTATGGCCTCGGTGGCGTCCTTTAGCAAGCACGCCGGCAATGCCTAGGGGATCTTATAGATAGGAACGACATGTCTTGGGTACATCTTTTCCAGTCTTGATCACACTCTTTTCTGTTCCCCCCTGGAGAAAGGTTCGAGGGTTCGTTTGCTTTCTGAACCTACTAAACCATGATTACAACGTACTTCGTAATTACATATATCCCCAGGCCCACCAGTTATCGCCCAGTTGAAGAGCCTCAAAGCCTCGAATCCGAACGGCAACGTGGTGATCCCCTGTCCGGCTTGTCGATGGCGCGCCGCAGAGATCCGAGAAAAGCGATAATGTCCCATCGACCGGGCGTCTGTCTGCATAGCGCCGCGATGCCCGACCCCTGGTTCGCATCGCCCAGATCGCCATCCCATACCAAAAGACCGACCGGGGTGGTTGATAAGCGACATCGTGTTTCCGCTGTTTCCGTCCCCCTTCCTTCGTCTTCCGTACCTACACGTGTACGTTGTATTGCATTTTACCTGGTTCCTTACTCTGGAAGACCCCACTCTCCCCGTCACGTTCACCCTTTTGGCCTTTTGCCCCGCCTGCGAACAGCTTTAACCGATATGCTGGGTCAGGGCGCAAGAGGGCTAGTGGAGTAGCGGCTGATAGCGTACTTTGTAAGGTAAGTGTACATACTATAGGCTTGAAAGTTCGCCCTAAAGGTACGTTGTACAACGTACTTAGTAGACCCTCTCGTTCTGAAACCGAAGTCGGGAAGCGTTCGTGGTCCATCAGCACGTGTAGGTGGCATACGCTTCAAAAGAGCCTTGTTATCATCGTCAAGCCCCTGGGTCCCCTCACTGCGGACTAATCGGTCGGCCTAGCCCAGACTTCTTCTTCTTTTTTTTTTTTTTTTTGCACCTCTGTTTTGTCCACATATCATCATCATGAGTCGTTAGTCCTTGTTTTTGCCCGTTTGACTCCCCATTGAAACGGCAAAAGAAGAAAAAGAAAAGAAAAGTCTTGTCTAGTCTTCCTTGTGAGACACGCCGTCGACTATTGCCCGCATTATTAATCTAGCGCATGCTCTAATCCGCGCAAGATAGATAGTAAAAGGAAAGGAAACTAAGAAGAGCAGAGGCAGTCACGTGATTCATATCCAGCAAGCCCAGCCTACGCATAGGGGCCCCCGTCGTCCTTCGCTTCGACAACCTACGCTACGCACCTACTAAGCCGCATCGACTTGGGGGAGGGGTGGTGGCCGACTAGAGGCTAATTTAGGCCCAAGCTATCGGCGATCTGGCCCACCATCATAAGGGCGCTATGTACGAACGAAGTAAGGTAGTTACCGGTATGCTTTTCTGACCATGGTCGACAGGTTGACTCCATTCTAGGCCCTCCTGCAGTCACCAGCGGAAACCCTCGAGGACAAGCAGTACCGGGAGCCTTGACCAGGGCTCTTGGAACCCCCCCCCCCCTTTCCCACACACACACTGAAGACCGAAGCCAAGCTGTGTAGTTGTTGACCCTTGCAGGAGGGCCGTCGAGAGACCCCTGGCTGGACGTCTTTAGCTCGATGGAAGTTCAGACGGTTCTGTGCGGCGCTCATGGGGACCTCGATCGTTGTATCACCTACCATGCGATGTCTTAAACCTATGATCCCCCTCCACCCCCCTTCTACTTCGTACATGTAATATGTTGCCCCGTGTGCCTCCTACAACCAAGAGAGCTGGGAGAAGATCGTCCTTCCCATCCCTGGATCTCGTCTGTTTGGTGTTCATTGTCTCTCGTGATTTTCATCAACATCCACGTCGTTGGGAACCGCGGATGTTCCGGGCCATCGCATCTCAACCACGTCGTCTTCGCCCATCATGTCCGGAATTCCGGACGACCTCCTCTCGAGATATGAGGGCCTCGTGGTCCCTCGCTCTTTCAGCCCCGGGTTCATAGCTCTGAGTTATCTTGTCAGTTTCATCGGGGCCGCTTGCACTCTCGAGCTCCTCAACCGGCGAACCTCGCACAAGGGAAAATTCAACCAGTATGGCGGCTCACTTGACGCAACTATATCCTTCCTTTCGTGCCTTGGGATGCAGAGCTAACCCCGATCAAGTCTGCTCTTGGTGACTTCAGCCGTTTCCATGGGTGGTATTGCTATCTGGTGCATGGTATGTGGGAATGTGCACCCAGAAGAGGGAGTCCGAATAGCCGTCGTCTGACACGCAGTAGCACTTCATCGGTAACCGCGCCATCCACATAGCCAACGGCGAACGCCAATTGCAGATTGCCTACTCCAGCAGCTTCACAGCCGTGTCCTTCTTCGTCCCCATCGTGGTGTTGCTCGGGGCCTTCCTTGCCATTGGCATCAACAACATCGTCTCTTGGTGGCGAGTCACAGCAGGTGGCGTCCTCGCCGGTGCCGCCATCTGCGGGATGCACTACCTGGGCGAATATTCCGTCTCGAATTATGACTGCATCTACAGACTGTCCAATGTCCTCGGTTCGGCCATCATCGCCGTGGCCGCCAGCATCGTGTCTCTGGCTCTGTTCTTCGTCTTTCGCGCAACCTGGACGAACACGTGGTGGAAACGAGGCGCTTGTTCCGTTGTGCTGGCCGGCGCCGTGTCCGGTATGCATTGGTGCGCCGCCACGGGAACCGAATACCGACTCAAGAGTCTCAATCGTGAGACGGGGCTATCGAGAGATATCACTGTCATTGTGGTTATCTGCCTGGTAAGCAGAGTACTGGTTTTCACGACTTGACCTTCCAGACCCCTTTTATTTTCATTTCATTCTTCAAAAAAAAAATTTTGTTCAAAAGACAGGGGGGAATTGTGGACAACGTTCACTGACAAGAAGGGCGGAAATTGTAGTCAGTATGCGCCTGTTCAGTAATGGCTGGCGTAGCGATATATACGGCCCGCGTAATGCGACGTTACGCGAGCAAGGCACAGCAGGTCGTGCTGGCAGCGGCAGTCTTCGACCAGCACGGCCGCATCCTCGTGAACCCCGAGGGTTTGCTCCCCACCGAGAAGATCACGGACATGTTCGTCGAGCGAGACGCTACCGACACATTTAGCACGGCCCACCCGCTCTTCCTCTGGATGTTCCGAGTCACCCGAGACTGGACCAGCGTCTCGCCGTTTGTGGGTGGAATGGCGAGCCACCTCGCAAGCTTGCCAACGACGGGCCGAGACAGGGATTCCAACTTGGAGGTCCAGCTCATCGACAAAGAGGGCGAGGTCATTCCGCAGTATGACACGGTGCTGAGGGAGCTGTTCTGTCTCGCGGCCGTCGGCCTCGCCGACAAGTTGAAGGAACAACTGAGTTCGGTTGGCGTGCTCTGGGATGAGATCTTGCCAACGGGAGGAGGCGCAAGAGGACCCGTGAGCCGAGCCCAGAAGAACACGGAAAACGCCCAACGCGCAAATATTACGACCCAGGAGGCGAACGCGAGCGAGGCCGACGACCACGCGGAGAAAGGTCTGCAGCAGAGGCGGAAGCAGAACGAAGTAGGCCGGGGATCCCTGATGTTCCTAGTCCGCCAGCTGGATAATGAAAGGGTCATTCAGCGCCTGGAGGCGGCGGGCTATCGATTCGCCGAACTTCGACAGGTCAGCGGCATCATCGGTTCCGGTATGCAGATCAAGTCCGGCGACGTCGAGTCGAAGCTGCGAAACATGGCCGCATACGCGAAGGGACCGAGATACCTGGAACCGGGAGTGCACCTCGGGCTTTTTGGCATCCAAGCTCGCGTTGGCCGGTACGGTTTCGACGTGCTGGTGCGAAAGGGCGCCCGCAACCTTCTTCCGAGCGTGCGGTTACCTCTCAGACGCGTCGAACAGTGGCAGAAGGATAGTCTGAAGCAGCTGGACGGCACGTCTGTCTCCATGCTCTCTTTGAGGTCGGAAGAGACCAAGGCGGCGACAAACCGGGAGGCCACCTTCATTTTGCAGTTGTTGGACGGACTAAATGAGATGCGTGGGCTGATCGATGACCCTGTCTTCAACGATGCCCTGCTGGTGTCCAGCGTAGTGACGGTGCCGACACCCATCCAGGGCAGTGAAAGTTCACGCCAGTTGCCAAGCTACATGATCGTCTTCCGTCTCGTCGTCCCAATCCATGTCAAGTTTGAGGACTCAAGATGCGAATTTGTGCCGCTGAGCTTCTTCAAGACATGCCAGTTTGTGGGGAACAGCACAAATCACCAATTGGCATTTGCCCAGTCGGTGCACAGGGATTTCTCACCCATACTACAATCCACGTGGTCCGGGAAGGGGAAACCTGGGGCACAGAAGAAAGGACGGGAAGCTGTCCTCTTTCGTCGGGTCGTTCCGACTCGTTTGCGCCGCTCCGAAAGGTCGAGATTATCCTATCCCGTGGACGGAGATGGGAACCCCATCCCAACAACCCGTCGGGAGTCTTCAGCCAGCAATTCGCATGACACAGGATCGACGTTGAAGCTGTGGACAAATCGGCGGGGAAGCGAGCCCCATTCAGTGGGCAGCTCCTTTGACACGCCGCCAGGATATACACAAAACGAGACGGCAACCATGGTGACGAATCGCGGAGGCATCATGGTTTCGGAGGAGATCCGGGTTGAGGTTCAAGATGCACAGGAGGACACGACATCGCCGCCGCCATCGGCATCCGGATCGGGCGAGCTCACAAGGACGCTGACTCGGAAAGAGAGCCGCGACGACGACGAGGGAACAGGCGGGGAGATCACGCATGTTGACAGCGGGTCAGTCGCAGCACCCGGGAGTCACGGTGGGGCTGACGGCGGGGCCGCCATCGAGATGAACCAGCTGTCACCCACGATCGGTACAATGAGGGACAAGGTCCATACGGGGGTGGTGACGCAGGTGTCGAATGTGCAGGCACTAGGAGTCTCAGACGCCGAGGCCAAGACGTTTGTGGATGAGCTTTTCGCTGCCTGTATCGATCGTCGATAAATGTGTTGTTCGTCATTGGATGTCGTCTTTCGATATTCTTGACATTTCTTTTCCCCTCCAGCAATGGGTGGAAATGGATGGACAGTGGACTCGGGGTGTTCGTTCCTACCGGGAGGAAATATATGAATGTAAGATTGCAAAAGGACGTTGTGTGAAATCGCAGACCTGGAGCATTGTACAATCAAAATGCTATGAGCTCTTAATACAGAGCTTGGTATATATTGGTGTATTGTTGTACGTGGCGAAGGTTGGTGACGACTGAAGATTGTGGTGATGTGATGTCGGAGCAGAAGGGCAAAAGGGGAAAGACGAACCCGGGATCACGTGATCTAAATCATCTGTGCCTTCCCTCGGAAAAGTGGAATTCCCCTACCTTAGGTAATAATTTCTCGTAAGTGTAGACTCCTGCATTCGGATAATGACGTAGAAAGAGTGGGCCTTTGAACCTTAAAGGTCCGTGCTGTCTTATCCGGTCTCACTGCTTGGAAACTTGCTGGAGTAAGGTAAGGTAGGTAAGGTAGGTACTGGAGTAAGGTACTGGAGTAAGGTACTGGAATACTTGCAATCCAGAACTCTCCCCCATTATCTCCCCATCACATCACCTCGTTTACGAGGTTTTCGTGCGTCATGTTCTCTCCTTTCATACCAGTACCTTCCGATCATATCAACTTCATGCACATTATATATTACCCTTTCGAGGCTCTAGGTTTGTCTCGAGTCTTGCGTACTGTACGAGTTCGTCCGCGATAGTTGGAGTTGGCTTTGGCGTTGGTTTGGGGATAACTCCGTACTCCTCCCATTCAACGCCCTCTCTTTCGGCACAGGTCTAGGCTGATCTTATTCCGTTTTCATCCATTGCAGATCCGATCTTGGCCCTTCTCCAGCTTCTAAGTCCATCCTGCCACATTGGCCCTCTCATCATCATATTTCGCCGGGTATCCGCGTCCATTCTGTGCCCGACTGCCTCGAGTTCTTTTCACAGTCAGCAGTCAACGCGTGAAGGGATGATCACCAATGCCTAGACTGAGCATTCGCTACCTATCTAATCCTTTCGCCGCTTAGCCCGCCATGCCTCCCACTCCCTCTTCTTCCAGACTCCTGAGACGACTGGCACCTGCTGCAGGTGCACTCGCCGCAGGAGGTGTCCTCGTCTACTATACCTACCGACCTCGCAACATCCCCGGCTACGAAGCCGCCGCTGTTCCGCCGCCCATCTTCGGCCCGGATGGTAACTTCAAGCTCCCGCAGTTCCCGAGGGCGCCTAGTCGCTCCCAGCAGATCGCCGCGCTGAAGAAGAGGTCCGGACCCGACGGCGAAGAATATGACATGCTCATCATCGGTGGAGGTGCTACCGGTACTGGCGTCGCTCTCGACGCTGCCACTCGGGGTCTCAAGGTCGCCCTCATCGAGAGGGATGATTTCAGTAGTGGCACGAGCAGCAAAAGCACCAAGTTAGTACATGGCGGCGTCAGATATCTCGAGAAAGCCGTCTGGAACCTCGACTATGCCCAGTACCAGCTCGTGCGGGAGGCCCTAAAGGAGCGCAAATACTTTTTACAGACCGCACCGCATTTGAGTATGTGGCTTCCCATCATGATCCCTATAGACCGTTGGTGGAAGGTACCGTACTTCTGGGCCGGCACCAAGACATACGACCTCCTCGCCGGGAGCGAGGGTATCGAGAGCTCCTACTTCCTCCCGAGGAGCAAGGTTTTCGACGCTTTTCCCATGCTTAAAAAGACCGGACTAGTCGGCGCTCTTGTCTATTACGATGGTGCGCACAACGACTCGCGAATGAACGTGTCTCTCGCCATGACCGCTGCGCTGTATGGGGCCACCGTATTGAACCATGTCGAAGTGACGGGCCTTCAGAAGGACGAGAATGGCAAGCTTTGCGGTGCTGTCGTCAGGGACTTGGTGGCCGACAAGAACGGCACGCGCTCTGATCCTATGCCCGTCCGAGCCAAGTCGATCATCAATTGCACCGGTCCGTTTTCCGACTCGATCAGGGCCATGGACGACCCCTCCTGCAAGCGCATCGTCGCCCCTTCGTCTGGCGTCCACATCGTCCTTCCGGGCTATTACAGCCCTGCCAAGATGGGCCTCATAGATCCAAGGACGTCCGACGGCCGAGTCATCTTCTTCCTTCCATGGCAGGGCAACACCATTGCCGGCACCACGGACGACCCATGCTCCATCACCCAGAACCCGCTGCCTGACGAGAAGTCGATCGATTGGATTCTGCAGGAAATCAGGCAATACCTCTCCCCGGACATCGATGTCCGTCGAGGGGACGTCCTGGCCGCCTGGTCCGGCATCCGGCCCCTAGTCAAGGACCCCAAGGCCAAGAACACCGAGTCCCTCGTGCGCAACCACCTCATCGACATCTCCCCGTCAGGCCTGGTCACCTGCGCCGGCGGCAAGTGGACCACCTACCGCCAGATGGCCGAGGAGTGCGTCGACGCCACCATCCGGGAGTTCGGCCTGCGACCCCGCCCGTACGGCACCGCCCCGCGCATCAGCGGCACCGACGTCGTCGACGACGGCGCCATCCTCGACGGCTCCTGCCAGACCCACAAGGTCCGCCTCATCGGCGCCCACGGCTTCAGCAAGACCCTCTTCATCAACGTCATCCAGCACTTCGGCCTCGAGACCGAGGTCGCCAAGCACCTCACCGAGAGCTACGGCGACCGCGCCTGGTCCATCGCTGCCCTCTGCAGCCCCACCGCCAAGCGCTTCCCCGCCCGCGGCCACCGCATCTCCTCGCTCTACCCTTTCGTCGACGGCGAGGTCCGCTACGCCGTCCGCCACGAGTACGCCCAGACCGCCGTCGATGTCCTGGCCCGTCGCACCCGCCTCGCCTTCCTCAGCGCCCAGGCGGCCCTCGAGGCCCTGCCCAGGACCATCGACATCATGAGCGAGGAGCTGGGGTGGGACAAGAACCGGCAAGACCTGGAATGGAAAGAAAGTGAGTAGCGACGCTTTGACATTCTATGCCCCCCCCCCCCCCCCCCCCCCCATATACGATGTTGTCCATATCGCTTACGTCTCTTTTTCTCTCTTTTCGTAGCCGTCGCCTTCCTTGAATCCATGGGCTTGCCGAAGCCATTGCTCTCATCCACGAGGAAACAGATCGAAGAGGGTGGGATAGATTTCACCAACTCGTCGGAGTTCAAGATGTTCTCGCGCCATGACAGGCAGAGAGACGAGTGAGTAATGCAGTGTAACGTGGTGGAAACAATGGCTGGGGGATGGCATGGGCCTATATAGATCGGTGGTTAGTTACTCTTGCGCCAACATGAGAGCCAACACATTGCACCGTTGGCCTCGATACCATCATACCACCATGTTCATCAACCTTCCTACTTTCAACAAATACCAAATATAATCCGATCTGTTGACCTCGTGGAGATTGGACAAACACTGCGATTTTTGCAAGTCAAAAGTTACGACTCACCATTCAGGTTCACAACGAAAGAAGGCGGCAGAATAGGGATACATGTTATATAAGGTTATACATGGAACACATTCAGAACCCAGCCTTATGAGTTGGGAGAATCCACATCCAAGAATTAACTGCCACAGAGCATCGGCATTTTCGTATCCAACCCAAAGCTGAAAGTGAACATGAAAGGCCGTGGAGATGGGCAGATAATCCTCTAGTCCGAAAATCTTACACATGAAAAGACTGCGAAAGGGTGGAATGGGGTTCCTTAGAGCGCTCGTTTCCTTCCCCTCGACTCCTTCTCCCAAGGAGACGTGGTTGCGATCCTCTATTCAAACATTTCTCGTTTTCATGTCTTCCCATCGTCATCCGTGCAATGCCAAACCCAGCCAGGGTTAGGAAACCCACAATACCAAGTACCCGCACGCCTGTCTACAATGCCTGTACTTCTCTATGCCCCCCCGGTATTCGTTAAAATGCTGTTGATGACATGGCCCTCCCATCCCTGTGCGCCACCAAACGTTTTGAAACCCGTTACTGCAAACCGTAGATGGAGAAGGAAAAGTATCGAGCCCTGAAAAATTCTGTGCAAGTAGGGTATCAAAAAAGAAGGAAAAAGAGGAAGGAAAAAGAGAGAGAGAGAAAATAAAATACATAGGTCGCGCTTATTAGAGTGACGAGTTGCTCGTCCGTCGAGACTCGGAGGTAACGGCGTCTTGCGATGCATGGCTCCTGTGGAAGACGCGTCGTAACAGATTGCGACGGGGCCCGCTGGCCCTAGCGTGCCGACGACCATCGACTGCGTCGGGGTCACGAAATTGACCAGGGCCCACCGGGACGCTTCCAGTCGTCAGATGTCGCTCAAGCTCCTCGTCCCAACCATAGAGGTCTTCCTCGGGCGCAGCGCGATCGTAAACCAAGAAGTCACCGGACGGCGTCTGCGGCTCCACTCCCAACCCAGAATGCGAACCGATCATGAGGAAGTTCGATACGTCAGAGAAAACATAAGGAGACGACGGCTGTGAGGCAGGCGGCGATTCGGCTGAGATCATTTCAGTGTCGAGGTTGAGTTGAGGTCTCACAGTCTCTAGTAGGGCCGTAGAAGTGATCGTCGTGGACGTGATCGTCGACACCGTTGCTTTCCCGATCGTCTCCGTTGGACTAGAGCAAACGTTCGCATGACCTATTTGGGCCTGCGTCGTTGGACTAACCGAAGTAACAGCGAGACTATCACGTGTGCGCACACGGGCCTGCCGTCGAACCAGCATATGTCGGTTCGGTTTAGTGTATGGACTCTGCCCTTTTGCGGCCGTGCCACCCCTGTATCCACCGCCGACGTGGTGAGAGCCAGCGCCAGCCGCTCTCCCAACCAGGTCAGAGGTCGTCTCAAACGGCAAAGACAGCGGTCTGCCTGGGTGGGGCTCCTCCCACGATGGGACGTGGCTGTTGCCATCGCCGTCATCGATGGGGAACCGGGTAACGGAGACGGCTGGTGATGTGGATGTGGTTGATGACACGACCTGTACTTCCTATGAGACCCCGCTCAGGCTGGCGTCACTCATAGTAACGTCTCCGTCTACGGGGCCGGACGATGTTGGATGTGACCGGTGCCTCGAGTTGCGCGACTTGCGGCCGAACCCGAGCTTTGCACCGACCTTCTTCCAACCATTGGTGTGGGCGGACAGCGCTCTCTGAAAGCTACCGGGCGATTGCGATAATGTCGATTCCGAGGTTGGGGGAGTTGTGGGCGGCGTCATGGGTTCTGCAGCGGGCGAGGAAGCACTGCCGCTGTCGTCGGTGAGACCCTCTCGCTCGCCGAATTCGGCAAACGTCGAGGTTGTGCGGCTATTGGTCCCGCCGCGGCCGATGACCAGTTGTGGCAGGAACTTGGGGGAACGGCTCGATTCGTCTGACCTCTTCGGTCCAGATTCCGTCTGGGGTCGAACTTTCGAACGTCCTTGCCTTACCTCTGCACTGTCGTCGGCCAGATAGACCTCAGATTGCGCCGGGGAAAGCGACTCGATGAAGGGGAGCAGCACCGAGTCGTTCATCAACTCGTACACAATGCTAACAGCCTCGCCGAGCTCATCAGGGTGGGGTGGGGACCAGGTACACGGATGAGCGAGAAGATGATCTCGTACTCGGGCGGGAAGATTGACTTCGCGGGGAGCGTATGGGATGATGTATGCCTGCATAAGTTTCTCCCAGAGAGAGCAAATATAGTCGGCACCGTCGCGAACTGACGCAGTCTGTTCAATCATCGTCTGATGGAAGGCTTGGCGATAACGATCGGCATCCATGGTGAACTCGAGCGTCTCTAAGCAGTGGTTTTGAGACAAGTAAGCCATGAAGGCAGCGAGAGTCCATGGCGGACGAGACGAATTGGATAAGATTTCAGACAAGGTAGGGGGCTCCACGTGATAGGGGTTGGCAGTCGAGTGCAAACTGCCACTCGTCGGCCTCGAAGCGGTCATAGTTGATCCAACTTCCCAGTCCAGGAGGAGTGATACCGGCCTGGATGGTGGGAGCTCGCGTTCGGGTGAAGGCGACGGGGTTAGATAGACCGAGTGCCGTTTTATCCTGGACTTTCTCATTGCCACACAGTGACAACCGTGACCCCTTCGTGGTTGAAGCGGCCAAGGGCTAGACGATCCAAGCGAGGGGAAAGGCAGCGAAGTTCCCCCAGTCAATCGGATCCAGGTTAAGAAAAGAATCGCCGGCACGAAGAATGGGTGGTGTGACTAGACGGTCGTGATGTGTATTGCAACACTATGATCTGGTGTCGGGAATGCAGTGTCGTTGGGCCTGCTTCATTTGAAGGTCTGGATAAACGGCAACAAAATGAAGACAAGGGGTAGGCGAGACGAGTTATTCGTGGGTAAAAGGAGAGATAACCTAACAGCCAAGGACGACGAGTTGGAGGGTCGATCCGAATAGGAGAGTATGAGCGGAATGTGTTCTTGTCTCTAGCCAAGAATCGATAAGAGACAAGAAGCAAGGGAAAGGCCTGTTCACAAAGCCCAAGAGAAGCTCAGCCTGTCGTTTTCTCAGCAGTGAGACAATTCTAGACAGTTCTGCGTTGCTAGACCCGCCACGGTGAACAAAGGAATGCAGGTGAGTTATCGCAATCGGCGCTGGGAGGCGGGGATAGTGCGACCAAGGACAAATTGCGGCAAACTGCCAAAATACGCATCCGTCGCACACAACTGCCGTGTCCTCTCGCCAAGGGTGGTTCGACTTTCGACTGCTCGATTCCTCGACAACTTCGTCTATTCTCGCCCCCTGCGTTTGCGTATGCGGCAAATTGGGAAGACGCCTCTTTCGTCAGTCGAGCGTAGGCAGTAGTCGTGGTTCCGCTATCTGACGTTGGCTAATGTCCTAGTGCCGGGACCGTTCGCGAAGGACTGGAAGGTTATTTTACAAGCCTTCCCGAAATTCGCCGCCGTGCATGTGCACGTAAGGTACGACGATGGGCCTGGAAGTGGACAGCGTGCGATGTTGAGCTGCGGGTGCTAGGCCGTGTGGCACCAAGTACTTCGTAGATACGGCCGGTGGGAATGAATTTATCAGGTGTCGGGTCGGAAGTGTATGTATGTATGTATGTATGTGTGTCTGCGTGCAACGGACGGATGTCACGAGTCACGACAGCCGAGGCGTTGATCCGACCGGCGTAGCAGCGATCTCAGGTAGATATCTTAGGTAGTTGTAGGAGGAAATATTGGGCGGCAAGGACGGATAGATAGGGCGGCGATTGATCGAGTCTCGGAAACGTTTTCGTTTTCGTTTTATGTGTCTTGGGAGGAGTGAAAAGATGAGGAGAAAGAAAGAAAAGTAAGAATAAAAGTTGCAGATTGCGCCTATCGGGATGCTTTCCTCGAGAGATTTCCGCTTAACAGACGTTGTGAGATGTCGAAGTCGGAGGGCAGGGGAAAAGAAAGAGGCGAAGAAGAGGCGAAGAAGGCAAAGACGAGGGACCAAGCTGACGGATTGTTCGGGTTCCTGTGACAGGATGACGATGACTAGGTGGGTGTCTGGGGGTGAGCCGGCAGGCAAGAAACACTTCCACTGTTAAAAGTTATGTCCCCGGCGGGTGCTTCTTAGGTTTTGTTCTGGTGTCTGTCTTCTGGGTCCTTATTATTCGTACATTATGTGTTCTGGAAGGGTGGAAGGGTGGAAGGGGGCCTAATCTAGGGAAAGCTAGGGAAAGAGGAGATAGGGAAACCGAGGGCAGGGGACGGAAAGGCCAGAGAACCAGCTTGAAGTGGACAAGTGGGATGGGGAAAGGGTCATGGACTCAATGGACAGGGCGTCTCCAAGTATTTAGGCAGGGACTAAGGTAGGGGGATGGAACATCGAAGCGAGAAAGGCAGGAATGACCGAGTGACAGGGTACGGTACCTAACGATACCCTGCCATTTCGGACCTGTTCGTCCTTATCCCCAAAAAATGCCGCGTCTGTGAGGAGGCTGATCAGCGGACTGGAGGTATCTATCTGGTACCGACTCGACTCGCACGATCTTGTCTTTTCACTCTGTCTTCCAGTTCTAAGGTAATTACTTCGTACGATGTATCCGTACCTTACCCGGTTCCCTCTTCTCCAGTTTCTCCCCTTCTCCCACCTTCTCCTCTGGCTGCATTATACTACCTTAGGTAGTACAATGGAAGTTTTCCACCACAGTTCGATGCATATCGGGCTAGCCGTTGATCGTCGCTCAAACATCGTCATTTGGCCGTTGTATGGTCTATCATCAGTCGTCACTCGCTGGATCGGGTTCCTGTCTCTTTTTTTCTTCTCCTTTTTTTTCCCCTTCCTTCCTGTCTTTTCCAACTAGCGTCACCCATGTTCACGCAGGGCAGACCGCATTCCTCTCCACTTAGGCCATTTTGTCCTCATTGCCCCGCGCATCGGAGGGACATGGGAAACGTATTCCTACATTACATGTCCGCACTACGGATACATTACCTATCACTACGGAGTACGTGGGCTCTCCGTAATGGAACGTATGTCCGAAGTAGTTATTTCGCCAGGTGGCCACGGCGAGCCGGAAATAGCAGAAGTCAGCCGAGGTATGGCCTCGTCCAGTCAAGCGAGAGACGCAAGAGAGGACCTGCTTGAAGAAGTCGAGAAGTCATAGGGGCCTGATATTACCGTCGTCCACCTTCCGTTACTGATGCCCGGCTTCGGAATCATTCAAGCTCGGATATAAGTACCTACGTGGCAACGAAGTGAGACTGTTCGCCTGCTGAGCCTTACGAACACGTACGGTATGCAGTCGAGAGAGGAAGGAGACGCGGTATCCGTACCTTGTAAGGTGGGAGCGCCCAAGACACATCAGAAGTGGGACCCCAGGAATAGCGCCGTCCAGTTATGGGTGCCCTGACCCTACCAGCGAACGGGCGTACGGGCCACTGTCGTCTGTAGCGAAGCGTGGTTGGTCAGGAGGATGCATGGTCTACCGGGGCCTCCCTGCAAGGGAGCAGAGAAACAAGCCCAGAGGCTGGTGGTGGCGTAACGCTAGAACTCGTCGAAGGAAGGGAGAATAATTCTATTAGTGGGCCTCCTGGCCCCGCGGTCATGGACTTGTCACGCGCACAGGCGGTCGAACCAAATATCGCGATGACCCCATCTGGACCGAGGGACAAGAACGAGGCTTAGCCCATCTAGGGGATGGTGCGCGTCCGAAACTGCGCCGTTCCCAGGCTCCGCTCGCTCTCACTCAACCTTCCCTTTCAGAACTGTTCCATTAGGGGCTCCACACCTTCCGAGAGTGGACATCCATTCCAAATGAGAGATGATAATAGGTAGGCGCAAAAGTTAAGGAGTACCGTACTTCGGTCCCAGGTGGCAAGGGTGCAAGGAAAACTGCTCGAAGCATTCCCCCTCTGGGCGATCTTTTTCCCATTTCGTCTCGAATGATCTCAGTCAGATTCACTAACTTTGTGTCATTCCGAAGATAGTGTAACACTCATTCAACCTGGCTGGACAAAATGGTACATATATAATCCAACACGTGCGGTCTCATATAAGATCAGGCTGTATCCGTAATTGACGATATTTGATTTGCGTGTCGGACATTCTTTTTGTTTGAGACAGTTGTAATAATTCGTATTAATTAATCCGCTGCCGCTATCCAGGCCTGGAACAAGCCAACCGACCAACCTTCCGAAACAATTATTAAGAAGGCGATCAGTCATCCTATCTGTCACTTTTATACAGGCATAAACTCTTTCGGTATTATTAATGTCCTCCCCAAGGAGGGCGACCCAGCAACGTTTAGTTAAGACACCGTTGAACTCTGGACGTCGATCCACTATCATTTCCGACGTGCGTAAAAGTTGCGTTTATTAGTGTCCGGTGTTTGTGTGGCTTTGTCGAAAAACAAATGCTTGCGCGACCCACTTCGTTTCTTTCCCATTGCATTTCTAGCGCATAAAAGTAAAAGCGAATTGTTACGAATGCGGAAGATAGGCTGGACCATTACGATCAGGCGACACCTAGACAAGGAAGGTTCGGAGGGAAGTTTGGAAAATAGCTACACGTGTATTCATGTAGCGCTGATCACACGTTTGAGAGTGAGTGCATTGAAGCCACTCTCGGGCCGGTCCCGGTCTTTGGCCTTGGCCTTGATTTGCATCTTGAGAGGCCGATGTAGGAAGTAGGGATTGTCGTACGTAGTGCTGTGTCATCATTCGTCATTCGTCCCTACGCAGCATTCCATACCGCGGAGTATCACCATAGCATAATAGCGCCTCATTAGTGGAAGGTCCAGAACACCAATTCAAACGAGACATGTCGCTTTCGTTTCGTAAGATGGGTCGGAGGAGTCATCAAGAGATAGTGTATAACGCTTGCGGCAAATCTGGGTAAGAGAAGACCCCAGCCACAGGCGACTTTCATTTTAAACCGAGGCGTTCTGAGCATGCAATTGGTCGAAATGTGCAAAAGTGGCTGGCCGATGCGGTGGCGTCGGTCGGACCTTTGTCCCCCCCCCCCCCTTTCTGTGTTTTCTGTGTTTTCTGTGTTTTCTGTGTTTTCTGTGTTTTCTTTTTTTCTTCTTTTTTTCTTCTTTTTTTCTTCTTCTGTAAAATGACCAAAAGAAAACAAAGAGGTTCCCACAAATTATTGCACGACTCGAACACACTAATTCTACTCCGTACTTCTGCGAATGACGCGACACTCAATGAGCAGCAACGAAACAAGTCGATTGCGCGAAGGAATCAGAGGGGTCGTTCATCTTGCGCCTATTCACGTCATACTGTGTCGACTTGTTGGATAACAACTACGAGTGAGGCTGGAGCTAAGATGGACGGGACGGGACGGTTCTGGTTGTCCGTCTCTTCAAGTCAACTTTGAAATGCAGGATGTACGATGACATAAGCTCTACATCCATTATCCAGCCCACCCACACACACTGCTTCATTTTCTCAGCCCAACAGGGTAGGGTTTTCTCATCAACGGGGTACAAAACTGGACTAGACCTACGAATAATATGTACACCTGTGTGATCTCGGTCTGTTGCAGCGGGACAGGGGAGCAACCATCTGTTTCTCGTCCATCTGCAGGTATAGGTAGCCTACCTCTAGATACCTACACGTGTACATATGTGTCGTGGATCGGCAGTCGTAATAAATGCTCCGAACATCTTGGCGGAGGGTGGGTTGGGTTGTCCAGTCGCACCTCCGATGCCCTACTGTTCTTCCGACCGACATAATTAATGCTTCTATCCATTGACGTAATCGTGCGGACAGACTATCAAGGTAGGCATAGGTAGTTAATATGAGGCCTGTGAGAGGATTGGCGTCGGACATGTATGCACCCGTTCTTCCCAAATCACCTTCCGTTTTCACCCTGAACCAGCCGCTCCCAACCACGTAAGACCTTTATTTTTTTCCGTGTGTGTGTGTGTGCGTGTGTGCGTGTTGTTCTTCTGGCGCGCATAACCCCTTCTTTCTTCGATCGATCCCATTCTGCGTTCCCCCCTCCCCTGTTCCCCCTGTTTCCCCTATGCTTTCTTTCCCAATGAGGTGGGAACCCCGAGCCGGATCATCATCCGTCGAACTGAAGAGCGGAAAAAGAAACCCCCCAACGGCCAACACGACCAACACGACACTTTGCTGCATCTGCCAGGGACAAGGCAGCAGACAGTTCGGCACTTGGATGCGCAGCCAGTGAGGACAAGACGCCGAGGCTGGCCGGGCACCCACATCGCCCACTTCACCCAACCGTCAAATGTCTTACAACGGTACGGAAGGTAACATCTCGCCAAGCCTTAACCCCAAAACGGGGACGTGGTTGGCTCTTCTTCGTCCATTGTGTGCCAAGTATCATATTACTGTGTACCTATTCCATCAGTGAGTGCAACCTCATTCATCATTCCTCGCACCACACAGGCCAGAGGAGAACGATGGATCTTGATCGGGAGAAACAGACGAGGAGGGGATGAAATTGAAGTGAACCAAGGACTTTGGGACCCCTCTTGTTGCAAAAAAAAAAAAAAAAAAAAAATTGGATGCCTTCGGCTGACTCTCGGCGGCAATGTTGCCTGCCCGCCGCCATCTTTGAAATCCGCCCTGTTGGTTCGGAAAAGTGCCGCACATCTGTCTGTCTCTGTGCGCAAACAAACGGGCGGCCCGGGGAGATATACCGGAAACCGGGGAGGCCTGTCTCGCATCACGTACATACAACGTACGTTGGAGACTCCGTACGCTGTACCTACGTACAACGGTATATGCACAGGATGTCTGTGCCGTGGCCCCCGATCTGGAGTGGGAAGGTCATGGGCTTATGGCCCTTCCTTCCCTTCCCTTTTGCTTCCCCTTCGATCTAGGTACCTTATGGAGTAAAATCGCCCTGATCCCCCATCTGACTCCAAAGTTCTTCTGATACCGTACGAAAGTACTTGACTTTGTGTGTTTCTATCCGTACATACCTTACGAATACTTCGTAGTACTCCTACACACCAGGCCACCAACATGTACCGACCCATCCGCTGGAAACAAGAAGTAAAAGCAAGCCACCCCGGTGTTGGCATCGGAAGCGGCCGGGCGGGTAGACCTTCTAGAACACCACCACCCTTGTCATCCGTGCCATCTTGGCTTCCAGGTTTCGACTTGGGAGAGACACCAATGGCCGTCCGTATTACGATTACCGTTACCGCGCGTAGATCAGAGGGCAACAAAGGCAAAGGGACTACGGAGTGAGCAATCTTCCAGGCGACATCGGTGGAATCCCATGTCATACCGAACACACATAAAACCAAACGATGAAGCAAAAGTGCCATGACTGCCCACGCATGTAAATGGATCAAGGTCTTCCTGTCTTCCGTAACCCTCTTGGCTTCGCCGTGATGTCAGCCCAGTTCATCGGCCGATCGCTGAAATAGGCAGTTAAGTAAGATCTATCTATGGAGATATAAGACGAAATATAGCAGCCCGGGTGGAGGCACGGATACAAGTTGATGGTCCTTTTGACTCCAGCGTGTATCACATCTATCCACCTATCCACACGTCGGAAGGACGGATTTTACGCCATTCTCACATCAGGCCCTCTCAATCCCGCCGTTTTTATCCACATCCGTGTCTGGCCGGCCATTTGCATTCAGCCCCCTTCAACCCATCCATCCACCGTGGTACCCATACAGCGGTCAGCCAGGCGGTGAAGCGGTTCGGTTGGCGATGAAAAATACAAACGGCCAACTGCTTACTCGCGGCTGCATTGCCATCCACCCGCTCTCTTGCCTGCATCTGCCAAGCAAGTAAAAGCCACTCTCCCGTCAATCCAGCCGCGCGTCTCCCTTCCCCGGGCTTTGCTAGAACACCTTCCCTTCCTGCGGCCTGCCCTTTGTGTCTAGTAGACTTGGGACTAGGTGGATTTCAAAGTTCGCGCTTTGCATGGCCCGATTACGACCTGTGACCATGTACGTACGTCTAGCAGCTCCCACATGGATCAGAACCAGTCTACGAAACACCATACCAGAATCGTGGTCAGCCCTTTCATTGCCAAGAACTCTTAACACTTTTAACATTGCATTGTCTCTAGACGCCTGCGCTTGCCTCGTGAGGGGATATCTCTGGTGGTATCATACTCCTAACACATCCAAACGCCTGCCATGAAAGACGAACAAATATCTCTCTGCCCTGAACTGAGTCTCCGGCCAACGGGCCCGGGGGTCTTGTGGTGAACCGCATCAACGACAATGCCGTATTCTCTACATCCGGAGTGTCTGAGGTGGTCCACGACGTCGTTTCTGTAGTGGCCAACGGGCCCGGGGTTCGTTTGGTGGTGGTCCACGGACCCGTCGTTTCTGTGGTGGCCGACGGGCCCGAGGTCATTTTGGCGGTGGCCCACGGACCCGTCGTTTCAGTGGTGGCCGACGGGCCCGGGGTTTTCGTGGTGGTCCACGGACCCGTCGTTTCTGTGGTAAACCACATGAACGCAAAACGTCCGTCGTTTGTTCATCAGAACCTCCAAGAGGCAGGGGCCCGGCGGCATCTTTCTAGATGTCCGCCAGGTCGAAATCCCCAGTGAAGCCTCCATTCAGAAGCATGGCCGCAATGCGCAAACGTTGCAGCGGCATCTCATGTGACGCGTAAGCGTCGATGGGGTTGAGCCCCAGAGCGATGCATATACCGTTGGTGATCGTATGCACACCGCAGTCGTAACCGTTAGTCTGGAGCGGTGCTTCGTGGTCCACGACTTTCCACTCGTCCTCTACGTATTTCTCCTTCAATGTCGCCTCGACCCATTCCTGTGCCTTCCTGAGGTGCCGGGTCGACCCGGTAGGGCTCATCGAATTCATGTGCGCAATCGTCCGTTGTTTCGGTCGGATCACGATTAGTGTCCAATGATTTCTTTCGCAAAGCGGTAAGAGCACCGCGTCGAGATTGAGGAAGTTGTTCTTGCTCACGCCAACGCGTCGGAGAGCGCGTTCGGTACTTCCAGGGCCGGCTTGGTTGATCCTTTCCCACATGAATGTCGAGCAGGCGAGGAACGTGCGGTCATGGGATCGAGTGTCGGTGATCCCAGCTTTGGCGTTGACATAGCGATCGAGCCATTGCAGCGAACCGTTGACAATTTCGTCGTTAAGCCATTCGGTGGCGGGCACGACGGTAGCAAAATCGTGCTGGCGTAGTTGAGTTCCCTCGGACGTGGACGCGAGGGCACCACTGCTCGAGTGGAGGCTGCCTCTCGCCCTTTGCGCCCATTCCTCCGACAGGGGCGCGACGAGCGGTTTATGAGGGCTCCGCAGGCCGCCCGTCCTGCGCAGTTTCTCTTCCTCCGCAAGTCTCTCCTCTTCTTCCCTAGCCCTGGCTTCTTCTGCCTCCTGTTCAAGCTGCTTCGCAATGCCGATGTCGTCTATGTCTTCCTTCTTTCCACCGCTAATTCGTAATCCTTGTAGTGCTAGTAGTGGAGGCGAATCGTCGCCCTCAAACGGCCGAGCTGCCTTCTTGGGGAATCTGGCATTGACCGATTCAATCATGGTCTTCATGATGCTGGGCTGTCGCCTACGAACGACGTCATCTTCGTCAGTCGTCTCCTCATTCTCCTGTTTGTCTGCATCATTTGTGGTTTGGAGCTCCTGCTCTGCGTCTTGAGCATCCTGGTCTTGGGATGCATTGTTCTCATTGTTCTCATTGTGGGTTATTGATTGGGTTTCTTGCTGAGCGGGTTGATTTTCACCCGCATGATTGGCCGAGTCATCCTCTGGAGACTCATTCGCAGCTGTACTCTCGCGAGCACCGGCAGTAGCCATCGTATCGTTTACGGTATCGTCAAGGTCGGCAGATCCATCAATCTGCGCCGAAGAGGCTGTTTGGACCGTCCTGCTCGGTGCGACGAGGGGCGAGTCGGGAAGATTGGGAGATGCAAGTTGAGGAGAGTGGGGGGGTGTGCGGTAACGCAAATAAAACGGGTCAGAAATCCCCGTCAACCTTTTCTTAGTGGGGGTAAGGAAGCGAGATCTTGGCTCGGGGGACGGCATGTGCAAAGGGGAAGCGAAATGCACCGACTTCATCTTCGTTGCACTTTGCAGCCGCTTGGGGTTTGTTGGAGACAAGGACTTCAATTTAGTCCTTAAAATGGACCGGGGTGCCGGTTTCTTTCGCTGAGAGCCATCAGAAGTATATTTTCCGTAGGTCGGAACATTGGCCTCAGGAATTAGGTGGTGCAAAATCAGCTCTATAGGAATGGTGCGATGCTTTCGCGAGAATCCTCTCTTGGGAAAGTCCGGCAGTTCGGGGGTGGAAGATTGCCTCTCATGATCTAGAGCGAAGGGATCACGGCGTCGCGCAGCTCGAGAAGATGGGTCACCAGGAAAGCTTCCAGGCATGACGGGAACGGCTGGTGCCGACTGTGCAGTGGGCTTGGTCCCCAAAGCGGCTTCATCTCGCCCAAGACGGGTAAGTGTGATAGAGCCCTTGACAAGAGCAGGAATCGGCTGCTTCTCAAGTAGAGCCTTGAGATCAATACAAATGACTCGAAGCGTGCCTCGAGATATTCTAGCGGAACGGAGGGTGAAATCCAAGCTGCGAGGAAAGTCCTCCAGCAAAAGCAAGGTCGACTTGATCTTCCGAACGTCTTCCGGCACCGTGGGGTATTCGACTTGGATCTGTGGGTGTTCCATCATATTTTTTAGCGTCGTCAGGAAATCGGCAGAATAGATGCCACTCAGGACATCAACTGCATCAGCGAGGATCGGCTTAATCTCCACAAAACGCGTGAGCTGCGAGCTCTCGAAGGGATTGTGATCAAGATCCTGGAGTGAATCTCTGGTGATGCCGTTGGGTGAAGTGATGCCGTTGGGTGAAGTAGGAGGTGTGGGTTCGTGATGAGAATCGATGACCATCGTGTCGTCGATATTTTCGACCGTGCGCTTCAAAGCAGCGACGAAGCCGAGTCTCTGGCGCAGAACGTTCAGACGGTTTTCCTCGTCAATCCAACGAACTGGGTCGTCATCCAATGAACAGCATCGTCTTTTCGAGCTGACATGACCCGTGGTAGGATCGACTTGCCGCATACGTGGACCTGGGCGAACCCTACACTGCTTGACTGGGAGGGGTTAGACCTCTTTCTCAGTGTAGAGAGAAACACAGATACACATACCAAAACTGCCGAGCTGTGTAGTGATTGTAGTGACGGCTCCGGTCAAGGACGCCATGATGGATCTGATCCACGACTTTGGTTGCCAAGTAGCGGCAGGGTTGGATGGCGGGATCTGCATCAATTCGTCAGCATCTTCACGGTTAAGATAAGCGGTAGCAGTAGACGGCGTAATGCACTCACATTGTGAACATTCAGTACGGGGCCGGCTTCATTGCCAGCGGCGGCAGGAGCGCGGGAGGTTTCAGATGCGAGGAATGCCTGACTAGCTGCGTCCTAGGCAGCCAGATCGGGATCTAGATCCTCCGGCTCCAGATCTTCGGCCTTACGCTTGCGGGAGGACCTGTTGGCGGCCTCGTGGGCTCGGATGGCGTCTCCGAGACGGTAACCTGTCGTCACCTTGTCCCACTTGAGCGATGGACGCGGATCGCGGGCGAGCTTCTTTCCGGTGAAGAGGTCGACTTGTGCCGGACGTATGATCAAATTCCGACGACGACCGGGTGGAAATAGGTGACGCGGGGAACCGCCCCCCTCAGGATAAATGATACCGCGTTTAAGCTCGTCTTCTTCTTTGATACGAGCGAATTGTCTTTGTTCTTCCTGCTCGAACAGTCTCCACTTGACAGCTTCTTTGCCGCCGTAGCGTGTGTAAAGCATCCAGGAATGTTTCTTGGCAATGCAGCGGCCTGTAAGGCGGTCGCTGACGGACAGGCCCGGGTTACGGAGAACCAACGGGTTCTCTGGAACGACTTCCCATTTATATGGATAGATGGTGGTTTGGGAATCGAAAGCGGTGCCGCGAAAACGCGACTCGGGTTTCCAGTGGCTATAGGTATCGCGGATCTCGAGGAAGTCAGAGGAGTTCGGCTGGGGCTGATCTGTCGCCATGATGACGGTTAATTTCCTTGTTGTTTCGGGTTACGTAGTGCGGATGGGGGAAGTCTCGATGGATAATAACGGGAAGGCGGAGATGCGGATAATTGAGGTAGCGGTGATGGAAGTATGAGATGAGAAGTGAGGCGGGAAGGAGGAAGGTGATATCAAAGGGTTAATTAACCGACGTGTCAGCGGGATAGAAGTTCGTCGTAGGTGCCACGTAGCACAGATGAAGAGGAAGAGAAGAGGGCGTTGCTGGAAAACGGTCCAGTGGTTTTGACAAAGCGGGAAATTTGGAAGGGCTGAGGCAGCCAAAGCAATGGAAAATGGAAATCGAGAGTCAAAGTATTGAGGTGTAGTGAAGTGAATCTTGTGTTCAAGAAGGCAGCAGGGGGAAGTTGTTTTGGTAGTTGAAGAAGCTGAAAGAAAACTGGTTGGACGTTACACGTTTGCTTGATCGATGAAGCTGTTGCGATTGTTGAAAAGAGCGAGGAATGGGAAATCGGGGACGGATATAGGCTCTGTGTCGCGTCTCGGTTTGTTTACTTCTTTCCTGTGTTTCGCTCGCGTGATGTCAATCGTGGTTTCGCGTCTCGGTAGGGTTTAACTTAGTATGTCGACGAAGGGAAGGTGCGAGGCAGGCATGTTCGGATTTATGGATAAACCTTAGAAGGGACGAGGCAGGTGCGAGCGACGCAAAACGTCATAAAGGGAAGTCGCGATGGCGATGAGAAAATGTCAAGTATCCGTGTAATTAAGCTTAGCACCCTGCTGGTCCCACCTAAGGTAAGCAAATTCGAGTCACGTGATGTTGTACCAGTGTGGTTGGCATGAACCCGGATGGACAAACCTCGGTCGTATTTCACTTCAACGCTGGTATGTCGATCCTCAATCCTCCTCCTATCCCTCCTCCTGTCACAGACATAATCATTCAGAATAGGGTTACGTACGAACAGGTAAACTAATTAATTCATTGCTCCAGAGTCTTATTTACATTCCCTAGTTCGGTCTTCATTTGGCGACATCATAAAGATGCTTCCGCACATAAACCCTCGGGTTAGAAAGCTAACAGTCGCCATCGGCAGGCAGATCAATGCCATCCAAAACTAAATTCATTTATGCTCCGTTTTTACATCGAAATGATCTTACGCTTGAGATACCCTCCCTCAACAAACTCACAACCCCCGATTCATGAGTCTCATCTCACACGGGAAAAAAAACCCCCCCCGGAAGAAAAAAAGAGCAACATCTATACATGCATGTCCCATTCAACGCCGCAACAAGCCCCTGGCACGAACATGGCTGGCCACCCAGGGCACCTTTATAGAAGCGACAGCTTCTGGCCAAGCTTCTTCGTCGTAAAGGCACCAAAGTACTCGTTGAGGGCGTCCACGGTCCCGCTGCCCTCGACCAGCTGGGCAACCATACCCACATAGCCGTCCGGCCGCACGACCACGACGCCTCCCTTCTCCTCATCCAAGCCGGCCTTGGCATGGGCCGCCGCCTTGGCGTCAGGCATGCGCCGGTCCCACTGGTCATCGGCGTAGATGTGCGCCCGGTAGCGGGCCAACAGGCTCGGCACGTGGCGGCTGATCTCGATGTTACTCCTCCGCTCGGAGAAAATGGTGCAGAAGGTGAAGAAGAGGCTGTGCGGGTTGTGTTGCTCGTGGTATGACACCTGGTCCTGGTCTGGCCTCTGGTACGCCATGTAGAACGAGTCCTTGCTCTGGAGCTTGTTGGCGAAATCAGTGAGAGCACCGGCCGTCACCGACGGCTTGCCAGCGAACACGAAGATGCGGAACGAGCCGTTCATGGGCACCTCTTGCTCCAGGTGGACCACGTTCGCGTCGACGACCCTGGTGACGTTGGCGTTGATCAGGAGGCGACCGGTGCGCAGGGTGGAGCCGGTCGGGTTGATGACGGGCGATCGAGCTGGGTGGCTGGGAGACCAGTTCAGGACGTTGGGCTGGTAAGCGACGCCGTAGCCGCTGGTAAACTCGCAAGCCTCCTTGAAGGCCTTGATGAACGCGTTCTCGCCCTCGCTCGAACCAGTATCCTTCTTCTTCAATGCCGCCTCGGCCTCGGATGCCGCCGTTGGTCTCTGCGAGAAGAGCTTGGCATATCGGTTGTCGAAGTCCAACAAGGACTCCGCAACTTGTCTGCGCTCTTGCTCGTACGTCTGCAAAACGCTGCGATCGGCGAATCCGGCCTCAACCAAATGGATTTTCCATGCCAAGTTCTGCGCATCCAGGAAAGCAGTGTTCATGCCCTGACCAGCCTTGGGCTGTGTGTGTGTGTGTGTGAAGGAAAGTAAGCGACCTGATCAGAACGCTACGGTTGTTGAGGTGGGTAGGGGAAGAAAAAGGGGAGAAGGGGCTTACGCTGTGCGTGTGAACGGCATCGCCGCCGAGGAAAACGCGGCAGTCCAGAGTGTACCTGTCGCCGAGGCCTTGGCCGATGGGGTAGACGGAGTACCACTCAACCCTCTCCCACGAGATGGTGTAGGGCTGGAGGATGCGCTGTGCCGAGGCCTGAACATCCTCGGCAGTGGCTGTCTTGCGTGGGTGCCAGTCGGGATCGGTCGACGACGCGATTTGAATGTAGAGGCGAACCATGTTGTCCTCTCTGGGGATGACCATGATGGAACCGTGTTCGCTGTGAATGGTACATTTCATCTATGAACCCCGCAGGTCAGTTGTGGATCCGGGGGGAAAGAAGAAGAAGAAACAAAAAAAAGGGTTGTGTGAAAAAGTATACGAACCTGAATATCGGGGAAATCGGTCTGGACGACGCCGTCCATAACTCCCCATACGTGCTCGATGGGGTCCTTGTGCTTGATGCCGATGTTGAGTTGTTCCCGGACAAAGGAGCGGGCACCCTCGCCGCCGAAGAGGTACTTGGCACGGAGCGTCTCGCTCGCCTTCCCATCCACGTGCTCCAGTTGGACCTCCACGGGATACTCCGGGTTCTCGGCCTCGTTGGAGGTGAAGCCCTTGATGGTCCAAGGCCGCTGGACTTCGACGTTGTGCTTGGCGAGGTCAGCGAGGAAGACGCGCTCGATGTGGCCCTGGTGGAGAAGGGTGGTGAAAGGGTAGCGGGCGTCGATGAAGCTCGGGCAGCTTGCCCAGGTACCGGTCCTCGCAATGCCGGTACCCTCCTTGGCCGGGTCCCAAAAGGCAACTTCGTAGACGCGGGCGGGCTTGTGGGCCATGAGAGGCGACTTGAGGCCCATGTTCCGGAGGAGGTCGAGGGAGCGCGGTTGGATGCCGTCGGCCCGGCCGGTCTGGGTCGGCTCGGGTCGGTTGTCGATGTGCTTGATCTTGTAGCCCCATCTAGCCAGGCATGTTGAGAGCATCAGCCCAACAGGACCAGCGCCGACGATAACTGCGGTTGATGTCAGCCCTTTTGAGTTCCAATGGGTTTTCTTCCTTTCTTCGGGTCCCAGGATGTCGTAGTAACACCTACCAATGTCATATTTCTGCGCCTCCGGCGAAGACTGCGATTGGAGACTCATTGTGGTGTGTGGTTTTTTGTTTTGCGGCCGAGCTCTCTCTCTCTCTCTCTCTCTCTCGCTCTCTCTGGATCTTTCACTCTCTCGCCAGCGGTTATAGCTGGGAAGTCGATCCTGTAGACTCAACACTGGAGATTGAAAAAACGAGCAACGTCGAACAGCGAAATAGACGAGCGACGGGATGGTGGTATCTCTGAGGAAAGTCTAAGAAATGTCTTGAAATGTAAATGCGACGAGAGAGGGGCGGGGGGGGAAGGACGATGGATCTAGCGATGGCGATAGTTATACATGAGCTAATGAAGTTTTCGGATCAAGTAGGCCAAGGACTAATCCGCAGCGGCTTCGGAGGGGCTGGACTCGAATCCCAAGTCAACGGATGTGAAGGTGGAAATTTGAGCACGGCATGGGAGTCGGGAATCCAGGTAGGCGGGACTGAGAAGGAAAAGAACCCTCTTCTGGATGGAGTCCGGGAGAGATGTCGGGAAACGGGGCGATCGACGGGATTCAAAAACGACCGGTGCGAGACTGGGGCTAGACCAAAGAGTTTGATCCTCGAGCTCTTGGGGCTCTGAAGCTGTCACTGCACTGGGTCTGCTAAAGCGTAGCGTGTCCTTATAAGATAAGAGGGGATCCCGGGGTGAAGAGCCGGAGTCAGTGCTCAATGAGATGGGGGAAGAAATATGGAGTCAAGATGGAGCAAGTATCCCTTTTCCTTCTTTCGATTCAGGGGAAACGAGACGGAAGCGGGGTGAAGGGGGTGAAGGGGGTGAAGAGGCGGGGAGGGAGAAGAAAAGGACGAAGAGGGTTCACGGAGGAAGCTATTGTTTTCGTACCTTCCAGGTTGCAAGTGCAAGGTACCAGGTAAGGTACGTTGTAGGAGAGATAAGGTAAGGTAAGGTAAGGTACCTTAGGGTGCGGAGTACAAGTTTACAATGACATGACCTACCCATGTTTTGTTCCCGAAGCTCCAGTCACGGCAGGTCATGGCAGTCGGGGGCGGGTTGGTTGGCGGGTTCAACGAGGACGAATCCAGGGTCCCCACGAAGGGCCACAACGGACGAAGTACGGGGTCAGGTCAAGAGAACAAGGGCCAGCTAATGGGACGGTTAGACGAATCGGTACTTTTCAGGGGAAACTAAAAAGGGAACCAGCGCGAAAGGCCACGCTCACGCTACCTTACTGAGTACGCCCGGCTCGAAACTACGGAGGTACTCGATGAGGGGAGGTTCGAACGGGGTTAGAACGGGGCTCACGGCAATGTGAGCGGCAACCTCGAGTTTGTCCAGAAAAAGAAGAAAAAGAGGAGAAACTACGGCAAGCTGCAGGACGGTCTGTTTCAACTTCTAAAAATAGTAATAATCGATTAATAGGTTCACCCGGGCCGTAGAAGTCTTTTACCTAGTAGTACGATTTATATATAGGCGTGTGCAGATATAATTAAGCAGGGTTATAGGGTATATATATATAAACCTAATCTGTATAGCCCTATATATATCTATATAACTATCATAGTGCCTATTCAGAAGAGGAATCTATATCTATAGAGCGCTGTATGTATCCATATAACTATCGCAGGGCCTATTTAGAAGAGGCATCTACGCTAATAGTTATATAATAGTCTGTATAATAACGCCCCTAACTATGCTTATTTACCCTGACGTTAAGGTCTATTATACTATTCTTTTCGATACTAATCCTGATTAGTTAGTATACGCTAAATACGGTGCAGGCCGGTTTAAAACTATACTCCTTAAGAACGAATTAATACCTCCTATTAACGACGACGACACGGTTATCGACTTAACCGTAGATACTCCTCCCCGCTTAAAGCGCGAAGATACGGAACCGAAGGCGCTTTATATACCCGGCGCCGTCGCGTAGGCGTAGGTATAGGGTAGAGTGCTTCTAACTACGTTTCGAAGCGGCGAGGCGTAGCGTAGGGCTAGTATCTAATTAACACAGAAAGAAAAGCAGCCGTAGGCTACGAAGGAGATTAGTATTAGCCTGTATAGCGGCGAGTACTACATTTAAGATATCGGCGGCGTGGATATCTTAAAGTTTATAAGATTAGAGAATAAAAAATTACCGGCCGTGTTTCGATTATACTAGACTAGACTTTTCCGAACCACTAAGACTTTATACGCTACCTTATAAGCTAGTTTATATCCGATAAATACTAGTTTAATTAGGACCTTACGGTCTTTCTATATGATTAGAAGAACCCGAAAACTATTATCTTTTTCCGTAATAAGGCGTATAATACTATAACGCTCCGTGCGTTTCTACGCGAATCTAGTCTCGGTCTTATAAAGGAATATTATCTTACCTTCCTCCGAAAGACTAAGGTACCCGCCCTGGTAAAGCTAACCTTAGGTAAACGGAATAATATAAAAGGAAATAACGATAATAAGGAGGTGCCGATCGCTATAAAGAAGGAAGTCGGAAAGGGGACCCGTGCGAAAAAGCAGACCGGAAAGGGGAAAGGGAAATAAGCCGTAAAGGTAATAGTAAAGACCGAACCGTAGGTTAAGACCGAGCCGTAGGTGGTTAAGACTGAGATAGTACCGGATACTTACGCGTAGGCTTATATAGAAGAGGAGGATCACGGTATGGAGGAATACGGTATAGAGGAATAGGAGGCGGGTAAAAGTAAGGTGCTACCATTAATAATAAATCTTCGCGGCCGGAAGCGTATATTTTTAATAACTTCCGACACGGAGCCTTAGATTAGAATTAATTCCTTAGATTAGAATTAATTACTACCCTCGCTTT